GTGGATGGCGGCCAGCCAACAGAGGAAATAGTATGTTTTAGTTTCAGTTCATGTTGGGCTTGTCAAATTGGGTTGAGCGATAAAGTTTAACCTGAGTTTGGGCTTGAGAGCTTTTGCTAATCAATGATCTGGTTAGTGGATATTGGCACCCAATGCCTAAGTGAGTTCACAACTTGTAATTTGCTAGCCTAGTCGTTAGAGTAGTTTAGTTTCTCTATTTTCAAATCTTGTGTGGCTAGAGACCTGTAAATTCAATCATTATTATTTTACTTTCACTATACTACACCGGTCGTTGGTTATGCTTGGGCCACGAGATAGTAGTTTAGAGTGAGTCACTACAGCAACTCTCACGCATTGTGGTCAATCACACCCACAAATTGTGGATAATAAGTTGAGTGTGATTAGTAAATAATGATATTTATGGTTAGTGGTTAATTGGTTAACCCACAATAAACATATTAAACTAACAAACTTTTGTTTGATATACAACTACCTAGAACAATTAACCCACAAAATCATTATAACTACATAAGACTAACAACATTTTGGTTTGCCTTTAATTTTTTCATATTTATTATCAATATATTTTTTAGGGCTAATACCACTGGGAAACCCGAACTATTAACTTTGTGTCATTTGTGTCCTAAAGTATCCGATATGACATTTGTGTCCCAAACAATTTTTTCGTTAGAGTTGACTGGCGTTGATCGTTAGTTTTTAACAGAAAGTCTAGTTAACGCTGATGTGGCAGCTGACATGGAATTTTATTATTATTTTTATTTATTTTTTCATAAAAAATGAATAAACTAACAAAAAGGAAATTAAAAGAAACAAAATCTCTTGCTCTCCTCTCCCCTCACTCGACCCCGCTTCTCCAGCCCTTCATCGGCCGCGCCGCCGCCATTGTCGACAAAACCTAGAGAACCTATTCCAGCAATCCAAGGTAGAGGACACTATTCGTCCCATCTATGGAAGACGACACTATTTGTCCCACCAATTCCAACTCCCTCCCACTGATTCCAACTAATTCCAACTCCACGACCATCACCAGATCCACGAACACCACCACCACCACTTCGACCCTTCCCCCTCAGCCAATGACTTCCTCGACCAGATCCTCTCCTTTGTCACCTCCTCCCCCTGGTCCTTCGCAGTCGCCACCGACCTCATCAAGTCCCCCCCTGGGCCGACTTTGCCATCGGTGACTCCTCCCACGACGACAACAATGGGTTCTTCCTGCATTGCCATCAACATAGGAAGCAACAACGCTGAAATATTCCTTTGTTCGTCAAGCCTCCGCCGTCCCGTTGCCCAGATTTCGAAATTCGAGATGCAGCACCGCTACAGAGCTGGAAGATAGACGAGACTCACCATGGGTGAGAGGAGAGGTCGAATCTGACTTCGGATTTGTTGTCGAAGATCTACCTAAGCATCGTGGCCCCTTGCCCCGGTGTTGGATCTGAATTCCAGATGCGAATATGACTTCCAGATTCGTCTCCTTCCGACAACGGCATCTGGTCGCTTGCCCTTAGGTTGGATCGATTCGTCGTCGTCAACAAGAGCAGATAAAGAGGGCAATCTCCTGGAACGAGATTCAATTCATCGTCGCCAACGAGATTCGATTCGGGACTAGGGGTTGGATTGTGTGTTTTGGGATAGGAGGGGGAATCTCCTGGAACGAGAGCAGATAAAGAGGAGTATACCTGGAGACATGGGTTTAAGGACGAACCAGGTGGCAGCTCCTCTACGAACTAGACGACTGCCGGCGAGAGCGTACATAAATGTTGAAGGGTCGGATTCAGCGAAGGACGGCGGAAGTGTTGGGTAAGAAGTTCGCGGGGAAGAAGATTTCTGTTCAGAATTTTTTTTCTTATTTTTATTTTTTTCCCCTCTAAATAATCAAATGTGGCCGCTGACGTGGCCGCCACATATGTGCCACGTAATCAACGGTCAACATTTCACCGATGACCGTTAGGTCAACCGTTATTTTTAACGGTCAACGAAATTGTCAAGACATAAATGACACACAACTATCATATGTCAGGACACAAATGTCATATCGGATACTTTAGAACACAAATGACGCAAAGTTAATAGTTCGGGTTTCCCAGTGGTATTAGCCCTATTTTTTAATGTGGGGAGTAAGAACTAATATCATAAAAGTTAAAATAACTCATCAACATTGTGAAAATTTATAGTGTGTGCAGTTGGTGTGGGTGATTAATTTGTATTTTATAAAATGAAGGCTTTAGTCTCTTTCTCTCTTCAACACAAAATTCAAATACCAAATACTTTTCATCTCCACGAACAACAAAACACTACATCTAAATAGTCTAGTAGAGAATACATGATTTGTTGGCGCCTTGGCGGCGATCTTAATGCTTCACGCCTTGAAAGATAAAATTATGCGGGTAACCACAACCATATTGCACCAACCCGCAATGGATAGTGAGTAGCCACTACCCGTTGCAGTGCGGTTTGTGGTTAGTATAATCATGACTTTGTGATTGTGGTTACCACAAAGTATAGGCAAGGTAACACACCTACACTAATTTCCACCCCCAGCGGTAACTATCTATCTTAAACCTTTATATACGAGTAGGTGGCAACTTATAATCCAATCCACCAATCTAATGCAATCCACCCACTTAAATATTCAACTAATACTTTTTATATTTTACAATATGGTACTTAAAATTTATTTGTGTATACGAAAACTGTCATTTAAAAATTATGTTTTGGTATCTAAATTTTTATTTTGATAATTTAGTATCAAATTTTTTCTAAATTTACATATTGATCTAAAACTTGGATGTCATTTCCATGAATCCATCAACCAATCCAATCTATTTAATTCATTAATCTACCGATCCAATCCAACAATCTATAAATCCAACCCATAGAATTTTGAAGGGTTATAGGTATAATATGCCCCTCTACTATGACGTTTTATCAAACATGCCCCTCTACTATTTTTTACATCAAACATGCCCCTGTACTATGAAAAAATTATCAAACATGCCCTTATGTTAATTTTTTCATTGAAAAAATCGTCAATCATGGTTGAACCAAGATTTAGACGACCCAACATCGGCAAATGGGAGAGAAAATGTCAATTTTATCTCCCGTTGTATTTATTTGGGTGTCTTCAAAATGAAATTATTTGAATTATTTGGCTATACAAAAAACAAAAAAATTAAAAGTGAAATTATTAGGGATATTTTAGACATTTGTGCCGCCCAGACCAAAGTTCGACCTTGGTTAACGGTTTTTGGATGAAAATTTAAACAAAAGGGCATGTTTGATCATTTTTACAAAGTACAAGAGCATGTTTGATGTAAAAAATAGTAGAAGGGCATGCTTGATAAAACATCATAATAAAGAGACATATTACAGCTATAAGTCAATTGTAACATCCCGACCTTTTCCCGACGAAGATACTGTTTGCTTTGGGCCTCTCCACCCGCACAGATTTCGACTTGGGGTGCAATTCAAGGTGACTTCCCATAAGGTCACCCATCCTTGTTGTACTCCACACTGAGCACGTTTAACTTCTTCGGAGTTCTCACAAGAACTCCTCGATAACACCCCAAAATGCGTCTTTTCAGTTAAGGCCGGTTTCCTACTTATGAACCATGGATCTCCCCCCTTCTCACCGGCGCTTCTCTCCTGGTTGTAATTGGCCCGCGCACCTCCCATCTCCCTACGACGACGGCATCTCCTCGATAGGTAACGCCTCCCAAGCCTCCTGTTTTAATTCCTTTTCTTCGCGCAGATGGCGCTACCTATCGCAAACTAGGTGTGATTTTTAGGTTAAAGAGTAGGCGCCTCTGAAAGTGGTTTGGTGATTTGAATGGTGGCGCCTTGTACTTTGCTTTATGTTCATGGGTAGGCGCCTCTGAAAGTAGCTTGGTAGTTTGAACGGTGGCGTCTTTTGTTTCTAGTACCATTAGCTAGGTGTGATCTTGCTTTAGGTTATGGTGTAGGCGCCTCCGAGAGTAGTTTGGTAGTCTGATCAGTGGCGCCTTCCTCTTTGTAGGCGCCTAGCAAAAAGGAAAAGGGGGGCGGCGCCCCTTTGTGTAAATTTTCTTTGGTGAATTTTCTTTGGTGAATTTAATGTGATGCCGTCTGTGGGCTTCTTTCAAAAGCGCCGCCCCGCTTACTCGCGCCCCTTTAATGTAAATTTTGCTTTGTTCATCTTTTCTTTCAAAAGCGCCGCCCCGCTTACTCGCGCCTTACACTTTGTTTGCTCGCAGGTTTCGATTTCAAGGTGTCAGAGGCGCCTATCAAAACATAGTCACGGGAGGCGACAACGGTTTTTTACCCGCGCGTTACCGGCTTAGGCGTTGTACACGCTTCTCCTCCAAGATTCATTTTGCTGCTCATCACTCTCTTATGGCTTCCAACAATTCTCAACCTTCTGCGTCTATGGGTGGCGCCTCTGCCTCGAAGAAAGGAAAGGAGAAGGCTTCCTTAAGCAAAGTTAGGAAGATGGGTAAGCTATGCTCTCTCTATTTTGTTAACTTTAATATCATATATTTGTTGTTTGGGAATCTTAGTGGATCAAAACAGTGTATAGACGATCCAAATGGAGACTCGCCGAGATTGCTAGTGATATCGAGGATGATCAATCATATACCCGTCTGGAGGCGCTTACTGAGGATGATACGTCAAGTGCGGATCCCGACCCTGGCACATCTTATTCTCGAACGATTATCGATTCAGGTTATACTATCTTGCCATGGCGGGGGATGTGGGGTGGTGAGGCGCCTCCTTCCTCGGCGCGCCTACTAGGTCCTGACAAGCGGCCCAGCATTCAATTGCATCGCGTTGTGTCTTATATCCGCGGTCTAGGTTACCCTACAGACTGGGGGTATGCGCTTCCGGATCGTAGTGCTCGCATCGGGAGTTGCCCCGAGGGTTAGTTTGCGATTTATTCGGAGTATCTGAAGTGTGGCTTGAAGTTCCCATTGGATCCCATCTTATCGGGTATTTTGGAGATGGTTGGGTGTCCCCTTAGCTTTCTGTCTCCTTCGCTTATCTTCCACACCTGCGCCTTCAGGCTTATCTGCAAGCGCCTAGGCTACGTCCCTTCATTCTCTATCTTCCGTAGCATATATGCCTTGGAGCGGGGTAAGCATGGTTGGTCGGCCGTGAAGCGTGATAGTAAATACCAGGGACGGGTTTGCAAGGGATCGCCTAAGCTCCCTAGCAAATGGTATTGCTCTTACTTCTTTATTAGACCGACTCCTGGTACTTGGCATGCACCGACTTCGGCGCCTCTCTCGACTCTATGGGGTGAGGTTTCGGAAGAAACGTGGGCCAAGGATTTTACCCTTGGGAAGCCTGAGCGGGAACAGAAGCACCACATTCTTCGTGCGCCTCCCGTGGATTTTGGGAGAAAAGGGGAGAGAGCGCGCGCCTTGGGAGAACTTTACGACCATGGTATATTTCTTTCGAATGATTTTATTCTATCTCCCAACTTATGGTATTTGCATAACTCTTTTTTTTTTGCAGATTTCGACTACTCGAGCCTAGCGAAGATGGCGAAGAAGACTCCTGGCGCCTCCGGAGTCAGGGCGCAGAAGGCGCCTAGCACCCCTGCCGAGCGAACTCCCCGCTCATCTGGTAAGGCGTCTGCCGACATCGAGGAGGCGTCTCCTCGATTGTTTCCTTCCTTGGGGTCCCGCGACCCTCTCCCAGAGAAGACATTAGGCAAGCGCCATGCCTCGGCTGACTCTCCTGCTGCGGTTCCGAAGAAGAAGAACAAACCAAGTCTGGGCAGCATTGATGAGATATTGGCACCTCCTCGCTCGCGACGTGCCGTAAAGCCGAAGGAGCTTGTTCCAATCTCTCTTTCTGCTGCCCTCAATGCTCCAAGCGCCTTTACTTCGGCCGTGGAGTTGAAGAATTTCCTGAAGCTTCCCCTCGACGAGGGTACCTCTCCTGCAGGCTCGGCGTGCCAGCATTTGTTCCAGGTATGCTCTTACACACCTTACTATTAGTGGATCATGCTTCGTTACTAATCGTTGTTGTTTCTTGCTTAGGCGATGCTTGATGTGGTTACGCTTTCTGACAAGAGTGCGGAGAATCGAGACCGCACCCATAAGAACTTTTTGCTGGCTTCTCAGTTGAAGACTGACAAGATCACTCTCCAAGGCGTTAACTCTCGTCTGGAGGATGAGTTGGCGTCGGTGAAGCGGCAGCTTTCGGACGCCTTGGCTGCTGAGAGTGTTTCTGCTCGTGAAGAGAAGGAGAAGGAGCTGGCATTCCAAGCGAAGCGAATTGAGGCCTTGGAGAAGGAGCTGCTGGCAATGTCTGCCGCTAGGGGTCACCAGAAGGTAAGTTCTCTTGCTGGTCTTTCTTGCTGTCTCCCTTCATACGAGCTAAGCGCGTAAACCTTTTTTTCCAGGAGGAATTCAAGAAGAGGTTGATCAAGGAGCGTGAAGATGCCGTAGACGCCCACCTGTCATCAGCAGAGTTTCGTGAGTGGCAGCAGAACCTTCTGCTTGGAGTGAAGAAGAGGGCTTTCATCGGCATTCGTAAGAAGGTCCGCTCCGATAATCCTGGCATGAAGTGGGATACTCCGGAGGTCTGGCAGGCTATGGATGATTACTTCATCTCCCTTGGTACGGATAACGAGCCTTCCGACTCGGACTCGTACCCCCTGGATGAGGGTGATTCTTCTGCCGACGACGTGGAGGTTGACGTCGAGAGGGTTGGGAAAGAGGAAGTGGGTGACAACGGCGAAGCTGCCGTCGATGCCAATGCTGGTGCCGGGGAAGGTGGTGGGGACATGGTTGCTGTCGATGGTCAGGGTGGCGCCTCGGATGGTGGTACCGATGGTGACTCTAGCTCGTCCGACAATCCCTCGAGCAAGTCGGACTAGTAGAGTCGGGATGTTTTTTCTTTTCCTTGTTTGTCTGGACTCTGTCAATTTCATGTATCTTCTGCTTATTTCTCCCTTGCATGTCTGTGGATGTTTAGCTTTTGGGCTGTTATTTTTAACAATGTTATCTGCAAGTTTTCCGTTTTCTTGGACCTGTTGTGAATGTTGTTTTAGTTCCGCCATATATTCTTTAAGAAGAAGTAACGTGTCTAGGCTTCTCCTCGACGGAGGAAGCAAGCTTTAGGTCTCTTCACACGTATTCTTGAAAAAGAAGTAACGTGTCTAGGCTTCTTCTCGACGAAGGAAGCAAGTTTTAGGTCTCCCATGCGTATTCTTGAAAAAGAGGTAACGCGTCTAGACTTCTCCTCGACGGAGGAAGCAAGTTTTAGGTCTCACGTATTCTTGAAAAAGAAGTAATGTGTCTAGGCTTCTTCTCGACGAAGGAAGCAAGTTTTAGGTCTCCCATGCGTATTCTTGAAAAAGAAGTAACGCGTCTAGGATTCTCCTCGACGGAGGAAGCGGGTTTGGGTGACCCCTTCTGCCGAGGCAGGAATTTTTGCGAGGGATATCAATTTTATCGCCTCTCATGGGGACTCGTACAACGAGCGCCCGATACTTGGATGAAAACCAAGTGTAAGCGTTGGGGCTCCTCCGACGGTCTGCGGGAAGACTATCTTGAGCCGAGCCTGATTTTTCTTACGTGTACTCCTGAAAAGGAGGTGATACGTTTGGGCTTCTCCTTGACGGAGAAACCGAGTTGGCGGAGACTCTACCTGCTGATACAGGAACAACTTTGCTTTGCTGAATAGTGAATCTCCATTCCTTTAGCCAGATAGGGGATTACCTGGGGTACTGCCAGGATGTGTCCCTTTACCCGAAAATTCCGAATATTACAAATTAAAACCGAACGAAAGGGACTCTATTAGGGTGTCCTTGGGTTACGCCCCTTTGAAAGCGTCCCTCTTCCCTACAAAAAATGTCTACCTTTGAAGTAAAGCAAAAAGAAAACAACACTTGAGTCTTCCTTAGGGTGTCTTCGGGCTACGCCTCTTTGAGAGCGCTCCTCCTCCCTACAAAATGTTAATCTTCCGATTACTCCTCTTGTGCCTCTTGCTCGCACACGTACTTTCTCAGGTGCCTTGCGTTCAAGGTTTTGCTGACACGTTCTGCTTCCATGGTGGCGAGCTTGAAAGTGCTTGGTCCTATCACTTCCCTTACGACGAAAGGTCCCTCCCATTTAGCAGCCAACTTTCCATGATTGGGGTTAGGGCGAAATACCTTTCTCAACACAAGGTCTCCCTCTTCGATGTGGTGAGGCTTCAGTTTTGAATTATAGTATTTTGCCAGCTGCTCTTTGTCCTCTATCAGCTTCCGAAGTGCTCCTACCCTTCTCTCATCTAGCATGTCTAGTTCATGAGCCATGCTGACATTGTTCCCTTCGTTGAAATATTGAACACGCAGGGTGGGCAACGCAACTTCCGTGGGAGTCACCGCTTCCGCACCAAAAGTTAGGGCGAATGGAGTTTCACCCGTAGAGCTTTTTGGAGTGGTGCGTAGCGCCCATAGTACATGGGGTAGTTCCTCTACCCAATTTCCTTTATGCTCTTGGAGACGCTTCTTGAGTCCTTGAAGTATGGTTTTGTTTGCTGCTTCCGCCTGTCCATTCGCTTCTGGGTATGCCACGGATGAGAGCTTGAGCTGGATATTGTATTCTTGACAAAAGTCTGCGAAGGATGTGCAGTCAAATTGCTTGCCATGATCAGTAACGATGGAATTGGGAATGCCGAATCCCGCAAGTATGTTGTTGAAGACGAATCTTTCGACTTGTTTCGCCGTGATAGTGGCCAATGGCTCAGCCTCGATCCACTTCGTGAAGTAGTCTACTGCCACGATAAGGTATTTCCTTTTTCCCGAAGCTTTGGGGAAAGGTCCTACTAGGTCCATTCCCCATTGGGCAAAGGGCCAGGGACTGACGTTTCCTTGCATTGCCGTAGCTGGGAGGTGGTGTTCTTTGGCATGGGTTTGGCATGCATGACATGCCATAGCGAGTTGCTTTGCATCATTTCTCATGGTTGGCCAGTAGTACCCTTGCAATTTAAGCGTTCTTTCCAAGCTTCTCGGCCCCCCATGTCCACCACACACGCCCTCGTGAATCTCACGGAGAGCCCACTTTGCCTCAGCCTTTCCCAGACACCTAAGGTATACTCCTTCGTACGACCGTCGGTGTAGCTCCGAGCCGATGATGGTGCAACGCGCCGCTCTCCTTCTTACTCCCGTGGCTTCTTTCGGATCTGTTGGAAGGGTATCATTCATGAGGTATTCAACGATTGGCACCCTCCAATCCTGCTCTTCCTTACCGACATTAACACTATTCACCCCCATTCCTGGGGTGCTTGGGCTTTCCTTCTCGAAAATTACATGTCGCTCCTCCTCAAAGTCAACAGCGGTAGCTAGCTTGGAAAGCGCATCCGCATGCGCGTTATCCCCTCGTGCTATATGGGATAGTTTCCAATCCTCGAAAACCTGTGCTCTCTTCTTTGCCTCTTCCACAAAGCGCAGCAAACAATCTTCCTTGACTTCGAATTCTCCCAACACCTGTCGAACCACCAATGCGGAGTTAGAAAAAACATCTAGGCGCCTCGCCCCTAACTCCTCCGCAATGCGCATGCCGTTGATTAGTGCTTCGTATTCGGCCGCGTTGTTGGTCTTGAGTGTCGAGAATCGCAAGGCTACTTCGTGTGTGACACCACCCGGTGTTTCCAAGATTATACCGGCGCCTGCACCTGTCTTACTTGCCGCTCCATCAACGAACAGCTTCCATCTCCCTTCATCGGTTCCTGTAGGCTTGATCGTACCCTCTGCTAAGAAGTCTGCCAGGATTTGAGCTTTGATGGAAGGGCGGGAAGCGTATTGTATATCAAACTCACTTAGCTCAACTGCCCATTTAGTTAAGCGTCCTGAAGCACTCGTACTATGCAGAATTCTTTTCATTGGTAGGTTGGTCAGTACGGTGACCGTGTGTCCTTGAAAATAAGGTCTCAGCTTTTGGGCGGCAGTTACCAATGCCAGGGCTGCCTTCTCAATGATTGGGTACCTCCTTTCAGTTGGTAGGAGCGTTTTGCTGATGTAGTACACTGGCTGGTCTGCAAGAGTTTCAGAGTGACGCCTGACGAGCACCGCACTGATAGCTACGTCTGATATGGCTATGTAAAGGAACAAACGCTCTCCCTCCTGTGGAGCCACAAGGATAGGGGGGTTCACCAGCAAAGTTTTCATCTCCTCGAATGCTTTCTCACATGCTTCCGTCCATTTGAACTTGGATTTTTTCTTTAGAGAATTGAAGAGGGGGGCGCACCTATCCGCTGACCTTGGAATGAATCTATTGAGCGCGGCGAGTTTACCTGCTAATCCCTGAACTTCCTTTACTGTCCTTGGCGACTTGAGTTCGGCAATTGCCTTTATCTGTTTCGGATTAGCCTCAATACCGCGGCGAGTGATCATGAAGCCTAAGAATTGACCCGCACCTGCCCCGAACACGCACTTGAGGGGGTTAAGCTTCATATTGTGACGCCTCAGGTTCTCAAACGTCTCCCTTAAGTCGCTCAGGTGGTCACCCTCTTTCTTAATTTTGATTAGCACATCATCCACGTATGCCTCCACATTTCGTCCTATCTGCCCTCCAAAGACTTTGTCCACCATTCTATGATAGGTAGCACCTGCGTTCTTTAAGCCGAATGGCATCACTATATAGCAATAGTTCCCGTACGGGGTCATGAAAGTTGTTTTTTCTTGATCCTCTTTGCTGAGAGGGATCTGGTGGTATCCTGAAAACATGTCAAGAAAGCTTAACATCTCATGATTTGAGGTGGCATCGACTAGCTGGTCAATCCTTGGCAGTGGATATGGGTCCTTCGGGCATGCTTTGTTTAGCGAGGTGAAGTCGATGCACATTCGCCATGTCCCATTGTGCTTCTTGACCAATACTGTGTTTGCCAACCATTTCGGGTATTGTACTTCTCTAATAAAACCTGCCTTAAGCAGCTTCTGTACCTCTTCCATCATGGCCACCCTCCTTGCCAACGATGCCCCCCTCCTTTTTTGTTGTACTGGTACGCTCTCTGGTTTGACGGAGAGCTTGTGTTCCATAAGATCCCTAGAGACACCTGGCATGTCTTCGGGGCTCCAAGCAAACAGATCAGCGTACTCCCTTAACAGGTTGATCATTGGGAGACGCATGTGCTCTGGTAGATGGGCGGAGAGTCGGACAACCCGGCTCGGATCGTCAGGGTCCAATGGTAGTTCTATCTCTGAATCAACTGCTCCAGGGCGCGGCACCTCCGTTGGTCTGGCATCGATCGTGTGTATTTTTGGCTTGTGAATGGTCGCCGCATAGCACGCTTTTGCTGCCTTCGCATCTCCCCTGGCTATCCCCATTCCCTGGGGTGTTTGGAATTTCATCGCCTGATGGCAGGTTGACGCTACAGCTCCGAACCGAGCTAGGAAGGGCCTCCCTAGGATGGCATTATATGCGGATGCGCAGTCGGCAATGTGGAAGTCCACCGGGTGCGTGGCACTTGGTTCCTCATCTCCTACCTTGACTCTTAAGCGCGCAGTCCCTAGTACCTTCACCTTTGCTCCAGAAAAGCCGACAAGTTGAGCTTCTGAGGCTTTCATGACCTCAGGAGGTGCTTGCATTTGGCGCCAGCAGGAATAGAACAGTATGTCAGCGGAGCTCCCACTATCTACTAGTACTCGGAACACCTTGTACCCTTCCACCTGTATGTTGATGACAAGGGGATTTTCAGACGGGCCCTCCGGGGGATAATCTTGTGATGTAAATGACAAGTCGGGACCCTCTTGTTTTGCGATCTTCATACACCATGTGTCACTCGCTTGCCCCTTGCACTTCTTCTTTCGGTTGGGCTCCCCTCCTGTGATGGTTCTTATCTCTTTGACGTTCGGATTAGGACCCAGGCGCTCCTGTACTGGTGGTCTTGCGGCTGGAGAGCGACTGCGCTCCCGCGGGGACCGATTTCCTTGTTCTGCTTTCTGGAACATTTCTCTTACTCCTCCCCGATCAGAGATTATCTTAAGTGCTTTTTTGAAGTAGTGGCAGTCAACGGTGTTATGGGTGCGAGAGTTGTGATACTCGCAGTACATATCTGCTTGCCCCCGAGGTTGGTTTGTATTCTCACGGTTGGTTCGGTCTCGGCGAGGCTCTTGTGAATTTGCAAGAACGTCTCTTCTTACACAGACATTGGGACGTCGGGCATCATCTCGTCGATCTGGACTTCGTCTTCTGGTTCTAGGCGCCTCGCCCCTCCCATTTTGAGCTGGGCGCCTGGACCCACTTCCTTGCTCCTCCTCCTTTGCCCCTAGCGCCTCCTCCATGAGGATTGCCTTTTGAATCTTTTCCTCTAATTCAGCTACTTGTCGTATCTCTCGTTTGGCTAGGGAGCGCCTTAGTTCTTCGTTGGTACTTGCATCCATTAGATTGGTGCGCATGAGTGGGGGGGTTAAGTCTTTGACGTCGGCCGCGACTTCCCACCATCGCCCCATGAAGTGCCTGAGACTCTCCCCCTTCCTTTGCTTAAGATTGACAAGCGCGCGAACCGTCAGCGTTTGCTTCTTTTGGCTTGCTTACTTTGTTGTAAATAACAAAGCGAATTGGGAAAAACTCTGAATGATGCCCTCTGGGAGTGAGCAGTACCAACTACTACATCCTCCGATGAAGGTTGAGGGGAATGCCTTGCACAAGGCAGCGTCAGACGCATTGAGGAGTTGCATTTTGCGGTAGAGCGTACTTAGGTGATCTTCTGGGTCAGATTTTCCGTCGTATGAGGGTAGGCCGATGCTTGCGAAGTTTGATGGGATTTGTGTTTCGAGTACCCCCTTTGATAACGGCTACTTAATGATTTGGGCACTCCTGTCTTCCGAGGCGCCGTAGTTAAGTCGGGCGTACTTCTCCATGTAGATGTCGGTGTCAGCTTCCATTGCGTCTTCATTTGGTAAGGCGCCCACACCCTCCCGTGGGGAGTTCGTGGGTGCCGCCTCAACCTCCTGCATCTTCCCTCGGAGGCGCCTCCTCTCCTCTACGGCTTCTTGGTTCGGAGGCGCCTGGTCGTTGACCTTGGTTAGTGCTGTTAACGCGGTCATGACTTGGTCTAGTTGGCCTTGCATGTTTGCCATTTGAAGCGCTTGCTTTTTCCGAAGCTCCGCTAGTTGCTCCTCCAGGCGCTCGGCGCCTTCTCCGTCTTCTGATGGGTCGTCGTCGTCGGATACTTCTAAGCCTTGGATGGTGAGCGGTTGGGGGTTGATCGCTTCGCGACCAACCACTTGCTTGAGAGGGGTCTTTGTTGGTACCGGACTCCTTTCTTCTCCCTTCTTTGAGTTGGAAGCGTCTTTCAAAGTCATGCTTGGCCCCACGGTGGGCGCCAATTGTTTGAGCCCGGGCGACTGGGCGTCACTCGGGTCCAAGGGGTTTGGGGTGTCAGCCATGACCTTGAAGGGATAGGCGCCCCGCCTCGTCAGAAGCAAGAAAAGAGAAGAAGTATATAGAGAGAGAAAGTAGAGAGAAGTAGTAGTAAGAGTAGATAGATTGCCATTTATGAGGAGAGAACTCCTATTTATACACATTTGAGGGTTAGGTAGTGGTCTGGGCGCCTGCCAAGCCATAAATGCTCTGGTCGGGCGCCTCAGACTCTCTGACACTGTTCATAGTCCTTTTGGCAGAGGGTGTCCCCCTGCCCCTTGTCCTTGCTGATGTCAGGTGCCTGACCTTGTCTCTTGTCTCCCAGCCTTGTCTTTTTCCTCTTGTCTTCTTTCCTTCTCCATGTCATTAGCCATGGTATTAATTCTTTAGTCACTATGATACCCTATCAATTGCCCCTTTTGGCGATGCCGTGAGTATACGGTATTGTCAAACAAATATGCTCTATGCTGGTAAAACTACACAAACTGTGAAGAAATGGAAAAAGAAAGGAAGAAAGAAAGAAAATAAAAAATAAAATACATAGATAGCTCAAATAAGAGTATAGAGGGACAGGAGAAAAAATTATAAAAGAATAAATAAACAAAATAATTAAAATATTGGTAAAAATCAAACTACTGGCAAGGCATGGGGTGATAGCGAAGACGCTACCCCCTGTAGGCTGCTAGCAGCAGTTTTGGACCAAGCCCACTCAAATTTGGAGGGGGGGGGGGGTTTAATTGAGGTAGTGGAAGGTTGGGCTCTAGGGAAGCCTGCTTCAAAAACCGTGCGCCCTTTTACCTCCTTCCTATTTAAACCCTTCATCCCTTCCCTCTTCACTTTTCTTCCACCAAAATTCGGCCGCCCCTCCCCCTTCTCCTCGGCGCCTCTCTTTCCCTGCTCCCCTTCTCCTCGGCGCCTCTCTTTCCCTGCTCGCCTTTGTCTCGGCGCTTTGCTTTGCGCAGGCGCCTTTGCATCGCTTCGCTCGTCCTGTGTTTTGCCTCGCGGCGGCGTTCCTTCTTCTTCGCGCGGGCGCTCCTTCTTCTTCGCGTAGGCGCTCCTCCCCCCTTCTCACCGACGCTTCTCTCCTGGTTGTAATTGGCCCGCGCGCCTCCCATCTCCCTACAACGACGGCATCTCCTCGATAGGTAACGCCTCCCAAGCCTCCTGTTTTAATTCCTTTTCTTCGCGCAGATGGCGCTACCTATCGCAAACTAGGTGTGATTTTTAGGTTAAAGAGTAGGCGCCTCTGAAAGTGGTTTGGTGATTTGAATGGTGGCGCCTTGTACTTTGCTTTATGTTCATGGGTAGGCGCCTCTGAAAGTAGCTTGGTAGTTTGAACGGTGGCGTCTTTTGTTTCTAGTACCATTAGCTAGGTGTGATCTTGCTTTAGGTTATGGTGTAGGCGCCTCCGAGAGTAGTTTGGTAGTCTGATCAGTGGCGCCTTCCTCTTTGTAGGCGCCTAGCAAAAAGGAAAAGGGGGGCGGCGCCCCTTTGTGTAAATTTTCTTTGGTGAATTTTCTTTGGTGAATTTAATGTGATGCCGTCTGTGGGCTTCTTTCAAAAGCGCCGCCCCGCTTACTCGCGCCCCTTTAATGTAAATTTTGCTTTGTTCATGTTTTCTTTCAAAAGCGCCGCCCCGCTTACTCGCGCCTTACACTTTGTTTGCTCGCAGGTTTCGATTTCAAGACGTCAGAGGCGCCTATCAAAACACAGTCACGGGAGGCGACAACGGTTTTTTACCCGCGCGTTACCGTCTTAGGCGTTGTACACGCTTCTCCTCCAAGATTCATTTTGCTGCTCATCACTCTCTTATGGCTTCCAACAATTCTCAACCTTCTGCGTCTATGGGTGGCGCCTCTGCCTCGAAGAAAGGAAAGGAGAAGGCTTCCTTAAGCAAAGTTAGGAAGATGGGTAAGCTATGCTCTCTCTATTTTGTTAACTTTAATATCATATATTTGTTGTTTGGGAATCTTAGTGGATCAAAACAGTGTATAGACGATCCAAATGGAGACTCGCCGAGATTGCTAGTGATATCGAGGATGATCAATCATATACCCGTCTGGAGGCGCTTACTGAGGATGATACGTCAAGTGCGGATCCCGACCCTGGCACATCTTATTCTCGGACGATTATCGATTCAGGTTATACTATCTTGCCATGGCGGGGGATGTGGGGTGGTGAGGCGCCTCCTTCCTCGGCGCGCCTACTAGGTCCTGACAAGCGGCCCAGCATTCGATGCACGCTAATGTTAAAAAATATGTATCACCTTAGGCAAATCCCACATCGACAAAGCACGGGAGAGATCCATGGTTCATAAGTAGGAAACCGGCCTTAACTGAAAAGACGCGTTTTGGGGTGTAATGGAAGAGTTCTTGTAAGAACTCCGAAGTTAAACGTGCTCAGTGTGGAGTACAACAAGGATGGGTGACCTTATGGAAAGTCACCTTGAATTTCACCACAAGTCGAAATCCGTGCGGGTGTAGAGGTCCAAACCGAAAAGTATCTTGTCGAGAAAAGGTTCGGGATGTTACATCAATAACCAATTTTAAAAATTTCCTTTTCAAGTTGCATTTTCGATTTCTGGGGTTTTTTCTTCTTTTTAAAGTTTCGCGGTTATACCCTCAATTTTTTTTGTTTTTGTTTTATTCATCTCCTCTTTTTCTTCTTCACCGGTATCCGCCTCTCTCTCTCTCTCTTCTCAGTTCTCATTGATCGATCGACTCTCTCTATTGAGTATATACTGTGCAGTGTGCAACTCCGCTGTATTTCTTCTTCTGGTTCACAGTTTCGATTCCTCGAATCAATTTGCGGTGGTGATTTTGATCGGTGAGTTCAATTTCTCCCTTACCGAGCTAATCTCTCTGGTCTTTCTCCTTCTCTTTCTGTGCCAATCCTTCCCCTCAATTAGGGCCCTCCCTTCCGCAACATGTGTTGTAGTGCTTCTTTCCCGCCTCCTTCCGCTTCGTTTCAGTTTGGCGAGCGGGAAGGAAGAATCGAGCTCGAATTGCTTCGATTTCGCGGCTCATTTTGGGGAGGAAAGGAGGGGAGTTATGAGGATTGAGCTAGGTCGAGTTTTGCTGATTGGCGCTCAGTTTAGAGTTGGTCGTGTCTTCGCTCTTCTGAATTTCTCACTCTCCATCTTCTAATTCTGTTCTTCTTGCTCTAGTTAATGTTCGTCGGAGTAATGTTAGCTACTGAGTCAGGAATCCAGCTGTGGGCTTTAGGCTTTCACCGTCTGGGGTTTCTTGCTTCTCGGTGATGTGGCCGCGGCCGCCTTTCCGATGCCAAGTTTCCCAGTCCTCAGTCATTTGAAAGTTTTGCTTTCCCGACTGTTTCGTTTTCCTTGTTTCTGAGAAGTCGGCTGGAGAATTGAGATATTGGCGGCCATGAACTTTAACAAATTCATTCTTCATCTGTGTTTTCGCTTATAGAACGTTGCGTGCTCGTTCGGGAATTTTGCTTCCAATAAGATTAGATCGAGACTGCTGGTTTTCTGAGGGGCGGAGGGAGGGTTCAGTTTATTCAGTACTATGGCATTAGCATTGTGATCCTGGATCATATTCTGTCAGTTTTTGGGTATGGAAAGAAAATCAATCATTGTGCTTCTGCCGTTGTCTCCATTTCAACCTTTATCATAAGTATCTGTATGTACTGGTAGATCTTATCTTGCTCTTCCCTGAGTATGAGGTTTTAGTCTGGCATGCATGGTCAGATATCCATCTTGGTGCAGCTCGATATAACAGTTTTTAAGCTTAGGGGTTCTGGCCGAAGTGTCTCACGGCCTTCTAATTTAACTAACTGGCCTCTTGGTGCTCCTTAACCTATTTGCCAATTGGTTCTAGGTTTGTGGACATTTCATGACCTGGTTACAAAGTTTCGTTAATTGGGTAATACTTGTTCAAAGTATCAAATCTGTTTTAGGGTTGTTGGTGTTATTCTTAACATGCAGTACGGACTGGTGCTTGGTCGTGGTCATTAACTCATTATGTGGTCCAGTAATTAGCTGTTCACAAATCTATGGCTATGTTTGTTTTTTCCTTTTCCGATGGCTGTAGGAATGTCACAATTCATCTTTTGACCCTGTATATATGTCTAACATAGTTATGGTATTCCCTCTAGCAGTTTATCTTAAACTCTGAACATGTCCTACCGATTCTGTAATTATTTGCTTGGATTTATGAAAATTTAAACCCCTCACTTGTGTTCAATCAATGTCATGATTGGCAAAGTTGACAGATTACTGCTCCTGCCACTTGGGGCATGTGGGTCCTTGTTTTACAATCGTCTTATCCTGTTATCTTTCTTTAATAGTCGCCACTTGTGAGTCGTGAATTCATCAAGAATTTTACTAATGTATGCTATGGTTCCTTTTAATGTTTCAGATAATTAAGGAAGTTATCCATGGCTCCATCAAGAAAATCTAAAGGTGTGAATAAGAGGTTCTCAGGTGGTAATGAGGTTAACACTAATAATGGTTCTGAATTTGCCAACAAAAGTAGGCAGAAGGTCAGTTCAGTCTTTTTTCTTAGTATGGTAATGTTGCTATTACATGTGCTGTTAATTCCATACCATTACATTAAATATACAAACCAGGTTCCTATGTTAACCTTGCCATATAGCATATTAGCATTGCAAGCTTGTGGTGTTTATCCTTTTTTCCCCTGCTGCAGAAGCGCAAGTGGACTGGCAAGTTAGGGCCCAAATGGACCAAGGAGGAACTTGAACGTTTCTACAAGGCATATCGTAAGCATGGTAAAGACTGGGAGAAGGTTAGAAGCAACTTTCTAATGAAGAAATTGCATAGTTTGCTTAGAAAATAGACTCTTATAAATTTGGACGATCTAATGTATTTCACTTCTCCTTATATCATCTCTTTCTTACCCTTCTTTTCTCCATGTGGTGTTAGGTAGCTGCTTCTGTCCGCAGCCGGTCTGTAGGGATGGTAGAGGCACTTTACTCCATGAACACGGTATGCATTGATATCTATGAAATATGAAAGTTGCATATGAAACTGACCAGAAAAGCTGTCGTTTCGACATTTTTGATTTTATAAATGATACGGACAACTGATTTGCATTTTGCATATGACTTGACAACCACTTTATGTGAATGAATGAACTGGTTATTAGTTGCTACTGAAGGTTGTAACGAGCTATGTTATTTCTTTTCAGGCCTATTTATCTCTTCCAAAGGGCTATGCCTCTGCTGCTGGACTGATAGCGATGATGACAGATCACTACTCGAATCTGGTAAGATCTGAATTTGGTTCAAGAAAGTTAATTCTATGTCTTTTGTGTATATCTTACCAAAGTTTGTACCTTGTGCTCACAGCAAAGCTTAGATTTAGTTGCTCGTCTATGGAAATCATAAAAATATATAGTTATAAGTTTGGCAGCTTCAAATATGAGTTACTGAGAGTTTTATTTATGATAGTTTGCTGCAAGGTGTAAAATCACACCTTGTATACAATGAGGCAATTTGAAGTTCACATATTGGCTCCATGTGACTGACTTGTTCAGATTGTATCCACGGAAAGAGGTCTTATAGATCATATCCTTGCAGGGGGACAGTGAGAGTGAACAAGAAGTAAACGAGGCTCCAAGTACCTCTCGCAAACCCCAGAAGCGTGCTCGGGTGACCAAAGGTTCAGAGGGGTCACCAGTTACAGATCTGTCAAAATCTCTGTCAGCTGCATCGAATTATGGTTGCTTGTCTTTGTTAAAAAGGAGGCGCTCAGGTAAAGAATATCTTGCGACTTGTGCAAGAATTTCATTGTACTTTGTCCTTTCTTTCATCACTCTCTATCGTTGTGGTTCTGCTTATTTGTTGAACTCTTTATTAAAATATAAGGCTTCCACTCGGTATTTATGGGATTGTGATGCTGTAGTTGAATTGCTGGAGGATCTTGTTCCTTAATTATGAGAAATTTATTGCAGTGATTTGAAGTTAATTCCTTTTTTTCCAGTTCCATTTCCATCTATTTCTGATTTTCTGTTTCCTAGAGTCACTGAGGATCAAACTTGTTCTTGTCTTCGAATTTCTTCAGAAAGTAGACCGTGGGCTGTTGGAAAACGGACTCCCCGAGTCCCAGTTTCTTACTCTTATGACAAAGATAAAGAAGAGAGCTATATTTCACCGATTCGGCAAGGTCTAAAGTTCAAGGCCAATGCACTTGATGATGATGATGATGTCACACACAGACTTGCATTAGCACTTACGGTAGCCTCACAAAGAGGTGGCTCCCCACAAGTTTCTCAAACTCTGACCAGGAAAAGAGGTTCTTCCTCACCAGTTCAGAATGGTGAACAAATGGTAATTACTTAACTGGATTGTCCGTTGCTTTCTTCTGAGTTGGTTTTGAAGTTTGAATGACTTGTATATTGATGTTGATTGTCTACTTATATGTAGCGTGCTGATTCAGAGATGACTAGTGCAAAGCTTCGCTGTAGCGAAATGGATGACAGTGGTTGTGAACTAAGTTTAGGAAGCACAGAAGCTGACACTGGAGATTATACAAGGGATATAACATTCTTGAGAGGGAAGAGATACCAGGGATGGAGACCAGAACTAGAAGAAAGTGTAGACAATCATTTGGATGAGATAAAGGAAGCCTGTAGCGGGACAGAGGAAGGACAGAAACTTGGTGCTGGTAAAGGAAGATTTGAGGCAGAAGTCTCTAATTCAAAACTGTCAAGGTCCCCATATGATAGGGCTCCCAAGAAGAAAAGCAAAAAACTTCTCTTTGGAGAAGGTAAGGGAAATCTGTTTCATCTGTGATCTGCGCTTGAAGTATTGTGACAGAGTTCTAGTCTGTAGCCTTTGAAACCTTGGGGTGCAACTGCTTTCAGTATCCCTTGACGTAGTTAGGAACTGTTTAGTGCTCTATTCTTTCACTCCTGCAGTTTCTAGTCATATTATGCTTCATATGGCCTTGCATTCCATTTCCCCTGTTTTAAATGTGCCATCTCATATGCCTTTCTCTTTTCTTTCTCAGGTGAAGATATTGCCTTGGATGCCTTGCAAACTCTAGCAGATTTGTCATTGAGACTGCCAGATGGACCCATGGATACAGGTAAAATACTTGCTGTAACATGTGACCCAGGTTTGGATCAATATTTTATCTAAATCTATCTTTCTTGTTTCTTTTTCAGAGTCATCTGTGCATGCCGATGAAGGAAAAACTGGAAATGTTGTCAAGTCTAAGTTGAAAGGCAATTCTTCGACTTCGGGAGTTAAAATTACTCCCTCCAAGTCTAATAAGCAACCAAAATCTGCACTTGGTGTTATTGCTTTACCAGATTCTAAGGATGGAAGCCATCAGATTAATTCAGGGACTCGTAAAAGGAGGAATAAGCCCCCGCAGCCAAAGGTATAATTGATGCAATGTCAAGTCACATCTGTTTGCTGCTTTCCAACACCCCTAACCTTTGACTTCTTGCCCCATCATTGTCTTTATATTCCATGCATTTGACGCCTGCAAATGGGTTGTGTTGACATGCAGACTTCAGAAAATGAAAAGCACCTGGGTCCTTGCTTGGGTGAATCACAGAAGATTGAGGTAAACAATTCTTTCTAATATGAAGTTGTTGGGCTCACCGTGATGATCCATTTACCTTTCTCAACTTACATATCTTGTGTTGCTTTCCATCTCTGAGGCTCTTCTTCTGAAATTTATTGGTTACTCTGCAGAGGTTGCTTCTCTCAGATTTAAGATTTCAATGGTTTTCTAGTAGTTGATAACTTACTTGGAAGCGGACACTCTGCAAATTAGTAAGTTCATCCTCCAACGTGTAAAAAAAAAAAAAAAATGTTGCGGAGCAGTTAGGTGCAATGTAGTCAAAAGCGCGTTACTATGTAGAAACGGTTTGGTAATCTAGAAGCGTAAAATCGTAATTTTTTAAGCTTTAAAGCATAGTTTTTAACTACATTAGTTACAAAAACGGAGATTATGCGTAGAAGTGTTTTGGTGACCTAAAAGCGTAAAACCGTAAGTTTTTAAAATTTAAAACGCAATTTTGACTACATTGGTCAGGTGCTCGTGTTGAAGGTCTTGTACCTTATTCTTTCCTAGTTTATCAAGTTAGTTAGCTCTGGCCCTTGTCTACTGTGTTATACAATTCATTTTTACTATAACCCAGCAGTGCTTTTTTCAGACAGTTCCTTTGGGCATTTTAGTCCCCGAGCTCTCTTGTTAATGATTTTTCTATGTCCCTGCTCTTTAGGTTGTTCGTGATACGAATACCTACGTCGATGAACTCAAATCTTCTCATGATGCTCCATCTGTCAAACAAAAGAGATCAACAAAGCCACTAGAACGTACTTCTTCGAGCGTTGATCCTGTAAGAGACTCAAATGATTCAGGTCCCTCAACAGCCCAAGCCGCATCTTCAAACCAGTTCAGTCTTCCTACCAGAGTACGGAGTCGGCGTAAAATAAACGCACCCAAACCACTGCTTGAGAAAGATATAGAGACTCACGATGGCCTTAAAAATGGTCAACCCAAAGTTTCCATCCCTTCATTCCAGGACCAAGCTCTCATTCTTAAGGTTTTACATCCAATGACTGCATGTGTTGCCTATGAAGCTATTGTTCCTACATGCTCTTTACTAAACTTTATGTCCTGGTATTTTATCTTTGCAGGAGAATCTTAGCAACTGTCTTTCTCGGTATGAACTAAGGCGTTGGTGTGTCTTTGAGTGGTTCTATAGCGCCATCGATTACCCTTGGTTTGCTAAAAGGGAGTTTGTGGAATACCTAGATCATGTTGGTTTGGGTCATATCCCAAGATTAACTCGTGTAGAGTGGGGCGTCATAAGGAGGTACAAAGTCTTTTGAATTTGTTCTTACCATTCATTATTTTCTTTCACCCGGTGTTTTTCACTGTTCCATATAACTCTGGGTTGTACATCACTTTATTTGGTGTTTCTTAATGCAGTTCTCTTGGTAAACCAAGGAGATTCTCTGAGCAATTTTTGAAAGAAGAGAAAGAGAAGCTTAATCAATACCGGGAATCAGTTAGGAAACATTACAGTGAACTTCGTGCGGGTACTAGGGAAGGACTTCCAACAGATCTGGCTAAACCTTTATCAGTTGGGCAGCGTGTCGTTGCACTTCATCCGAGGACAAGAGAAATCCATGATGGGAATGTGCTAACTGTTGATCATAATAGGTGCTGCGTTCAATTTGATCAACCTGAGCTTGGGGTGGAATTTGTCATGGTAATTTCCTTGTTGTATTCAGAATTTGCAAAGGCACGTTAGAATTTTCCGCTTGTTTTTTTAATTGCAAAGTATTAAAGCAGTATTCCTCATTTTAGCTTTTCTGCTGCTATGATTTATGCTACTGCAGGACGTTGATTGCATGCCATTAAACTCAGCAGAGAATCTGCCTGCTTCTCTTACCCGACATGGTCTTGCTCTGAACAAGTTTATAGAGAACTTGAATGACTATAAAAAAAACGGGTCACTGACCGAGAAAACAATGGAAGGGCATGCAAAGGTAATCCATCCAGAGAGCCTGGAAAACGCCAATGGTTTCCCTCATATTCCTCCACCAAATTATCATGTCACACAGCCTTCACAGGTTAGAAACTAGTCAAGCTGGTAGTCTATGGCGATTTTTTCCTCGACAGTTAACTGCATGCTTGTTGCCTGTCCCGATTTCTTATTTGAAAATCTCTATGAATTAGACGACCTCGTGATTCAACTACCGTGAATATTTATGTACACGGATTATATTATGATGGTAAATTATTTTGACCAGGGGATTCCTCTAGGTCTGGCTGCACCGGTTACTACTGGATTTTGTGAAGCCATTAGTCGCCAACAAGCGGCAATCGCTCAGCCTTCTATTCATGCACACATACAAGCGAAGGAAGCCGATATTCAAGCGCTATCAGAATTAAGCCGCGCTCTTGAAAAGAAGGTCAGTGTTCCTTTCCAGCTAATCTGTTCACCTAGAGATTTTTTGTACCAGTTGATAACCCACACTCATATAATTACGTATCGGTGCATGTTTTTGTTCTTTTTTCTTCAGTAACTTTTGCGTAGTTATACTTCCTGGTATAATATCAGAATTTAGCACTCCATAGTCATGATCAATCTGTATCACGTTATCTAGAGTGACTTATAGTGAAGCATGGGCAGTGGTATTTGGGCCTAACCAATATTTGGATTGAAATGGAGCGGATCAAAGTATATGTGACTGGTTTCAATTGTCAAATTCGAGACATCTTTAGTTGGAGGATCCTTGTAGAAACCATGAAAAATATCTGACTGAATTGGAACCAGACCAGACCAAATAAGACCTTTGTGGATCCGATTGTAGTTGTCATGTTTTGCATATATTCCATCCGACACTATACTGGTTGGTTCAATTCTGGACCAGACTGGACAGCACCCATCTCTACTTGTAATCAGCCATTCAGCATGAAGCACGTTCCTAATATTAGATTCTTGGTTTAGTTAGTACCTTCATTCGAAGCTGATGAGTTTTTGTCTTTTCATTTGCAGGATGCCGTGGTATCCGAATTGAAGCGCATGAACGAGGACGTGCTAGAAAACCAAAGCAGCAATCTCAGAGATTCAGAATCTTTCAAGAAGCACTATGCTGCAGTATTGCTACAGTTGAATGAAATCAACGACCAGGCAAATAACTAATGCTCCAACATCTTCATATCCGCAGTTCATTTCCACGGTATAATACCCTGGAACATGGTCTCAAATTCTCTATCCTTCATTTTCCATGCAGCTTTCTTCTGCACTCTTTAGCTTACGACAGCGAAACACGTATCAAGTAGCTATTCCAGCCATAACCGTTGGTGAGCCGGTTCTGTACTACAGCTCGTCCAATCACCCTGTTGAGGAGGTCCAAGATTCTGGGGCTCATGTAGCTGAAATCGTTGAAACTTCGAGGTCGAAAGCCCAAATAATGGTCGATGCAGCAATGCAGGTACTACTCCTTTCCCTGTAGTATAATTCTTCGAGCCCATTTGGCTCGATGGATAGGAGGTAATGACGGTAAAATGAGTACTTGGTCCTTCAAATTCATACAAAAGAGAGAATTTAGATACGATACAGTAAATTTAGATCAAGCAAAGACACCAACCGATGCCTAGGAATTCACTAACTTGCGCTAAAAATATTTTCCCTGTCTCAGGCCGTGACATCTCTGAACAAGCAAGAAAGCGACATCGAGAGTATCGAGGAAGCCATTGATTTTGTCAACAGCCAGATCTCCTCCAATGAGTTAACCACACAGTTAGCTGCACCACCTAACCCAGTGATTTCAGTTCAGGATGCTACCGGATCCCAAGATCAGTCGACTCTCAATGCAGTGGCCAACCACACGTTGGATGCCAAGTCGTCGAACAACACGACTGACCTGAACGAATCACAGATTCCGTCGGAGCTAATAGCACAATCCGTAGCCACCCTGCTCATGATCCAGGTACAGACGACATTCCTTTGCTCTCCCTCCACGTTTCCATATTACCAGAACCTCGTACTAAACAACCATGTGCTCATCTCCAGAAATGTACGGAGCGTCAGTTTCCACCGAGCGACATTGCTCGGGTACTCGATTCCGCAGTAGCGAATATGAAGCCGTCGTGTTCGCAGAACCTTCCGGTTTATGCCGATATACAGAAATGCATGGGTATCATACGGAACCAAATACTGGCCCTCATACCCACGTAACTTGGTAATCGCAGATTGTACGTTCAATATGTGAAAGAAAAAGGGGGAATTGAAAAGAAAAAAATTCTCCCCTTTTTGGTCCTTCTTTCTTCCTTTCTGTAATTGATCAATTCTTCTTCCTTGTGTTTGTTCCCTGTAATGTATCAATTGGAAGATACAGAGATGGGGGAAAATAATTGTGTACTTCTACGCCCCTGTTCTCAGTTATATATATGGATAAAAAAAAAGTGCATTGCTTCAAAATTTGAAACCTCTGTTCGAGATGGTGGAACCCGATCGGTTTCGTTTCGTCTATCAAAATGTCATGAACATGTCATTTGGTCGTGCAACGAACATTTCATTGTTTGGTTGTTCACTCGAAAGCAAATGCAGTACCCTCGACATTTTGCACCTTTGATAAGACCTGAATTTTGCGCGAATTTCAGTGATCAATCATTCAAACGATGGATAGTGCAGTACGCTCGACATTTTGCACCTTCGATAAGACCTGAATTTTGCGCGAATTTCAGTGATCAATCATTCAAACGGTGGATCGTCTGCAATCTACTTGTCTCGTCATGCGGCATCGTGTACTCGTGTTGCAACTTGCAAAAATCGCAAAGACTCGAATAGTCAAATGCCTCTCTTTCTCTCGTGGTAAAAAACTCTTAACAATCTACACATAATATAATACACCGAAGGGAAAAACGGGAGCCCCATTTCAAATTTCCTGCAACGAGAGTGAAAGTAGGAAGGACATTTTGGTCTTCACACTTACTTTTTTTAATTCATTAAAAAGACACGTAGTGGGATTCAAACCATGACCATTTTAAGGAAAAGTAAGGATCATAACCAATCACACTAAGTACATTTGTTGCATCTTTTTAAATTAAAAAGATATAATAGCAGAGAGGAAAATACCCTTCCCCCATTTCAAATTTCCTGCTCCAGGAGCGTTTGTAGGAATGATAGAATAGGGAGTGTCAATTTTTTCCTCTTTCCTCTGTGGAACGGGCCAACTTACCGTACACATGCGGATTTAAACGGGTTCAAGAGTGTCAATTTTTTCATTAAGCCCTTTTATTTCTCCGTGGTGATAAAATATATATGAAGAGGCAAAAACAATACTTCTTTTTATTGCTAAAAATAAAAAATTTAACAATAAACTAATGCATGGTATCTAATGGGCTAACCGCTAACCATAAAATAAAAGAGTTGAATTGGTTTGACCTACACGGGATTTGGCCATCAAGTAAAACAAATGAACATCATTGGTTTGACATTCTAAAACAAGCTATTTTCTCTGGCATAATATATTATGCTATTATTTTATATCTTAGTGGCTAAAATATAATGTATTTAAAGTTATTCAATGGTTCAACCTCGACCAACCCAATTAGTCCAATTTTTATCATTTCAAATATATATTATATAATTATTTGATATCATAATGATCAAATCATAGTGTATTTTATAGGGAATCGTTTGGTATTTGTTAGTAAAAAACTAAACAGAAAGATCTATTTGGTTATTTTAAACATTAAAACGATCCTAACATTTTCAGTTCATTTTGAATTTCTATGGTTTTATTCCCGAATAAGTGATGTGCAAATGGCAGTCATCTCTTTTCTTTCACTATTTTTTATTTTCAAATAAAAAGTTTAAAAGTAAAGAATAATTAGAATTTGGCATGGGTCGGTCAAACAGGCTGCATTTCAAGTTTTGGCCCCTTTTGATCAAGTCTAATTTATAATCACATGGTTCCCTGATACCCGATAAAAATCTCAATCCAAACCAGTTTGCAGGTGAGTCCGTGTTTACCACCATTTTCTAGGGATACGACAACGACGGTTCCTATCCCAAATCGTGTTGTTCGTTCTTTATTTCCTTAGATTTTATCATAGCCTGAAAAAAACCAGAAAGCACAATGACGACAAGATGAAAGTTTTATAAACCAAATTAATCGGCCAACAGGCCGAGTAAAAGCTAGCAACGATTGTGAGATGCTCATTTCCCGAAAACCGACGGGATAGGCGATTTTTTATTCGATTTTCTGGAATTCAGTTTCTATAAAACTTACTCCACCTCATCATATTACCAGAAACAATATTGTTTCACAAGGTAACAGGTACTTGATTTTGGTTCATAAGGCCGATTTTTGATTTGTTGCATCATTAATGTCTCTTTCCTGCTAAAATTCACTATTTTTATCACGTGTTTCCCAAAAAAAAACTATACAACAATAAGTTATACACCCCATTACATTATCAAATTTCATACCTCACCTTCCTCTAGGGATGAAAACAAAATCCGAACCCACGGGTACCCACCCTACCCAACTCGGTCAACGCGGGTAAAATCCGTGTTGACGGGTTTTGGGCCGGGTTTGGGTTTAAACCCGTTCAATATTCATCGGGTTGGGTTGGGTTTGGGTTTAGGTAAACCCGACCCATGGGTACCCGCCCACATCCATATAATTAATTTTCTCGATATATTTAATATTCTAAACAACTTATCTTATTTATGTTTGTGGAGACATGTCTAATTTTTTCTTTCTAATTGTGTAGAATGAAGTTGATGTTATCGAGTGGAGAGTGAAGAAACTTAATTGAAAGGAAGAAGCTTTCAATTAATCATGTTATTTATGGATAATTTGTTATTTGCTTGAATTTTCTAGAATGGTATTTTATATATGGATAATTTGTATTGAGAGATTGATATTTGACTTTAATTTTGATAGCAACTTGTTATTGTAAATTTTTTAAGACAAAAACCTGTGGGTACCCATGAACCCGCGAGTACCCAGGGGGTTGAGTTGGGTTTGAGTTTTTCAAACCCAGTAAATTTTACCCCGAATTTTTTTCACGAATAAACCCATGAATTTGGATTTGAATTTGGCAAAACCCGACCCAACCCAACCCGACCCATTGCCATCCTACCTTCCTCTCCGGCCAAATGGCCGGGGCCCACACTAGTTCAATTTCTACCGTGGTAAATTCCCTAGTGCGCACGTGCCGCTCCCAACTTGTTTTCGAGTTCAACATGGACAAGGACTCGCTGGCAATTTCCGAAAAGGAAAAGGACTTGTATTGTAATTATCCAACAACTCCTGCCGCAAAAGGGTAAAACCCTTCGCTTTATATATAACCTTCGGTCTGCGAGATTACAAACCCTCTCTCGCTCTGTGTTTTCTGCTCAGCTTCTGCTCCTTCTGTTTCCCATCCTTCCCGAATCCGAAGAGCGTAGCCTCTGCAGCAGCAAGCATGTTGGTTTATCAAGATCTCGTAACCGGTAAGCATCTACTCCTACAATCATCAGTTTTTTTTTTGCTTTCAATTGGCACCTAGAATCTTATCTCTGTTTTGTTTTCAATCGGGGTTCTTTGCTTTACGAATCGTTGGAGGGTTTTCTTGTTTGTTTGTGAATTTCAGTATCTCAATCCACCTTGTTCGAATTAGTTTGGACTGAAATCTCGCACCCTAGATCTACGATTAGAGATCGGCGGCCGCAACTGACTTTATTTGTTATCCGTTTCTTCTTATCTAGCTATCTGCTTACTTTGTTTTTTTTTTTTTAATCTGATTTGGGTTTTGATGTCCAATTGATTCGTGTATATAGCTGTAGTCCCAGCTCTGATGCTAAAAGCATGGTAGATGTTGAATCTTTGATGTGTAGTTGTTGCTTGGATGAGTGGGTTATGTTTCTGTAGCTTTCAAATCGGTGCGATGTCAATACTAATGTTGTTTTGTGATGTACAGGTGATGAGCTTCTCTCTGACTCATTCCCTTACAAAGAGTTTTTGGATGGAGCTTTGTGGGAAGTTGATGGAAAGGTTGGTATTTGTTTCTTCTCAGTTTTGGCGGATGTGTGATGGGGGCTTGGTACTTGATGTGTTGAATGGTCTAATAATTTGTCCAAGTTTGGCTCTTTCTTTCTGGTTCATAGTGGGTTATTCAAGGCGCAGTCGATGTCGACATTGGTGCGAACCCTTCTGCTGAAGGAGGTGGTGACGATGAGGGTGTCGATGACCAGGCTGTCAAGGTTGTCGATATTGTCGACACCTTTAGACTTCAGGTGGGGGCTCTTTCTCCTATCTGGAACGGTTTGGAACCCTTAGCCATCGTGAATTGGAATCTGAACCATCTGTGTGTATATTGTTTGCAGGAGCAACCCGCTTTTGACAAGAAGCAGTTTGTTACCTACATGAAGAGGTACATCAAGGTCTTGACCCCTCTCTTGGAAGGGGAGGCACAGGAGAAGTTTAAGAAAACCATTGAGCCAGCAACTAAGTTCCTCCTCTCTAAGCTCAGCGACCTCCAATTGTAAGTACTCATCTCCATCTTTCTTTAAGCGGGCTTCATTGCAATCCCTTGTCATTGTACGTTTGTTAACGAACCTGGCTTTGATCGACTGCAGTTTCGTCGGGGAGAGCATGAAGGATGATGCCACCTTGGTGTTTGCGTACTACAAGGATGGTGCTGCTGACCCTACATTTTTGTACCTCCCCCATGCATTGAAGGAGATCAAGTGCTAGAAAGAGAGAGATGAGTAGCGGCGGGATGAAGTTAAACACACTTCATTCGCTGTAGTTTTATTTTTGGTTGGTTGTCCCCGTCTTCTTTTCGCCCTTCTGTACTCGTAAACTCTGCTTTTGTTATCGCAGTATTTCGTTATGTGACTCGTGTTTGATAGCGCTATTGAGGATATTTATTGTTCGGTGTGACACATAATTTAGTTTGGTATTGATGCTATCGTTGCATTATGGTTTTGCTTCTTTAGATCACCAGTCGACAAGGTCGAAACAGCAATGATTCGGATGCTCTCCAAAACTTGTGGTATAACAAGAGGTGCAGCTGGGAATTAATGTTGAAATAATACCGCCAAAATTTTGTATTACGAATGAAAACTTGACCGAGGCATGAATATGAGGAGATAAATTGTGCATATACATTAATACTTAACTTGCTTTGTAACCTGGACTGATAGAACCTGAAGACCATTCTACAAGCTCCTCTTCACGAAAGGTAATATCCCTAACTCTGATTGGAGTCTACAAGCTTTACACAGGAAAATCACCCCGGAGATGAATGAAACCCTGCTGAAACCTATGAGAATTGAGGAGATTAAGGAGGCCCTTGATCAAATGGGGCCAACAAAGGCCCCGGGTTCTGACGGTTTTTCTGCAGGTTTTTTTCAGAAAAATTGGGGTGTGGTGGGCCCTAAGGTGATTGAGATTGTGATGAACTTTTTCAGAAATGGTGAGCTCCCTCAGGAGCTTAATCATACTCTTATTTCCCTAATCCCCAAGGTGAAGTCTCCGTCTACTCCTAAGGAATTCCGGCCTATAAGCCTTTGTTGTGTGGCCTATAAGATTATCTCTAAAGTGATGGCTAACAGGTTAAAGGGAGTTTTGAATATAATTATCTCTGAAGAACAGAGTGCTTTTGTTCCTGGAAGGAGTATTACTGACAATGTTATTGTTGCTTTTGAATGTTTCCAGTATATGAAGCAGATGGAACGTGCAAAGAATGGTTATTTTGTTGCCAAACTTGATATGGCCAAGGCCTATGACCGTGTTGAATGGTCTTATTTGGAAAACGTTATGAAGAAGTTGGGATTCGCGGATAGATGGATTGATCTAATTATGAAATGTGTCACTACGGTTTCCTATTCGATCCTGGTTAATGGGCACAAGTCTGATAGTTTTAAACCCTCTCGTGGGCTTCGGCAAGGAGACCCACTCTCTCCATATCTCTTCTTGTTGTGTGCAGAGGGGTTATCCGCTCTTATAAAAAAGGATGAAAAAGAGGGGAAGATAGAAGGTATTCAGATCAGAAGACAGGCTCCCTCTATCTCTCACCTTCTCTTCGCGGACGATAGTATAATTTTTGGACGAGCCACTCTTAAGGGATGTGACCAGTTGAAAGAAATTTTGAGGATTTACTCGGAAGAGTCAGGACAACTAATCAATTATGATAAATCTGAATTATCTTTTAGCAAGAATGTCAGATGCAGTAGAAGGATGGAAATATGTGGAACACTCGGAATAAAGGAGGTGGATAAGCTCCCGAAATATCTGGGTCTACCTACGGTAATCAGCAGATCCAAGAAAGCTATTTTTGAGGATATAAAGGAAAGAGTCAGGAAAAAACTCAAAGACTGGAAGAATCGAACTATGTCACAAGCGGGGAAAGAAATCCTAATAAAAGCTATTGCTCAAGCCCAATTCCTATATCCGATGTCTGTTTTCCTCCTTCCAGATGGATCTCTTAAGGAAATTCAAAATTTGATTGTCAATTTCTGGTGGGGGCAGAAGGGAAAAGAAGTCAAGATCAAATGGATTGGTTGGGATGAACTCTGTGACGAAAAGGAAGAAGGGGGTTTGGGTTTCCGTGATCTTAAGGCCTTCAATCTGGCCATGTTAGGGAAACAGATCTGGAATCTTATATCGAGACCTAACTCCCTGATGACGAAGGTTTTAAAAGCCCGGTATTTCCCTAAAACTGATATATTGAATGCTAAACTGGGCTATCGCCCTAGCTACATTTGGAAGAGCATCATGGAAGCAAAGGAGAAGATTGCAGATGGTTTTCGATGGAAGGTGGGTGATGGCAAGGCCATTAGAATCTGGGAGGATGAGTGGATCCCCGGAAAGTCCTTTTACTGTCCGGATCCTACTCCCGCAATGGAGGCCCCTGACGGATATGTCAGTTCTCTTATTGATCATGAAATGGGAAGTTGGAACTGTGCCAAAGTTCGGGATCTTTTCTCTAGTCAGGATCATGCTCTAATAGCAAACATTCCCCTGTGTTTTCCTTTAAAGGAGGACTCTAGGGTGTGGAAGGATTCTGAAACAGGGATTTATTCGGTCAAAACTGCCTATTCGCGGATCAGGAATAATCAACAACACACAGTGGCTAGAAGACACAGTAAAGAGGATGACGATGATGAATTCTGGAAGAATCTATGGGCTCTAAACACGCAACCGAAGGTGAAATTTTTCCTGTGGAAATTATGTAAGAACATTTTACCTGTTGGGGCTAACGTTGAAGAGTGGTTTGAGGAAGCTTGTGTTGAATGCCCATTCTGCAATCTCAGGGAGACCCAAATGCATGCGCTCAGAGAGTGCGATTGGATCCGAAGACAATGGCAATCAAGTGAAGTTAGCGAGCTTTTTGAAAAAGGGAATAATAAATCGTGCTTGGAATGGATGAAGGAGATTTGGAAGGATTGCGATTTATCTAAGATTCAGAAATTTACCTTAGTTTTGTGGCTTCTTTGGAAAGAGAGATGCAACCATAAATATAACAACCAGAAGCTTGAAGAGAGTGAAATTATCCCGCGCGCCCTGGCTTGGATTGACACCTACCTCGCTGCCCAGAACCCAGAGGAAGTGCAGCGGAGGGTTGCTGGTGGAGCTGGATCCTCGGCGACTCAAACCTCCTGGATCCCCCCTCCTCGTGGCGCCTTCAAACTCAACACGGACGCCGGAGTTTTTCCCCAGGGGGGTGTGGGTCTCGGTTGTGTAATCAGAAATGAAGAAGGAGCCTTTGTGGGGGCTTCTTTGAAGAAGGAAAGAGGTACATGCAGGGTAATTGAAGCTGAGGCGAAGGCCATTTTTATGGGGTTGGTAGAAGCAAATCGGCGAGCCATCAGCCCTTTGGTGGTGGAATCCGACTGCCAAGCTTTAATCTCCAAGCTTCAAAGAAGGGATGCTGATGCTTCGGAGTTGGGTGTGTGGTGTGAAAAGATTTGGAATTTGGCTAAGGTCAACGAATCCTTTTCTGGGCAACAGGTCACTTGGGTTTATGTGGGAAGAAAGGCAAATACGGTAGCGCATTGGTTGGCTCACTCAGGAGCTCGATGGGATCATCAAGTTGTATGGGTGGATGACCCGCCGCTTTCTCTATTATCGTTGATGGAAAACGATCTGTGCCCAAGCCCATGTAATCAGCCTATTTGATCTTTGAATATAAGTTCTGCAGGTTCCCATCAAAAAAAAAAAAAAAAAAACTTTTAAAATTTTGTAGTTATGTAACTATGTAATAATTTCACATTTGAAGAAATGATTAAACCTTCAATTAAAATATCCATCTTTCCAAACAAACCTACTATTTTCTTTCAACTAAGGGCTGGATCTCTCAATCTTCCAAAACTCAAAACACATAACTTTAACTTAAAGCAAAAACTTCAATCCAAGAAGAAGAGAAAAAGAAGTGTATTCCAAGATATGATTGGTTAGCCATGAATTGGAGATCTCTACCACCACTACTGCCATAACATGATTTCCTTTTCCTCCTCCATTCTCCCCATTGTGTTTATATTATTATGATCATAACAACTCACCCCCTTAATCTTCAATCTTAATCACCATTTTCCAATTTATTGATAGGAAATTGTCCTTGATTAGGCAAATATATATGGGTTGGGTTCCATCATAAAAAGGAGAACACTTAGTCTTAGGTAGTTCATTTCAATACTTTTAATTTGTTTTGGTCTTGTAACGCATTCCCCTTAAAGTAATACACATGACAACTCAAGGCAAGGACCGCCCAGCTAGAACATTAACATAATAAGTAGCGATATCGGATATATGTATAATATGCTCTTATACATATATGGTGGCGTCTTCGGTGCACTCACTTTTTTGGGTGCATTCAGTGCACTCGCTTCATAACCGTCATTTTAAACATGCGATTTATGTTAAAATGATGTCAATCATCACTTATGATGTGATGAACAATAAAGCACATTAATTTGCACAAAAACTATTGAAAATTTACTTTAATTTGAAGAATTTAGAGTTCAGAGATTTAGGATTAGGGTTAGGGTTTACAATTTGGGGTTTAGGACTAGAACTCAAAATTGGAGGTCTAGGGCTTAGGATAATCTGCTAATTAGTTGTTATTATATGTTATATAATCATATTACACTAATTCTACAAATTAAAATTCAAAATCCGACACCTTAAGACTAGTTTTTGAGTTGGGTGCATTGTACGCACTCATTTTTGTGAGTGCACCGAAGTAGTCACCATACATATATAAGTAGGGATATCGGATATGTGTCGCCCAAACTAAGATTCGTCTGTGGTCGACAACCTATGCATGGAAATTTTAATAGAAGAAATAATATTTCTAAAATATAAGAACATGTTTGATGTAAAAAAAAAAGAAAGTAAAATGACATGATAATAAGAATGTATAATACAAATACATATTATACCTATTATTAAGTAACTTGTCACGAAACCTAGCATTAGTTCACGTCATTTCTACTTACCTATTCTTCTTTATTCATCTATATCCTTCCCAACAACTCGATCTAAGTTCTGAAAAATGACGGACCATAACACCGATCACTTTGTAATTTGAAACCATCATATTCATACCGTCTCGTTACAAATCGCGCACGACTTGAGTGGTTGACACCGATTTGATCAATTTGCAAAAAAAATTCCACAATTTTTCCTTTCACATTTTCACGATTTCCCCATGATCTGTCACACGGAACAAATGAACTCAAACCAATTCGCGATGAACCATGATCTGCCTATGATCCAACTTCCACCCGTTTACACCAGTTAGATGATTCTTCCTGCCTGGGGAGGACAGCGACTCCTCATATGTCAAAGCAACGGAGCGTGGGGAGGAGGACCAAATCAGCTGATTCCTGAAAGGAAATGTCACGGCCTAATTTATCCACCCACGCCTTTTTAGGGATTTCCAATTCCCACGTTGCACACATAGCCAAAAACCACCTTTCAATTCAGGGATTCTATAGTTTACAATACACGCTCTGTGGGCATCTACCAGTGAGAGAAAGAAGAAGAAGAAGAAAAAAAATGTTCAGAAGGCAAAGACAGCCAGCAGGGTGAGCAGTTCGACCGTGATTAACGCCGACTTCTTAATACTTAGAATCTCTAACCCCTAAAATATTATCTTCCGAGCCATAAGTACTCCCCGTATCAATTAACATCGTCACGACTAACACATCCTCAATTTGTACAAGTTGGCGACGAGACAACATTGTCGAAGTCGATTATGAGGAGGTGGAGGGAAGGGTGGGAATCCTTTAGACCACATGGTGGTACTCACCGTGTATAATTGCGCGAATTGTCTATCATACAAAACAGTGTAATCTTCCACTTAAATAAACCGAGAGGTAGATTATAATTCGCTTACGTAAAGTGAGGTGTGAAAAATCAAATAAACGAGAAAATGTCACAAAATTCCGTAATCTCAAACCTCTTCAAACAAGGGTTGTTTGGATGATGAAATTCAATGAGATAATTTGGCAAGATAAAGTAATTTTTACTCAATTGGCTCAAAATGAAGCAATTGAGTCAAATCATCTCGTTTGACAACACATAATAGAGATGCAACAATTGGGTTGAGCCAATTTAAATTACTTCATTTTACATCAATTTAAATTGACAGAAAAAAAGACAAACATTTTGAAATGATATGGGACGAATGAATTTTGAAACTATTAAATCAAATTGCCTCATGTTTTTACATTCATCATTCAAACGAAGCAAGAAGTTCAATGGCGTTCACGAGTATTTGCATCCCCAAAAAAAAAAAAAAAAAAAAAAATACACCCTAATGATTAATGAAGTCAGCCCCCTCCCACTAAAATACGTGATTTATCCTAATTAACTGTTTTACGAACACATTTCTTTCTTTTATCGTCTTTATCCTAATTAATTTTTAATCCAAGATGAAACAAATACAGGTTATTATTATCTCACTTAATCTCTCCGTAATAATTTCTTTTTAAACCCGGATGATTATATACTTGGAGCGAAAAATTAATCATAACGTACATTCCTTCTCTCCCAACCCAAAAAATCGCATTTCCCTCTTTCAATTCGCAGTTCCTTCCTTCCTGCGCAACACAGCAATTCTGCGATTTCCGTCCGCCAAGCCCAGCTATTCTCCTAGGGTTTTGCATTCGATCATTCTTCGCGTTCTAGATCTGATCGCCAACTCCGATTTCGCCCCGCTCTTCCCGAGTTTTCTCTATCGCCGCCGGCGCAGATCTCGATCTCTTCCGCTCCGGTAACTTTACCCTCTCTCTGTTTCTTCGCTGCATTGTGTTTGGCTTGGCAACGATATGGATTCTGGAGGTCGAATTTGAGATCGGAATTTCGCATTTGTGTGTAATTGTTTTGTTTGGATTGCAGGAATATACTCTGCTTTCTTTTTTTTCCCCCTAGAGAGGAATCCGATTCCGGAGGAAAGCATTTTCTTTCTATGTTCGTGTTTGGATTCGAATTTTCTCCTCCTTGTGAGTGCTTTTTCCCTCGGGTTGTGTTGACTTGAGTGATTTCTATTCTGGTTTTTTTTCTCATATTTGGTTTTCGGGCTTTCTGTTCGCGAAGCGGCGATAAACAGATCTTGAAAATTGGCTCCGCAAAAGCGATCGCAGCGCCACATGGGTGGCCATGTGCAGCAGACCAATGCTGCAGCGGCGACAGCTTTCTACGATCACGCCGGCGGCGGCGGGGCTCTGCAGAATGCAGCCGCCACAAGCGATGCCGGTGATGCTGTAATGGCGCGGTGGCTGCAGTCGGCCGGCCTGCAGCATCTGGCGTCTCCCTTGGCTTCCTCCGGCATCGATCATCGCTCGCTGCCTAATCTCCTAATGCAGGTAGCTTCATCAACCGTTTCTTACTGAATTCGGATTTGGATTTGGATTCGGTTTCTTCACGTTTCTGTTTGCCCGCAGCCGCCGCTTATAGTTCCATTTGTTGTTTACGTGATGACTTCGTCTGAGTTCTATGCTAAGTTAGCGTCTCACGATTAGGTGAAGGGATTGAACATTTCATTTTGTTATTGGATCGTTGAGCTGTGCGTATGGAGTTTAGCCGGAGTTTGGTCTAGTTGTTACGCTATTTGTTTTAAAAATAATAATCTGCTTTTTGGGTTTCTGATATTTTGATTATTCTGCACTTGCTTGTATATTGGATTAATTGCTGAGATACTCTATGCCATTGCTAAAGGGTTATGGAGCACAATCTGCTGAAGAGAAGCAGAGGCTTTTTAAGCTGATGAGAAATCTTAATTTCAATGGAGAATCTAGCTCTGAACCTTATACACCAACTGCACAAACTTCAACTGCTGCAGCATCAGATGGGTTTTATTCCCCTGACTTCAGGGGTGATTTTGGAGCTGGCCTTTTGGACCTTCATGCAATGGATGATACTGAGCTTTTGTCTGAGGTACCCTTTGTTATTGCATGTTTGTTAATGGTCTGATTGTTTCTATTTGTTTCCAATTCCTAGTTACTGTGTTGTTCTCATTTATGTTGCAGCATGTTATGACAGAACCTTTTGACACATCGCCCATCTTGCCTGATATTGGTAGAGGATTCGAGAATGAACTCAAAATGGCTGGTCGTAGATATCCAAGTGACCAAACTGATGCAGAACCATCAGTATCAGTCCCTGTCAGTGAAAAAGAAAACAGTGGAAGGGAAAGTAACGTGGCTAAGATTAAAGTTGTGGTGAGTTTGGCTCATCATATCCCTCCTCTTATTCTCTCTGTCTCTTCTTAGACATACGTGCATGCACTTTCACCCCTAGACAAACATATCGAACCATCATTAATGGGTTGTTTTGTTATGCCTCTTTGTTTGTCATGTAGAATTTGAACTAATAGTTTAGCATCGTTTTTTTATTTTTTTTATTTGCTTTAACATCTTCAGTTTGAAGAAGAGAATTTAAAGCCTCTCTATGATATTCCCCATGTTCATTGTGCGGTACAGACTTCGAAGGATATGTGAATAATCATCTTCACTAGCTGATTTTGCTTTCCATTTCTTACATTTTCAGTGGCGTCAACAAGTTCTGCCAAATGTGAACTGACTTGGTGCATGTTTTTTTCTTCTTTCCTGTCCTTGATAATTTGTCTTTGCTTATAAGTTATGATTCTGTTATGAAGGTCATGACATTGTTCTGATCACTGTTCTGCAGGTGCGTAAAAGACCACTAAACAGAAAGGAGCTTGCTAAGAAAGAGGATGATATTGTGTACGTTGAAGACAATTCCTTGACTGTCCATGAACCCAAACTAAAGGTTTTCCCCTCTGCTTAAAATTGTTGTCCAAACCACTTCGGATTCTTTTGTCCTAGCATGCTGTTCATATGTCAGAATGCTCTTTATATTTTAGTTGAAAGACTTGACCATCTATTTTGATTTGAAGGTGGACTTGACAGCATATGTGGAGAAGCATGAATTCTGTTTTGATGCTGTTCTTGACGAGGATGTGAACAATGATAAGGTAATGACTCTGTTCCTAGAGATAAATGTGGATGCTTTTGGTTCAAGTGTCTCACTTAACTGGCAAGAACTGTATTGATGGCTATTAGGAAAATGCTAGTTAGTTGTGAACTAAGAGCTCAATGGCATGCTTGAGGGCACATAGTTTGGCAAACTTGTTATCGAATCAATCTTTTAGTATGTATGATCTAGAGTAAATGTGTTCTTCAGGTGTATCGCGAAACCGTCGAGCCCATAATTCCCACCATATTCGAGAAGACAAAAGCTACATGTTTTGCATATGGCCAAACAGGTACAGTTTTTTTCAGTATATGTATTGTTGGACATAAACTGCATCTTATATATCTTTGTAGTTCATCTAGGATAATATACTTGGTTCATATATACATAGATGGGATAAAAGCTGGTGGTAGGAGAAATGTAATTATTGTAAGAGATTCTTCTCTTGGCTCACCAGCTTTCTTTCAATTTAAGATTTGTTCAGCTTAGGTTGTGTATCCATAGAATATATTAAGGCATTTCTCATTTTAACCTTCACGGATTCAAATTATCTTGCTCTTCATGCATCCACGTTAGCAAGGCCCTCGGCCAATCACAATCGAACACAGCGCAAAAGCCATAAAAAACCCCCACCCCGTCTCACTAAACCTTCGCTTCCCCTTCCTCCCACCCCCCTCGGCATCCCTACCTGCAAATCTCCACCGCAAGACAATCAACAGCCATCTGAAAATCAGTTCTGCGACTTTGATTCTTGGGGATGGAAACTGGGGAAGCAGAAGATATCGACTCCGATACCAATCCATGGAGAATAGAATTAATGGAGTCCAATGAAATAGTTGCGGTCTTGCTTTGTTATATCGATGGATTGGCAACTTCAAATGGTTCTGTCTCTCTCCATGAATTTGTTTGTCTTCTATCTTTGATCGTCGGTGATGTCGTTCTTTTTCTCTCTGGTAATAGTCCAACTTCTTCCCTTCAGAGCAAGTTCACTTCTCCAATCTTATAAAGCGTGAGATCTCTCGAAGAGGAAAGGTTATAATTGAAGAAAAAACTTCAATTCCATCAAATTCACAAGGCGACGCTTCCTTCTATTGACAAGGGAGCCATCTGCATGCATATGTGATTTTTTTTTTATTTTGTCCATAGTATTATTCATCACTTCCCCTGCATCTATGTTCAAGTTATTCCATTTGCTTACGATTCGAGAATAGAATTTAGATTTGGCTTGGATACAAGCTTATGTACAAATTGTTTACTTATTACTATGCACATCTGTTGTTTTGAGAATCTTACTTTTTTGCCATTTTGAAATTGAGTTGTTGGGTTTATTCAAATATTTTAGAAACCCTATCGTACCTGCCGGTTGGATAAAAATATCAGATATCGAACCCCAAATGGTAGGCAATTTTAGTGGTACGAAACGGTTGAGTTTCGATAGAATCATGGTTTAATACATAGAACGTGTAATTGTTTCTCATTATTTTTGATAAGATTCAACCCGGCCAACCGGCCGGGCTCAAAGCTAGTTATATTAGAATTGTTTCCTGAAGAATTTTTCTAGTGGTGTTTGTAGCTGAAATTGCGTCATATATAACAGTATATGAATAACGATCTTATCAGGTAGTGGAAAGACTTATACAATGCAACCTTTGCCTCTTAGAGCTGCTCAAGACATGGTTAGATTACTGTACCAGCCAGTTTACCGGTCCCAGAGGTTCAAATTGTGGCTCAGCTACTTTGAAATTTATGGAGGGAAGCTCTTTGATCTTCTTTCTGATAGAAAGTGAGTATTTCTGGGAGGTGTAATTTGATTCCCATATTCTCCTAAATGCCTGAGAGAATAAAATGGAAATGGTCTGTAAATCACGTGACTAGATGAGAAGGGTGGCGATGTCCATATTATTTTGTTGCATAATGTATATGTATCTTGAAGTACTTAAATAATGCTTGTTGGTTTCCCTTGTTGCCAAATAGGAAGCTCTGTATGAGAGAAGATGGCAAGCAACAGGTTTGCATTGTTGGTCTACAAGAATTCGAAGTTTTGGATGTGCAAATAGTCAAGGAATACATTGAGAAGGGAAATGCCGCAAGAAGCACAGGATCCACAGGTGCCAATGAGGAATCCTCAAGATCACATGCTATATTGCAACTTGCTATCAAGAAGCATAAAGAGGTAAAAGAGACTAGAAGGAACAACAACAACAACAATGATGTCAATGATTCAAAAAATGGAAAGTTGGTTGGCAAAATCTCATTTATCGATCTTGCTGGTAGTGAACGAGGAGCAGACACCACAGACAATGACAGACAGACACGGTAGTGTGCCTCTTCTTTCACTTCATTTTTCATCTTGCGTCAGTGTTCAATATTTTTCATTCGGGTTAACTTATAATAATCGTTTTGATTAAATTACAGGATTGAAGGTGCAGAAATTAACAAGAGCCTTCTGGCTCTCAAAGAGTGCATTCGTGCACTCGACAACGAACAGATCCATATACCATTCCGTGGGAGCAAGCTAACTGAAGTACTCCGTGATTCCTTTGTTGGTAACTCGAGGACCGTTATGATCTCTTGTATTTCTCCGAATGCTGGTTCATGTGAACACACGTTGAATACGCTGAGATATGCTGATAGGTAAGTAAAAACTCCTTATTACTTGTGCAAAGTATGGCATAATAATCTCAACGGAATAGTCTAACAATAATTGAATGCACAGGGTCAAAAGCCTTTCCAAAAGTAGCAACACTAAGAAGGATCAGCCTGTAAATTCGTCGACTAATAAGGACACGCTGCCAGCATCAACTTTGGCTGTTCCCACAGACATAGACGACATGCCTGAACAAAGAGAAGAGGCAAAACCAATGGATATGGGGAGAAGACACGTAGAGAAAGATCATGACAGGCAGCAGCCCATGAGTTTCCCTTCAAGTTATAGCTTCAATAGCCGACAACTAGAAAGTGGATCAACTTCCAGCTTAACTGACCGGGAGAGAATTGAATTTAACAATTCTTATGGTGGTCAACCAAATGCAAAAAGCTACTCGTCATACTCCCAGCCCCCATCTGAACCAGAAGAAAAAGTGCAGAAGGTATCACCGCCTCGTAGGAAAGGACCCCCGAGGGAGGAGAAAACTGACAAGTCAACAAATTGGGGGAAGAAAGATGGCGGTGGTACATCTGATGTAGTACCCACCACTGTAAATTCCAAGAAAGATAGCAGTAGTACATCAAACCTCCCAACAATTGGACGAAGACATCGAGAATCTGATCCATCTTCAGATGGAAGTATCAATGCTATACTCGAGGTGAGCAGATGAATTCCCGATTTTAGTTTACTTGCATTTTTGCTTAAAGTATCGTCTCGTTCTTAATTCTTTAATTTGGCCTTTTTTAGGAAGAAGAGGCTCTAATTGCCGCACACAGGAAAGAGATCGAGGATACAATGGAGATCGTGCGCGAGGTAAGTGATGATCTGTCCTGTGTCATCACGCAGCCTTTTCTTGCTTAGGGAGTTAGGTTGTGCATTTTTCATTCAGCTTTGTGCTAAAAGAAGCTAAGTGAAATAGAAGTGAAGAATATGTCAATTTCTGTTTTGAGTTCATTTTTTCCCAAAACAAACACACACCTTATTGTTCCATTCATGTCTCATTCATCTGCTTGGGATACTCCAGGAAATGAAGCTTTTGGCGGAAGTTGATCAGCCGGGCAGCCTCATAGACAACTATGTAACTCAGCTGAGCTTCGTTCTCTCACGTAAGGCCGCCGGCCTTGTCAGCCTCCAAGCTCGCCTCGCTAGGTTCCAGCATCGGCTGAAGGAGCAGGAGATCCTTAGTCGCAAACGAGTTCCTCGCTAGAGAAACAGTACCCTGTTTGGCGTGTGATCCAAACAATGTTGCTGCAGGAGAGGGCAGAGCATCGCTGTGGTGCTTTCTCGGAGAATCTGCCTCGTCTGCAGTGCGCCAATGATGTGTTGGTTCATTTTGTTGGTGGGATGGGTGTGGTATATCATTCAGGATAGGATGTATGCATTGCTGGCTTTGTTGTTAAGTTAGTTTTTTTGTGGGTTCATCAGTCTTGAGATGTTTGAAGGGCGACTGAAGATGGGAACGAAAGGAAGAGGTGGAAACAGTAACAGTGAATTCTTGTGTAGGCAATGAAATGAAAAGAAACAGAAAATTGTTCAATAGGCGATACACTTTACTTAAAGGTATAATTTTCATTTGTTCATAATACATCTTACCTTAAATTCTAGGGTAAATACAATTTAATATCCAAACCTTTTATTTTAAACAATATAATAGCCAAACCTTTTCGAAAACAATCTAATATTCAAATCGTCAACTTTCTGTCTGTTTGACCGTTAGTTGACACTTCAAAAAAGTTCGAAGTACGACACTTCATCAATATCCATCGATATCTTCTCTGAAAAATCACCAACATATCGTAGTTCCAAACCCGAGAAGTCCATGACTCCACCATGATGGTATAGAATATCTAAATATTCAGTCATTTGCAATGCCAAAACAAGAAACAAAGTTGTATTGTGACAATTTCCCCTAAGCAAAGCTTTTTTGAAGTGTCAACTAACGGTCAAACGAACGAAAAGTTGACGATTTGGATATTAGATTGTTTTCGAAAAGGTTTGGCTATTATATTGTTTAAAATGAAAGATTTGGATATTAAATTGTATTTACCCTAAATTCTAATCTAGTGTATGTTCTTAACGTATTGGACTTTACTCTTTACGTTTGAGGCGTTAATTTCATTCACAATTCATTATTACAGCGTTGATTATTTTCATGAAATTATTGTATTTTTGTGTGTGTTTTTTCAATACGCAATGCATGGATTGTCTCTATGCCGTGAAACTGAGATTGTTTAGATAATTGAATTGAGATTGTTTTATCTTTAACTTTAAGTTGACACGATATACACAATAACACATAACACATAGCATAGCAAAATTGTATTTGATAATTCATCATGTACTCACTCACCACAACAGAATGCACAATTTTTACGAGTAAAGATGGAAAAGATGGGGCAAGACTTATAGAACTTCCAAAATTTGCCAGATACAATTCGAAGTCCACAACGAAAGAAAAAAAAAATTGGAATGTCCATATAATTATGGTATGGACGCCCCCCAAAAGATTGACAAAAAAAGCTTACTGCTAGTATCAAGTACTGCACGCCAAAAACAATCAGCACCACTTCTCACAAGCAGTTTGCAATCATATTTCAACCTGTACCGGAATACTAATCCGAACTAGATCATTACTGATGATTCAGGCGACGACAATCTGTGTAACTACATAAGGTTGATGGCCAGGGAGACTATTCACAAGCAGGGAACTAGGGCACTTTCCTTTGATTCCTGAAAGTGTATGGAAGGCCTACAATTTGCACACTTAGCGACAAAAAGCTCCTCTCTTAAGTTGTGATGGTGCCCTCCGGCATTCTCATTGGCTGTGGATCGTTTGCTGCCTTCATTAGTCGGCCTTCAGTCTCAGGATCTCCTTGGCTGTCCTCAGCCGGAAGTACGGCATGTTTTCCTGGGAAGAAGTAACATGAAATAAGTCTGGATTTTGCTACAGAAGGGTAGATTGGGTTCATAATATGCTGAGACAGTCACTTTATTACCTGGGAAAAACAAAGGCCTAAGCCTCTGCTATAAAAATCGGCATATTTTATCATGAACATTCCGCAGTCATACCTGTTTGTTGAATGAAAAAGAAAGAGAGCTTAGACCAGTTTTGAGACCCGAAATAGTTCTTTCTTGCTGCAATCAGCAAATGGGGTTCTCGTATGACAAATGCACACAGATTTTCAAGTGCCGATGAGATTCTAAGATACGAGTACAGACCCGTTTAGCTGTTCTGGCAGGTCTTCAGGGAACTCGTATTCCCATTCACTTAAGTCAATGTCTACTTTGCTCTTGTCCTTCACTTCCTCGACATAATATCTAGCCTGCAAAGGTCATAATTGTCAGTCTATTCTCACAAAGCGAAGATAAAAAAAGAAATTTGCTGCAAATTATCCTAACCTACCAGATTTTTCAGCACGCGAGAGTCCCTTCCTTTGAGTGAATCGAGATACTGAAATTTCCGATCCTTCTTATTAATAATGGCCAAGCACCAGTGAATTTCTCGGTGAATGGGAACAAATATCTGCCAATTGCAAAAGTCAATCCAAGCACAAGGTTAAGTAATTAAGTTCTATCCGAGAACATGGGATTATGCAAAGCAAAAAAAAAAAAAAATATAGTGGAGTCAACTTACTTTTTCACAGTCCACCAGCATGTATCCCAATTTTCGTTCTGTGGTCCACCTTTTCACAGCCTTATAGTCATATACTTTCTTATCACCACCTAGTAACTGGATATGATGCACATTCCAGACACAAAAGAAAACAAAATCTGGATAAGTGATAGATAGCTGATAACACACACCAAATTGACTAGAACCGGAAAAGCAATGCAAGCAAAGGGTTTTGATAAAGGAGAGAACATCGTGAAACAATGGGTGAAAAAAATATAAGGGGTCTAATTAGGCATCGAGGAGCCAAAACCTATGTAACAATACTGCTAGTACATGTGGAGACAACACAACGTGGAGGGGAAAAGAATACGACAAAGTGATACCAGCCATTGGATAGCAGACGTTAGGTGATTTCAAAACGATTCCGACAAAACGATCCAGTTGAGAAAGATCCAGTTGATTTCAAAACGATTCCGACAAAGGGAAAAGAAGACGGCAAATGCCGAATCATTTAACAACAAGACAGTGCTTTGTGCAATCTAGATGCTGTTTCTCCCCTTGTAGAAAGACATTCCCACTATGTACTGCTAATCGAGTACAAGGATCTAAGGAACAAACCTTTTTGTAGAAGAAGGTGTTACAGAAATGACATTTCAGAAACTTTTGTGGCTCTCTCTTCTCCCTTTCTTTCAACAACTCCAGGTAGAGATTGATGACCTGCAAAAGATAAAGATGAAATAATGTATACAAGCCTCCTAAGAGCACAGCAACAAACTACAATATAAAGGATTAAATCATACCTCATCATTTAACCAGGCGCCTGGTGAAAGGCACTGCAATACCTCTCCTGTAATGTCGATGCCTGAATTAGTGTGAGCAACCAACAGCTTCCTCCTGTCATCAATAATGGAGACGAATTAGGGCACCACCTAGATCACCAAATATTAAAAGACACAAAAGATCCAATAGGTACCTGTTGTTAGGTAAGAGTGCACGCTTCACTTCTGTTTCTTCCTCCTTTGTAAGGGGTATAAAAGGTTCAAGAGGTATCTCCTGAAATGGAAAAAAAAAAATGCTACTTAAACAACATAAAGCAGCATGGCAGTAAGTTTCAGCGAGTATTTACAAGCTCCCTCTGAAAGAAAGACATAGTTAAAGTATTTCCTGTGCAGCATTCAGAAGACCTGAAAAATCAGTCATCATGGCAAAAGATTGGCAAACTGACCTCAACAGGTTTTTCCAACGGCTTCCTCATAGACCGTAAGGCCTGCAATGAAGCCCTCTTCTTCTCATAGTATTCAATCTGAGGCTGCAAAACATTTGGGTCTCTCCTCTGGGCACCATCCAAGAGTTTCTTGTACACCTCAACAGATAAACCACTTCGGTCCAAAGCCAAAGAATCCACCATCTCCCTAGTCTTCTCCACGGACAAATTTCGTTCCGGAGTAACCGCAGACCGGTGTTCCACAATCCTAACATCATCATCATCATTCTCCTGCTCATTCACTGGCTCATCCAAAACCATAGACCTAACACCATTTTCATCATTGTCATCAGTGACCTGAACTTCTTCCATACTCGAATCATCAGACACCAAGACATGGTTACTCGGCTTCACAGGCTGCTCATCCACTTTAGGTAGTCTCTTGCCTACCCCAAAAAACCTAAGAGTTTCAACCGCAGCTCTCCTTGCATAATCGTAAGCAGAAGACAACATCTCGACCTTCTCACTCTCTTTGTCCCCACCAGGTTTACACCGAAGAGCTCCCAGCCCGTATTTCAAATTCCTACAAGGGGCGTGGACTTCCCGGCGCAGCTTCGTCGTCGTTTCAGGGTACCGGAAGAGCTTGTCGACGGTACTAATGGAAGGCCCCGGGGTCCGTCCCGGGGCGTGAATGGGCGAAATTTTGAGCCTTTTCGATGTCGGAAAAGAATCCGGAGAGTACGACGGAGCCAAAGAAGAATACAAATCCCGCTTCCTATCACCGCCGGTCATGTAGCCCATTGTTGGCATTTCAAGATCATAAAACCCAACGGAAGCTGAGAATCCCATCTACATAAATTCATTTCTCGGCGAAAAACATACAGCTAGGGTTTTCCCCGGAAACGCAAGAAGAAGTGAAAGCAGCCAAAACCCTACGGAAAGAGAGCGCAAGATTCACACGGAATTCCAGACTTTCCTAGGCTTCCGAGGGGAATCAATGATTAGACGGATACCACGTTCGCCGGCCACCGTAATGGATCTGAAGCGCAGCACAAAGAAGGGAGGAACGATGGCCAAAGCTGCTCAATTTTGAGGTTTTCGTTTTCGGCGTATTCTTCTCCTCCGGCGACAAGCAAAGCAAGCTCGCGTAGGGGTTTTGCAATGCTCACGAAAGTAACGAAAACTGCACTCCAATACATCATAGAAACAAGGATCGGACAAATATTATGTTTGATTCATTTGATCGGTGCAAATTTCATTTTGGTCAACTTTTTTTCATTAATCATAAAATTCATGGATTGGGAAATCAGATCACATTATACTAGATTTGGTATAATCTGATATAATTATTAGTGTGATCCGGTAAGGACTAAACCTTTACACGCCTTTAAACTTACATCAATAAGTCGCAAGATGTTCTATTTTTATTTATTTTCCTATTTTGAGATTTTTTCTCAATATACCAATCAAAAACTAAAAAGTTCCACAAAAAAAAAAAAACAATCATTTCCAAAAAAAAAAATTCATTCATATCATCCTTTCAAAAAGACCGCATCTCCCGATGGCGGTTTACAAAAGAACCGCAAGGGTGCTGCCGATTTCATTTTGTGAAATAACCGTAGAGGGTAGCCGTAGTTCTCTGGCCGACCTAGACAGATTAGCGGTACCCCCAACAATTTTAATTTAAAAAAGAAAAGAACCGTCACAGCCCCTAACAATCGAAGTGATGTAGTTTTTGGCTGAAACCTCAAACGAACGTAATTTTGTGCTCGGTTATCCAATCGTAGTGAATTTTTCTTTTATTCCACGTAATTTTCCGAGATCTAACAAGCTGGTTAATCAATTATCCGGTTATTTGATCATCGTGAGCTCTACTTGATCAGCTATCTATCCTGCTTTAGCTGTTGCAGATGTGAAGAAGTACACCGCCTGCTGAGCTCTCTCTCCTCTCACCCCTCACGTTAATGGAAATGGATTCTCAACCGCTGAATAAAGGAATGCATTGTTCCACAGTATATAATATGAACGAACTTTTGGACAATGCAATTAGCATTAGGCGACTCTTGGAGTATAACTTCTCTCTACTTTCCCTGTAATTTTTCACCTAACCTTCATAAATGATTTGATTATGATAACCCATAAGGCAGCATCCTTAGTTCCAACTCAAACCCATGGCTGTTACTAATAGTGTTAGCATTAGCAGAAACAAGAGTGTTTCTGTTAGTATAACGACTAATGCCACCTTCCATATCCAACTTGAGAACACTCTCCTCATCGTCAAGTGGCCCCAATGATCCCTCCACATGGAAGCTACTTCCCAAATTCGTGTGACGATGAGCCCTAGTGTTAATATACAGATGTTTCATACCATCGGCTTCCTCTTCTTGTTGCTGCTGTAAGTTGTGGTGTTTCCTTTCTTCTTCTTCTTCCTCCTCTTCTGATGTTGCGTTCAAGTTGTGAATCAAGGTGGAGAGAGCCAGATTGAAGTCGGTTAATTGAGCCCTCGCCACGTCCACATTCCCACTGCTTGTCATCGCCGTGGTTAAGCTTTTCTGCGCTTTCTCGAGTATCCCTTGCAAGTACTTCCCTTGTGCCTCTATTCTCACCTGCAGCTTCTGCTGCACCTGCAACAGTTTTGGCACAAGCAAAACTCAAGTTGAATCACCAATATTCCTTTTTTTTTTTTTTTGGTTTCCTGTGAGAACCAGAACAAGCATACAGCAGTAGTTTCTTCCTACCTCTACCTGGGATTTCAACGCATCAGTGATCTGGAGCTCTCTGCTTAATAAAACATTGCAAGAAATTCAATCATCAGTTGTCGTAAGAAGGGAAATGAGAACATGGGTTGGATCTGAACAATGTTCCTTCCTTCCTTCCTTCCACCAACCAATGCCAATAGTTACAGATCTAAAACGTATCTATCTGCTTATGTCAACCCCTCCAAATGTTTTCCTTCTTTCTTTCAATTTCAACAATTACGTGGGGGTAAATTTCTGCCTAGTGCAGACTACTACTTCTATTTCCTATGAGAGAATACAAGAAGAAAGGACCCAAGTAATAATGGAATACGAACATACCCCGGCTCAGCAGTATCTCTGGAAGAAATGGAAGAAGTGGCACTTGCTGCACCACCACCTGAGGAATGGTTGTTGAAATGTATGTATGGAGAAGATCCTACAGAACACACCAAGAAAAAAAGGAGAGAACTTTCCTTGAGGAGCTGACAAAGGAATTCATTTTGCTATTCCTAAACGAAACTACAACTGGAAAGGGCACTAGCAGTAGCAGGTGAATTAACAAACCATTACGAGTATGAATCTCTCTGGTCCTCTGTTCTGGGCTGTCGCAGTGTTTCTTTGTCTGCTGCTGTCCCAGCCTGTACTTCTGCATATATAATTCATAACATTAAAGCCATTGCCTAAATAGCAAATACCCAGAAGAGATTCAATCAATCAATCAATCTCAGTGAAACTCAGCGAACCTGTAAATGACTTTTCAAGTGGTACAATGTCAGACCTTTCAGCCCCATCAATCTCAGTACTGACTTGGGCGTCGCCTCTGTAATCAACAAAAGAAAAAACTTCCCAACTAAGTCAATGTTGAACCAAGCCAAGATGGGAAGAAGGGAAGCAGTTGGATGGGTTTACTTTCAGGGCCACCCAGCTTGGTAACAGCATCAACGAAACGATCGTGAAGATCCGCCGTCCACCTCAGCCGCGGCTTTGGGTCTCTCGTCATCACCACTCCATTCTCGTACGAGTACATCGCTCTGTCCATAACAAGTTTCACCAGATCGGCGAGTTGAAGAGCTCGGCAATCATACACGCTAACTGGTGGCACCGAATAGGAATCAGGTTCAGGAGGAATTGCTTGTTGCAAGAAACAGAGGACAAGAAGAGTAGAGAGTAGTTGGATTTGCTTTGCTCCATACTATAATAACAAGACAAAGATGTACATACATCCCAAACAATATTTTCAGGCAGGAACCAGACAGCTCATCAGCTCGGAGGAGGAGAAAAGCATCAATCCGCAGACTTCGCGTCGTTTTCCGGCCTCCCCACAAACCTCCATCTGCTCCCTCCTTATTTTAATCTCTGTCCCCTTTAATATATTCTTCCAATCTAAATCTAAAATGATTGAAAACAGGAAAAGCTCACAACTTTCTCCGAGCACTGTAGCACAAGTGGCGGAGGATTTGGTGTGGGCGGCTACAGGTGCTCCTCTCTGACTTGTTCCCCAACAACGTGCCTTGTTAATTGTGATGCTCCTACATCTCCATTCCCGTTCTCCTCAAACGCCGAGGCTCTGGCCAATCCAAAGTTCGTTACCTTGGCTCGCAAGTCAGCATCCAAGTGGATGTTTTGCCAGTCTTCGAGTTCTTGTGGATGGAAGGGAGGGTCAGCGTAGCTGTGGAGAGAGTTGAGGGCTTCTGCAACATCGTTCGTTATCTTCTCCCTCTGCTTCAAGGTGAGTGTTTCTTGTTGCAGCAGCTACCGAGGCTGCTTTGTCTTACCAGGGCCAAAAAAAATATACTCGGAGAGAGCACCATTCTCGGCATAGTCATTAACAAGATAGGTGGGGGTGGTGACATCATTGACGCAAAACCCAGAGAGGTGGATGGTGTTGGAGTAACTAATTGTCTTCAGAACGTTGATCTCGGGGGATGCAGAGAGATCACTTTTCATCACCTTCACCACTGCACAGTATGTCCATTAAAGGATCCCTCGCAGGCTGAGCGTTTCATCCTGTTAGATCCGCTGAAGTGGCTGGTGGCCAGCTCTGGATCATGGAACTTGTACAATGTCAATGCATCGACGGAGTTTTTGATCCCCTTGAGACAATGACCAAGCTGAACCAGACTCCGCCCCCCACTGTGGTGGCGGAGTAGACTTCTTACCCTTGGTTTCTTCTTTCATTGCAGTGGTGGAGGAATGTATAGGAGGAGATTGCTTCTTCCCACGAGGGTTGCAATAAGCAAGAGGGGCGCTGCTAGTGTTGTTCCCACACCTACAAACGCCGGTTTCTTGGCGGCTGGATCCACCGGTAGTACCACCACCAGCAGAAGCAACATTGCATTTGATCCCTGCAAATGAAATGGTCTGCCCATTTTTAGATTCTGGGTTTTCCAAATAAACTGTAACCTCTAAAGTGGAAGAAGAAGAAGTAGAAGACAGACGACTGAGACGAGGGATGGTGAAAGAGATACAGTACATTGATCCCAGCAGATGCTGGGCTCCCTAGCAGTTTTGTCTTCGGAGAAAGGTCATCCATAGGTCGAAATTGCCATCCTAAGCATAACAATAGAAGGGTATCAACTTCATAACAAGAATTGCCACACAGCATGTATATATCGCGAATCAGGACAAGCAAGCCGCGTCAAATCGACTCCTAATTGGGTCATGGCAACTAAGAAAAATGGATAATACCACAACATCAATTCTCTTCTCAGTTTCCCGCAACTCTCCAAACACACAAAAGGGGGGCAATTCCAGAAAAAACAAATTCTAAACTCATAGCATTCCACTGAATCTCTAATCGAACTTCCAAATTCCACCCACATACCATCGCAGCAGCCACCAACGGAAGCCAAATGAAACAAACCGTTGAATTTTGTGCCCAAGGTGAAGCGGCGAGCAAAACCTGAAAGTAAGAGCTGCGGGAGAGGATAAGGCGATGGAGGCGATACGTTGAGCCCATAGCACGAACAAAGACGTCGGAGAAGTTGCCGGAACTGAAACTCCTCCATCTGAATGTGATCGGCGTGGAACCGAGGTTACAATCCATCTTCAAAGTCTTGTAGTCGCCAAAATCCAATGGCAGATTTGCAAGAGACGAGACGACCGAGACTGCAAAGCGACGCCGTTTACCAAACGCGCGCCACGGAGCTGCGGTTCGCTAGGCTGTCAGACCGAACGACGACGTTTCAACTCCTCGTTTAAGATATAAATTTGACCGTTACGAAAAGGGGCGGCCCAGCAACGTCTATCTAGTAGTCTGGTTTTAAAATTCGAATCCTAAGTTACCTTTTTTATGTTCTCTTCTCGCCCGCCGTTAAAAATCCCATTCGTCGCAGCGCCTTTCGCCCACGAAGATCAAAACTCTTTTTCTCTTCCATTCTGAAATCTTCTTCAATCACCGGAGAACAACAACAATGGCGTTAAGGCCTATCGATAATGCCTTGCCTGTGCCGCCGCCGGAGAGGCCAATGAAGCAACTGAAAGCCTCTGTCCCAGCCGCCGCCCAGAAAGAGCCTGAATCAAAAGCCAACGACGAAAACACTGCTCCGCCGCTGCAGCCGCCAGCTGGAGAGGCTTCAATTGATTACGTCCCTTCCGAGCAACTCGTCGCCATTGAAGATCCAAACTCTGAGATTCAAGTTGGTTCCTTTCTCTCTTTTGTAATTCTGGGTCACTCTCTGTTTTCTGCACTCTGAGCATAACCCAGATTCCATTATCATTGAGATCAAGCAATTCCGAATTTGGGGTTTTTTCAGGAAATGATTGAGGGTTTTGATTCAAAAGACTGGATGAAGCTGTGTGCGTCACTGAACAAGGCACGGCAATTCGCAATCTTCCACTCTGAGCTCTTGGTTCCAAACTTGTAAGTAGAGAGAGTTCTTCACGGACAAATTCCAAGAGAGTGAATTGTTGGTAATTGATTGATTGATGTGGGCTTTCGTGTGTACACAGGGAAAAGGCAATGTCAGTGCTGGTCAAGGCGATGAAGAACCCTAGAAGTGCTCTGATCAAGACTTCTATCATGGCTTCCTCGGATATCTTCTCTGCATATGGCGACAAGCTGCTTGACTCAAAAACAGATGCATTTGACAGCTGGGTATGAACATCATCTCACAATCCTTTTCCCGGTTAGGTAACCATTTTCTCTTGCTAATAATAAGTTAGCCCTTTCCATTTTCCATCAGCTTCTCCAGCTTCTGCTGAAATCTTCACAAGACAAGAAGTTCGTATGTGAAGAAGCCGACAGAGCATTGAGTTCGATGGTGAAGTCCATGACTTCGTTGCCTCTGCTGCAGAAGCTGAAGGGATATGGCAGTCATCATAACCTTAGAGTCCGGGCTAAAGCTGCAGTTTCCATCTCCAATGCAGTCGCCAAAATGGTACGATTTTACTTCTGCTAGTTACTCTGTTTCTTAAGATGTTTTAGAACTGGGTTAGGTTAAAGAGTCCGTTCTTTTCTGCAGGGGATGGAAGAGATGAAGGAATTCGGGTTTGTGCCACTGGCTCAAATGGCCATAGGGTTGCTGAATGATAAACTACCTGAAGCGAGAGAAGCTGCAAGGAAAGTCGTTGTCTCTATCTATGAAGTTTATACAAGAGATGAAGAGGAGAAGCAGGAGATATGGCAGAGCTTCTGCGAGTCGTATTTAGCGCCTGTTCATGCTCAGTCTTTGACCAAAATCACTGCTGGTTCACCATAGACACGAGATTTTCAATGTTCGCAGCAGTTGATAGTAAAAGCTATTGAATTTACTACATGTAGAGATGATATGTCTTCAGAATTCTCAGTTTCATGTAAATCTCTGCTACATGATTCCCAATAACAAAAATCACTTGCACTGTGTTGGGTTGCAATTTCATGTTGAATATGTTCAAGCCACAGTTCAGTAGAAAGTTTCGCTAGTCAACGGATATTAAAATTCAAGCAACAAAACAGCAAACTTCAAAACAGAATTCACAGATAGTTTACCAATTACGCCCCCAAAATTTCCAGCATTGTTAACTGCCTCCGAGGCTACATAGCTCTCAACTTCTTCAGCTGGTGGAGCAATCTCCGGGAGAGGAGCAGTTGGCAAGGGTTTAAGGGTTTAGTTAGGGTTTTGAGGATTTTAGGATGCAGGTAGCTTTTCCTCCGTAGCGCCCTCGACGGAATTGAAGAGGACGAGGATACGGAATCGGTGGAAACGACGGTGGTTACGGCCGGCGGTGCCGCTGTTAACATTTGCCATATTGAACCAGTATCAATACTCATCCTCACAAGTTTTCCATACATTTCACCAAATGCAGTTCAAGAACCAAAATTTCGGAGAAAACAAGGCTCGATTATTCTGCATACCTCATGAGGTAAAGCTTCAAACGATAAAAGCAAATCACCTCATAATAGTTTGGAGAAAGGAGTAAGCGAATTACACTGAGGGGGAAACCTTGGCCTTCCAGAGCCAGTGGGTTTATAATTCTATGTTACAGAGATCACAAATCTATGTCAAAAGAAGATTATTGTCACACAGAGCCGGCCGGGCCTATGGGAGCTGAGCTTCCAAATTCTGCAACGGCTGTATCAAATCTGTATCATCTAGGTCATCTGCTTGAATGTGTACATCCTGCAGCTGCAACACAACGACCATAAACCAAAACAATACGTTTACTCACTCCAATCTAACACGTTTACTCGGGCCACTTGTGGATTCGGTAAAGAGCGAAGCAAATGGCAAACATTTTCCCCTTACCTGTGTAGGGATGAATTGTTGAGGTTGCGGTTCCTGAGGCATTGCGTAAGCTTGTGGTTGAGACATTCGATAGTATGGTTCTTTCAGATCGAGTTTGCATGATGAGGTCTGGAGTATTCCGCCTTGTTCAGAACCCGGACCCCACATTTTAGCTGTTTACAAAGCAAGTTAGTCACTCGTGTACTCTAACAATGTCGACAAATGGTGGGACAGACTCCAGAGCTGGGAAAGACACCTACTTGACAAAGTGAGATGGATGGTGTAACTCTGCGCACTGTGTGCAACTAACTGAAGCCCGCCGGTAATTTCTTGCCCTGCCATGACATAGAGTGGCTGAGCCAGGACGCAGCGTAGCTGATACCAGTGGGTCGTCGGAGCACCAGGGGCAGTAGTAAGCCACCGTTGCACAGTACTGTCCAGTAACACAGCTCCCGATCAATATCATAGATAATAATGGAATTGAAGTCTTTAATCTATAGGATATCAGAAGAAACGTAAACCGAATCGAACACATACCTTCCATTAAACAAGACATCAAACCAACAAGCTAGTCCATGCACTCTAGTGCCAACAGAGGCTGTGAATTTCAAGGGGATATCTAATTCGTACAAATCCTCTTCCTGAGGTAAATGAGGAGAAAAGGAGAGATAAGTTCCCAAGTCAATCCAGGAACGTTTTGAGTACCTAGCAACCTTATCAGTAAAATTAAATGGCTCAATATGGCAGACTAAGAGTCCAAGAGACTCCATTTCCTAATGCACGTTTGACAAACAAGAACAGATTACAAGGGTGGCAGGTACCTTCATCTGAGCAAAGTCTAGCACATGATACGTCGCGGGAGCTACTAATAGCCTTGGATCAAATGCATCTACAACAGGCTGGAATCAAGATTGTAATAATTAGTAAACATATAACTTGCAACTAGCAGCAGAAACAGAAAAAAATAATTACTGAAAACGTCAGGATTCAATGATCACCTAAGAATGCATATCTGTTGAAAATAGTAACGAACTTTATGGCACAAACGGCTATAGAAAAGATAATAAAAGTTTGATGAGATTCAACAAACACCTGAGAAAAGTAACCCTGGAAAGCAGATTCGTGCAGCGGTGTTAGATTAACACCAAAGTAGTTCTTCTGCTGCCAGAAAAGGGCCTGCAGATGAACAACATAAGGCAAATAGCGATGAAATTAACCGACTGTTACACCTCTGAACCAGGAGCAGGCATGAAAATAACGTTCAAAGAAGTACATACCTTATTAGCAACTTCAACAAACAAATACTCATCGCTAAAAGGAGCCATATGTATCCTGCCAAATTCAGTACTTTAATTAAAAACCTACAGCAAATCGTAAAGTCTACATTCGGTAGACAAGGAACAAAAGTGGAAATCTTCAACCCATATCGCTCAATCCTTATGCTTACAAATATGCCTGGTGTTAGATGAATATCCACATTTCACTGAACTCTCCACAGTTTGAAATCCTAATATGTGTGGCATTCAAGTTCCGGATTTCAATTGCAATCATTACCTGCCAACAGATGGGAACATTTTTCCTGTGGGAGCAAGAAACCGATCTCTTGCAATAACATACGTCTCCAACATTCTTTCATTCACCAGCAACGTTCCTACAAGCCACATCCAAATTTTTTTTATTTTTTTCAAAAAACAGAACATGTATGACAATGAATTATCAATGGAATTCAGAAATCTTAAATTTGTAGCATTTTCAAAGGCATTCATCATTTAGCTAACAAGGATCTTTTCCCAGCTCCAAAAGGAAAGGAATTTATGTTAATAACAAGTATAAAATTAATGTGCAGATAAATGTATTCAAGACATATCAATGAATTTATGAATGCACAACTACAAGGAAATATTCACGAGTGTATGATAGGTACCCATAGGTTCAGAGATCAGAATATCCGCTTTCTCTGGCAACTCAACTTCCTCTACTTTACCCTTTATTACCTACACTCATGTTGGCAATGGACCAAGAAAATCAGAGATCAAACGGGAGCTTCAGTGGAGTTTTTAGAACATATATATACAAAGAACTTTAAACACTCACCGTAATCCTCTCACCAAGTGCTGGATTGCCAGCAATAAGCTTGGTGGCATAGTCTGCCATCTCAGATGCTTCAATAGCATAGACATGCTTTGCCCCAGCCTGGACCAAAAGCAGAATAATATGAGCAAATAGAATGGCAGCAGTAAGAGCACCCCCAATCACAAAACTGAATATACCTGAGCGGCAAATAATGACAAGATACCACTACCAGCACCAACATCTACCACCACACGACCAAAAAAATCTGCACGATTCTCTATGACTGCAGCATAATATGTTCCTGAAACAAATGTTGTACCAATAAGGCAATACCATTTGAAAATTCTAACAACCCCTAGCAAAGCAAACCTAACTAACATTCTAATTTTCTAAGACAGCAATACAACATTCATAGTGCCCTAGAACGAGAATAGGCAGCCACATTCAGTATCACATTACCTGTCCTGACATAGTCCTGGAGCATATTTTGCTGGTGTAGTAACTGTCCATAATAATGGAAATACATTTTTGCTGATGAAGGCTCTATCTTGTCATCAAACTTGCTTTTACTACTCAATGTTCCATTAGGCAAAGATTCTCCTGAGAGACAGAGAAGGGGGGAACAAATAAATAAACGAGACAATAAAAGTTGGCAAGCATCAAAAGAATTAGGCGGGACACCTAAGAATAACCTCACAAAGAGAGTTAACAGAAAAGGCGTGGAAATATGGGTGTGGAAACAAATTTGGATAAGCAAGTTGTTCAGGCTTCTTGCATAGAGTACAACAATTGAACATATATATGAACAATCATTTCACCAAAAGGTTTTGGTAAGGAAAAAAAAGTTAACCTCAAGGTTGTCATGAACTCATGATCCAGCTGACTTACAAAACAATAAGCAATAGCAGGAAGAACTAGACTCTTGTCATGCACTAAAACTGTGTCAGTAGGACAATAATGCTACTAACGATTTGCATAACTTATGGCCACTACTACATAAACTAGTCGTAGATGCGAAATCTCAACCGATATCCTAAAAGTTTCAACAGAACTACATAAAGCACTACACAGTCCATTTTTCAAGGTGCATATTTCCATTGGACGGTAGTTTTGTTGTGAGAATACCAAGCAATCTATTAACCCAGTAACAACCGAAACTATTACAACGTTCAAGCAAACACTTTCTTGCAATATGAAAATTTTAAACCAAAACACCGACTTCCAGCAGAAAAGAAGTGACAAAACAAACACGGAAATACGAAAGCAGAACACTGGAGAAGAGTAAAGAGATCAGGACAAGGAAGGGATGTGATGAGAAAATCCTCAATATCAGAGTTCAGAAGAATGCAAACAGGGTTACTACTCTATATGATCCAGGACATTTATCCAGAGCATAGCACCTTGAGTCACGATTCCTTTCTTCCATTGCTCAAATGCACAATGGAAGATCCTGCTTTCCTCCTCATTTCTAAACTGAACAGTGACTCCCTTTGAATATTTCTGGTAAAAAGTAATGCCGTTAACACAGAAACAATCTCCACAACAGTTCAAGAACTATATAATTCATCACATGCATGATATTCCTGAAGAATCTACAAATAACCAGAAATAAGCAAGAATAGCTTTCTTGGAGCCATACTCGCTTCAAAATCTCAATTCAGACAAATATGAGGTGAGTAACCAAGAAAGCCATACAGAAAAGTTTGAAGTCACAATATTCACCTACCTCTTCATTCGAATCACAATCCGAACCATCGAATATGCAAACCGCCTGCGTTGGCCCCAGCTTCCATATCTGTGCATGGGCGAAACCGCGAAAGGAAAAGCAAACGAAAAGATCATACCATTAAACTGCTGGCAACAACTTCACCGTAGTTAAAGTAATGCACCAAACCGAGAATCAGAATCGGCATTTCTTTGTTGAATTGAACAATCAACAAACTTCCGAGCAATGACAGGGAAATTATCTGTCTCATTCCAATTCAAGATTCTCCACTTTTCTCAACTACGACAGGTAAAGAACTACATTCTACCATTCCCCTGCGGCAGAGGCAAGAAAAGACTGACCTGAGCGGTCGTTAGATCAACATTGACAACGCCGCCGTCCGAATCGGACTCTCGGCGGAATCGCAGCTCGGCGACTCCGTCATCGGCGGAAAACGTCGCAACTGCCGGGGAAGAAGTCGACGACGCAGAAGCTACACAAGAAGAAGAACAGCAAGAGGTAAGGTCAGTCAGGGAAGCCAAAGCGAACTGCTGCTGCTGCTGCTGTTCTACTTGCTTGGTCGAGGAGGTGGCGGCGGCGGCACTCGTTAGTGTAACCTCCATCGTCGGAGATGGAATCGAGAAGCGCAAGATTCGAGAAACTATGTGAACCGAGAGCGGGAAATATGGAGGAGTGGAGAATATCTAGGGTTTCTGTAGCGAGGGGAGGCGAAGGTGTGGGAGCAATGAAAGGGAAATGGAGGGAGGGAGAAATCTTTGCTGAGAGAGTGGCCGCCAAAGCAAAAGGGGACAGTTTCACTGTAACTTTTGGTCTTTCTTGTAATCCAGTACAAGTGTGCGCATTTTACACATTGTTTTTTTTTTTTTCAGTTTCTTTCTTATTAAAGCCGTTTTATTTCCTTTTTCATCGGACGGGTAAAAAACTAAAAAGTTGAAGTGTTAAAGATTGAATTAAAAAGCTACATTAACGATAGCAAGGATTGATTAATCACATATGGCATAACCACTAGATACATGCATTCTGAAGCTTAAAATTTAAGACTTGAAAATTCATTCATCAATACATGTAGATGTTTGTTGGTCAAATTCGGATTACTTATTAGGATAAAAGAAATTCGTGTAATTAGAGTAACTATTTGGAGATGAAGGTTGATTCTAGATCATTACGTATTTTTTTAAAATAATTTTTTTGTATGTAATTGCTGCTATCTTGTCATTTTTCGATAGGGTTAAAGATCACAAGATCTATAAGACATTATTTCATCGATCAGTTAACATAACAGTATGTTGAACCTATAACGCATATCGCCACTAATTGATTTTAAGTCAAATAGAATCACCGGGTAAATAAAACTTTCATCATGGATCGTTTAACATAGTTATAAACCAGACTTGGAAACGAGTAGTTGAACCAATAAATCCTTATTCATACATTCCATGTTCGGTTGTCGAGTTCATCAAGTGTAAAAAATCACGAATTGAATACCATCTTTCTTTAACTATGTATAACTACAATTGATACTTATTATTAACTTCTTACAAAGTAAAAAAATCGGTAACGATTAGTTCATATCCGTTCGCCAAGACAACCGGTACTACAAGTAAACAACTTGTCACACGGCAAGTCCCATTCTTATGAACAAAGATTAAACTTCAACTTAATCGCATACGAGATGATCATTTGTCATGGTGCTAAGCTTAGTAAAACAGAATCTATAAAATAAAAAATTAGATTTTTTTTTTTTGTTTTTTTGTTTTGTTTTTTTTTTGTTTTTTTTGAAAAAACAGAAACAGAAGCCAACACACGGAAACATGGGCCAGAAAGTGTGCAAAACATATGGGCCGGAAACTGAGAGACTCTTACCTTCACATTCCCAACGTGACAATGGCTCGACGACGTCACCACCAGACACCAGGCGTTGCATTACAACTTTCACGCTTATAACAACACCATCGCCTGTCGAGCTGCTCTGGTAACAGTCGCCACTCTCATCGTTAGTTGAGGCTGAGCGACGGACTTGTTTACTACTACTTCTCATGGTGGCCTTGATCATGAGCAGGATGACGACTAGTGCCACAGCCACCTTCCTCATGATCAGATGTCTCTACCTTGGGTAGAAATTTGAGAGGAAATGTTCGACGCGGTTGAGAATTGAGATGTGATGGGTTTATATAGACGATAAACATCCAAGAACACAGCCTGATGTTCAGAAACCAGCTGCTATTTGAACGATAACGTACATCTAGATTACTTTTAACAGCTGAGCTAGAGGAGTGTAGCTCAAGGGACTGATCAGTTTCAGTTTTCGGTCCAGAATCTGACAGTTGGTCAGCAACATTTCCAGCTTAGAACAACATGCATAAACCGCCTTACCCGCAAATATGAAGAGCAGAACAAGCTAATCAACAACTCTTCCATCAGATCTTGTACATCTGCTTGCTCACGGTCGTATGGAAGTTCAACCAACACCAAGATGATGATGATGATGATGATGATGACAACAACGACGAATCTCTGATGGAGCTACAGAAGCGAACTTGAAATGCTGCAGCCATGACTGGGGGGAAATTTTCCAGCTACCTCAGCTCATAGACTTGTACCTTACAAAGACTGTTCGAAGACCAGTGCTAACAAGCTCCATACTCCCATTACTAACAAGCTCCAGTTCACACAAAACAAACTCCAGTTACATCGATCTTAGAAGCAGCACGCATTCTGAAGAGACTGACTGACCTTCGACGAGATGATCCTTCCCAAACTAGCTCAAACAACAAGAATTGCGATTCAATAACTGACTGGACCGACCTAACAACCCGAGCACCGGACCCCTATCCCATACTCTAATGTACCACTCTTATTCAACATTCGGCCTAACGACATAGTTGCATATCTGCAGCACACAAAACAATAGATCTAGCTCCTCTAGGCCAAGCCATAATCTGATCTAATGGCTACAGAAGGTAAAGCAAACATTTTTTTACGCCATATGCAGGTCTAGAGCTACATTCCAACACACCAAAGAGGAACAAACAGTTAGATTGTCAAAGAGCTCTGTTCTTTTCACTTTTTCCCTCACTGTTTTTCTTTCCAAAAATTTGGCGCATCCCCTTGAGAAAGGCAAAAGAAAACATATGGAACTAAATTAACAAAGCAAGAATCACAAAAGGTGTAAACAAGGGAATACAATAAAATTTTGATCTGTTGCCTTGCCATCCCACCACCACCTCAAGCTGAAAAAACAGAAGCACTTACATTGTAGAATAGAATCATCCTGTATCAGTTTGAATAAATTAGAAGCAAAAAAAAAAAACATCGAGTCTGCAATACATTCATTACATTACCTAAGCAAAAAAGAAGACCTCCCCTTTTTTCTTCATCTCAAGAAGATGATGATACCTTCACAGCTTTGAAAGCAGGGTGCATCAACCCGAGATCGTCCTTCGCTTCCAGAGGATTGCCCGTCTCGTTACGAACTCGTTTCACTCTCCTACTGGCCAGGGATTTGTGGGTGAACCCATATATCTGCAGAACCTGATTGTCGCCGAAGTTGAAAGCACGATCCATTTGCTTCAAGCATTTCTCCACCGGGTAGTCGCCGAACTTCCCACAAGGCTTGCAACCCACGAAATGAGTCACCAATGGCCATCGATGATCGCCGAAGCCCGGGTGATAATTCTCAATCATTTCCTCGTACTTATCAACCAAAATCCCCCAGTAACCGTGCAAATAGTAACCACTCTCTAGATAGACCTTGTTCCCCCAAGTATCCCTCTGCGTAGCAAGCAGATAAACCATGGCGGACTGATCGTCGGCTTCGAAAACGGGTCTTCCTTTCAGCTCCCGTGTAAGGATTTTCCCAGCTTCGTCCCTAATCTTTCCCTTCGGCCCCATCGGCGCCCAGGCGTCGAGAAGATCCAACGCCCATTGGTTATTTCTCAGCAGAAAGCTACCTGTGTTCAGCCCAATCCAGTTCTTCTGATCGTAAACCATCTCGTTCCAACCGTGCATCACCAGATTCACATCCTTATACCTCTCCCACGGCAGCTCGAAGGCCATGTCGGTGAACATAGCATCACTGTCCATCCACCATAGGAACTCGACCTCCGGATGCGACAGCAGCAGCTTCCTAATCAACGGCAGCTTGGCCCAAAACCCGGCCATTTCGGCATCGAGCAAGGCCATGTTGTAGAAGATCTCGATCCCGTGGAGCCGGCAGTAATCAATCTTGTTCTTAATCGATTTCAGCAGATAATGGTCGCCGACGGGATTCTCGCAGGGCTTGGGGGAAGATCCGGTCACCAGGAGCACCCGCGGCTTGTTCTCGCGGATGAAATTGGGGAAATTAGGGTTTCTCTTCAGCCACTCGCCTCGCTGCTCGTCCCAATCGGAAATCTTCGGCCCCAACGTGTACGGCTTGTTCGGATCGGGCTTCTCGTCCTCGCCCCCTTCGTCCTTCAAGATCTTGTTGAAATCGAACGTCGCGTAGTTCTTCGGGTCGTTGTTCTGGTTCTCGTTCTCGTTCTCCGGCTGCGCCTCGACGAGCACGCGGTGGGGCTCGGCGTGCTTCCTGGAGGCGTAGAAGTGAGTCGTCAGATCGTCGAGGTCCTGAGCTGGAGTCCCGAACTTCCCGGCGCCGAGCATCCCGCGCATGACGACGACGGTCATGAAGAGGCAGAGGAATGTGACTTTGGCATGGCGGACCGCGCGTTGGATCCGGCGGACTCGCTGCTGGCCGAGGCACCGCTCCAGCATATTGACTCGTTCACGAGTCCCCACACCAGCCGGAGAAGGAAATTGCCGGGCGACTCACCGGAAAAATGAAGACCGCGGGGACGGGAAAGCGCGTGGCGATGATAATGGCGCTGCCTGCCGGGCGCCGGAGCTGAGAGAGAAATGGAGAAAGGGAATGGGAAGAGTGGCGGGATTGTAAATAAATGGAAAATCGTGGGGCGATTGAGATTCGTGGGAGTCGGTGGCGAGACAGTAGGAAGGTGTGTGCGAGAGCTGGAGAGACTCCAGAAGAGATAACAGAAGAAGGAAGGAACCAGACAAAAATATTTAAATATTCAAATCAGAATTATTATCGATAATTGAAAAAAAAATGGCTCAGGTGTATAACTTTACGGTGTATACTGTATAATTACGAGTAATCAAATCTGGACCATTCTTTTAAGTGGCTGAAGATCTAAAGGTGAAGAATTAAATAAATTTATTTTCTCTATTTTTCTTTGGATCATATCTTCTTTATTCTAACTCGAATTTCAACTTTTTTTGCACAGATGGAACGAGTTCGTTGTGCTCTACAAAATTATATCCATTTTCAATATTTTTTGAGGAAAAAAATTACATACCTTTCGTTACCAACTTCATACCATATGTTATCTCTTTCGTTTTTAAGCCGTTTTCGGAAATTTTTGCACAGAAGGAACGATTTAATCATGATCTATTGGGTTTAAAAAAATTATGGGTGAAAATATTTCATATCACTCATTACCAACTCTATACCATATACTATTCCACCCTGGTATGTGGTGGTATTTTTCATACTGTATGGTATGCTCTTATTTAATATCAGTCAATACCATATGGTATAGACTGGTAATAACTGACAAATTTGTTTTCCAAAAAATATCAAAGTGGATATCATTTTGAAGAGCAAAATTAATTTGATCTAACTGTGAAAAAAATTAATTCTGACTTAAAACGAGTGAGAAATCATCGGTTAAAGATTAAAGAAACGAAAATTAAAACTTTTTCGAGAAAAAAAGAAGGAATCGTTAATGTGTTGGATTTTTATTGAGTTAACGTGATCTGCTCCCGGGAAAAACAATTCACCTTTAAGAGTTGAAATGAGCTGACTCAGTTATGAACCAAATTGATTCGAAATCGGCCGAAACCGTAAACTCGTGCAACCAAGGAATGAATGATGTTCGGTTGGATTTTACGAAGGATTTGATCAAGTGAAGTAAAGATCAGAAAAAAATCATTTGTAATCGGATTTGGTCGAATATCGATTCATTTCGGTTGGTAAGCAAGCCGAATAATAAGTTGGTCCATTTCGGTCAGGTATCTAGCGGAACGGAATGGCTGACCAAGGCTGGAGGAATAATGCTCTGCCATTTGCACGTAAGCACCTCGTGAGGAATATTTATGAGAAAATGTAAAAGGGGGTGTTCTAGTGCGGTGTGTGATATCGGCCGACTGGATTGAGGTCGTTGGATTTAGATCAGATCATGAAATCAACGGTGAGAGATGCTGGAGTGCAGAAGAACAGTACATGTGTAGTTGATCATAGGATCGGCGCTAATGGGGCTTCGCATTGATTCACTTCACATGCATAATTAAATAAATTATTAAAATTAAATTCAACCCCTTATAAACGAAAATAAACTCTTTTTTAACATAATAATGGAATAAAACTATAAAAATAGTATGTTTACTAAATGTTTTTCGATGAGAAAACTTGTGTTTCACAAAACTGATTACACATTTGATTTCATGATTACTAAATACGGCTTCACACTTCTTTAATATAGTTCAAAAAATTATGTTGGATTGATGTTTTTTTTTGGAATAGAACTGTCGCAACCATCCCTCGGGTCGGGTCGCGTTCGTTTTTTGAGTCGCCATCAATTTTACTTGGAGTGGATCAAACACTCATTGGTCGGCTCTAACCTTAAAGTCAGAACCGAGACATGGTCTGCGATTAAGAGATATGGGTTCGGGAGTACGGTTACGTGTGGGGAAGTTAAGCAACACCCCCACAGCGCCCTAAATTGGTATTACTTAAGTTGATAAGTTTTATATTGATAAGTTTTATACGAATTGGGTGTGTTTTAGTGATTTTGTATTTTGGGTCCCACTATGTATTTCTAATTCATTAGTTATGGTTTAATTAAACGTCCACTGATGTATATTTTAAAATAAAATTAATTAGTCCCTACTGGACCGCTAAAGGATTTAAATAGTATTAGTTGTAATTTAATTATACGCTTGTTGGCGTTCATTTTAAAGATATAATTTGTTAGTTTGTTAGACTCGAATCGTATTGGTTGCCTACGTACCGGTAACACGAGATCAAAGTCCACGTAGTTCGTTTAAAACTTTAATGTTTTAGTTAGAACCACGTTTCACTGATCATGGTTATAAAACAAATGATTTTGTTTAGTTCTGAAATATGCATAAATATTTTACGTATATGGAATGAATGGAATTGACCTAATTTCGAGATTTAAAATTTCGCATTAAGAATATTAAAGTACAAAAATCAATAGAGTACATAAGTTTTTGCATGATGGATCGGCTACCCAACTGGTTCAACCTCGCTCATTTAGCATGTTTGGCCCTAACAACACGAGTTCGAAACTCAGTGGACTCCTCTTTTAATTTTTTTCGTTTTCAATCCCAATGAGTTCGAAACCCTAGGGGTATTTTAGTCGTTTTAAAACATTAGCCATCTACAAATATATTATAGTGGAGTTAGAAGCAGTTATTCAGGATTTTAAAATTGCAGGCCAGAGAGCAATTTTCGGAGACCCAATTTAGGAATTGTACAACCCAATAAAACGAGGCTTTTTGTGTGTTTCGTCTGGCCCAATAGCTTGCTTGCTGAAGATAAAGGGAGTGTAGGCCCGTATATGGGCCCAAATTGCTATTAAATGATGAAACACGGGCGACTTGACCCCATACCCCACAAATAAAATAAAAATAATAATAAATTACAATTGTTTATCTTCCAAATCAGAAACAGAACACTAATCGACGCAATCCCTCTACACTCGACCTAGCGACTACCTGCTCGCCGGCTTGCATCCCCAGTCACTCACACCGGCGGTGCAGCTCCTCCACGACGACCTACTCGCCGGCTTGCATCCCCACCCCAGTCGCTCACACCGGCGGTGCAGCTCTTCCTTGGCGTTCTCCTGTCACTCTCCGAATCCGTTCTCTAGCGGCCAGCGCCGACAACCAATTGGAACTACGGGACGAACCTGCTCGCCGGCATCTCATCACCAGTCACTCACACGGCGGCGCCGCCGCCGGATTGAATCCCCAGTCATTCACACCGGCAGTGCTCCTCCGATCCGCCTTTGCTTTCTCCCCGTCACTCTCCGACTCCGTGCACTACAACTCTCCTGATTCAAAATCCCCCTCATACCCACCTTCTCTCTGCATCTGGTTCAACATATAGACTATGCTTGACGTAGCTTCCAGCATCGGCGAGTCATCTTCTTCGCATATTGAAGATTACTTGGATCGAAGCAATGTACCGTGTAAGATTTCTCCTTCTACGTAACTAGCCGAGTTCAATTACAAAGTAAAAGGCCTTGCAGGATTGTTAATTTTACATCTTCCACGACTATCTACAGGACAACAATCTTTGATTCCTTTCAATTTATGGGAAACTTTATATCTTTCAAACATGTCGCAATAGTTAGGGGAACAGAGGAAAACAATATGCCACACGGAGACCTTTTAATCCATGATTATAAGATGCCAACAGGCATATGACCATGCCAAGAAACACATTTTTGGGTTTTTGAGAAAGCAAGTGTACAGGCATAAGTTGCTAGACCAAATCCCTCTACTCCAGCGTTTCCCAAACCTTGATCCGTATATGCGAAATCCACCCGCTAATTGTGCTACTTATCTCTCGCAGGGAAGGGTCGTGCCATTTTCTTACCACCTGAAACTGCTCCCCCCGCCCCAAAGGACCCCAGGGTATATGAAGCAGGTAAGTTCGTATTCTTTCCCGTGATCATATTATTATTCTACCTTATTATAACATCATTGGAAGAGTGGTTCTTATTCACGTGCAGAGTTAGAGGCAATGCAGACTGAGCTGGAAAAACTTACCTCCAACTTTGTTAGTGTTGCGCGACAACGACGACGTGCTATACTTACAACTAAGCGATCCCGTACTGCCACACATATGGGAGACACACGTAAGTGAATATATTTGTTTCATAGTCGTTTTTCACCGCAACCTATAATTTATTCATATAATTTGTCACTCCTAATAGCATAATTATTTATACTAAATAAATATCATTTACAAATTTCAGTTACATCTCTACAAACCCAGTTCACAAAGCTTAATGCTGCACGCAATAGAATGTCGAGGCGCATTCATCTCTACAAGAAACGACAGGGGCAAAATTACTTTCGGGACCAATCTGGTATGCATTTTACTCTTTGTACTTTATATATTGGACAAGCATAGTCTATCCAGCATGGCTAAACATCTTACTGTGCATTCATTATGGCATCCGGGTACGAAGTTATTGTGGAAAACTCGATTCAAATGTGAAAATCAGTTTTCCAACCAGTTCCCCTTTATCATTTTCTGCATTTTTGGGTCAGCCTAATAATAACTACAATCTTTGTCAAGCACGTGAGGAAAAATAAATATAATGATTAGTTAATTGTTCTTCATGTAGGATATCCATCTGTTGAGGTCTTTACAGTGGGCGCACCATCATGTGTGTGTTCTTTTTGTGGGGCTAGCATGTGGTATTTGGAGAGTGTAAGCTCTACACGATCTGTGGCACCTTTGTTGTTTTCATTGTGCTGCAAACAAGGAAAGGTTAGACTGCCACGTCGCAGGGACCCCCCGGAATTTCTGAAAACTTTGCTTGAAGGGAGTACTGTAATTGCCCGACATTTTCGTCAATTTATCGGCAGATATAATGGAATTTTCTGTTTCACCTCGCTTGGTGGCAAGGTGGATCATTCTATAAACAATGGAGCTGGTGTCTATGTTTACTCTATTGGTGGACAAATATATCATCGCATTGGCAGTTTACTTCCTCCTGAAGGTACATCCCCCAAGTTCGCACAACTCTATATCTATGACACAATGAACGAGACAAGAAACCGATTGGATTTCTATAATCAAGATAGAGAGGCGAATCCTTTACGTCAGTCTGTTGTCGAAGGATTGCAGGCGATGTTAGATGAGAATAATATTTTGGTTCAAACGTTCCGCACTGCAAGAGATAGATTAAACGAAGGGGCAATCCAACAAGCTCATATAAGATTGCTTGCACGCCGAGCAGGTGTCGGACGAGAGTACGAGTTACCAACATCAGATGAAATTGCTGCCTTAATTGTTGATGAAGCCGGAGAAGAAATGTTTGGGCATGATATTATTGTTCAACATTGTACGTTGGAAATGGAGCAAATTTCAATGTACCATCCGAGCTTGATGCCTTTGCAGTACCCTATTTTGTTCCCATATGGGGAGGATGGGTGGCATCCAGAGTTATTCTATTATGATGGTCAATTTATGGAAGGAGATGATGAGGATGGTATAGGCCAAAGAAATATGAGTCAATGTGATTATTATAGCTATGTACTTCAGACGCGATTGGAGCAGTCAAATTCATTTCTGTTAGCTGGAAAACTGTTGCAACAGTATATGGTAAATGCTTACGCGTTGGTTGAAGCAGAACGACTCGCTTGGATTCGCAATAATCAGGCAACATTGCGTGCTCATTATTTTCAAGGACTGTTGGATTCATTTATGAGAGGTGACACAGACTTGGAATTATCTGGAAAACATGTTATTTTAGCTGCATCGCATACAGGTAGCCCACGCTACAAATATGAGAATTTTCAAGATGCGATGGCAATCTGTCGTTCCCTAGGCTATCCAGATTTGTTTATAACATTTACATGCAACGCCAATTGGCCTGAAATTCAATTAATGAGTGATCTGTTGGCCCTGCGGGGCATAAAAGATCCAAATCGTGCTGATTCTATTGCTCGGGTGTACAAGATGAAGTTAAATCAGTTGATGTATGAAATCAAGGATCGACATATTTTTGGGAAGACATGTGCACGTAAGTTTTATCTCTTTCTCAATGCAATTCATCATTGAAATAATTGGAGTATGCTTTATGGTGTTTTAATTTATTGTTCTTTGCTTGATGTCTTTTGTTTATTTATGTTTTCTCTGATATGGTTAATTTATTGCTGAATTGTTGTTCAAGAACTTGATAGGAGCTTTTAGGCTCTTTGCATAATCTTTTGGTGTCTGCTTATCACCTCCTATCTAGCGTGTTTCACAGTCAAAGTACAGTTGGGAATACATGTTTACAAATAGCCCTATCATCGTTCCTTAAATAATTGTATGATAGTAATAGTTTTTTTTAACAGTTATGATACTTCATGTTTATGCCTCTTTGCTAATGGTGTTTACCTTTTTCATCAACAGATGTGAGGGCTCTAGAGTTCCAGAAACGAGGCCTCCCCCATTCCCATATTTTGGTTTTCTTAGCAGCTGAAGACAAATTGTGTGGAACCACGGACATTGATTCAATCATCTCAGCTGAAATTCCTGATCCTGCTATTGATCCAGAAGGATATGAGGTAGTTTGTAATTTTATGTTACATGGACCTTGTGGAGCTGCTGGACCCAAGTCGCCTTGCATGAAAAATGGAGAATGCTCTAAGCACTTTCCTAAACAATATTGCAGTCAGACAACTATAGATGAGAATGGGTTTGCAAAATATCGGCGACGTAATAATAATAGATTTGTAAACGTCAAAGGTGTGGCTTTGGATAATCGATTCGTGGTTCCGTACAATCGATATCTACTATTGCGGTTCCAAGCTCACATAAATGTGGAATTTTGCAATAAGTCAAGGTATTTTTTTGTCCTTTTTAATTACTGTTAGTTTCAATCTTCATTACACAGGTTGTTTCTGTTGGGACAACCCATAAGAAAATTTTAGTTCTGTTTTATTTCTATTTGAAATATACTTAGTGTAGGATTAGAACTGAACGTATTAGAGTACCAATATAAAGCCAATAATAGCCACGTTATTACATTGACAAGGTGATGCTTATATGAAAGGAAAGTTCTTATTTAAACATGTTGTGTGGTTTTGACAGTGATTATTTATTCAGTAGTATCCTTTTTCCAATCAGTGTGATTAGCATTTGTGATTAACCAAGTAATATACATTTTCCAGGGCCATTAAATACCTATTCAAGTATATTAACAAACCCGAGGATCGAGCAATGGCGACGGTACATGCAAATCAAGCGACAGGTGATCAAGAGAATGATGGAAGTTCTTCGGCTGCAACTCAACGTATAGATGAGATCAAGGCATTCATGGACTGTCGTTACATAACGGCCGGTGAAGCATGTTGGCGACTATATAAATTCGATCTTTATCATCAGTCTCCATCAGTTATGCGGCTCTCATTTCACTTACCTGGGGAAAAACAAAGTGTATTCCACGCAGAGATCAAACATGCAATCTTTGCTTCAGTCGGAAACCTCACTGTTGTTGGGATGGATGGAAATTAACCGTACTTCTCATGCTTCTCGGAGGTATACATTTGTTGAATTCCCCCAGTACTACACATGGAATAAGAAATTAAAGAGATGGCAGAAACGAAAGCAGAGAATGTGTATTGGCAGGTTATATTATTGTTATCCCTCAGCCAAGGATAGGTATTACATGCGTTTGTTACTTCATGTGGTGAGAGGATGTCGAAGTTATGAAGAGATCCGTACCGTGAATGGGGTAGTACATGATACTTTCAAGGAGGCATGTTATGCACTCGGCTTATTAGCTGATGATACTGAGTGGACTGATTGTATTAAGGAAGTTTCTTTTTGGGCATCCGGGTATAAAATGAGGAATTTGTTCGTAACCATTCTTATACACAATCAGGTACCAGATGTGAAGACATTATGGGAGGAGAACTGGGAACTACTTAGTGATGATCTTATCATGCGTCAGCGTAGAGCATTGAATTTACCAAACTTGCAATTATCTCCTGATCAACTTAAGGAATTGTGTCTTATTGAGATAGACAAGTTACTACAAAAGCATTGGAAATCATTATATGATTTTCCAGGTTAGTCAATTATGTTAAAGATACCTAAGACGAGGCTTCTGCTTACTTTATGTCTTTAAAATAGGAAAACTATATCATTCTATTTTGTCTCTTATTGCAGGGTTGCCAACTCCAACTTCATTTACAGCTCAGCGTTCTAGCAACCGTATGATCGCCATGGAACTTAATTATGATGTAGCACTCCAAAAGCATGAATTTGATGCCATGTATCCGAAGCTGAATTCTGATCAACAGGCTGCATTCATAGCAATATTACAGTCTGTCAATGCTGACCAAGGGAAATGCTTCTTTGTTGACGGATATGGGGGTACCGGGAAGACTTTCTTGTGGCAGGTTCTTTGCCTGAAATTGCGGTCTGAAAAAAAGATAGTGTTATGTGTTGCATCTTCTGGAATTGCAGCCTTGCTAATGGCCGGAGGCAGAACAGCTCATTCCCGTTTCTTTATACCGATTGACTGTGACTCTACATCCACGTGTCACATTGATCAGGGTAGTGAATTGGCTCAACTTCTTCAAAAGACTTCTTTGATTATTTGGGATGAAGCGTGCATGTCTCATAAACATAATATTGAGGCAGTGGATAGGACTCTTCGTGACATATTGCGCATCAAGGATCGCCGTAGTGCAGAGAGAACTTTTGGGGGTTTGACTGTTGTATTTGGTGGAGACTTTCGACAAACATTGCCTGTTGTTCCGAAAGGTACTCGAAATCAGATTCTAAATGCGTCCATAAAGAAATCTTACATCTGGGAACATATCATAGTGTTAAAATTGACGCAGAACATGAGACTGCGTCGCTCTATGGCAGAGTCTGCATCCGAGTCTGAAGAAATTTCTGCCTTTAGCTCTTGGATTTTACAAATTGGAGATGGCATCAATTCAAATGTGTTTGGTGAATCAACAATTAAAATTCCATCAGAACTGTGTATTCAACCGATACATGATCCTATTTCTGATGTTGTCAAGTCAACATATCCTGACCTGTCAACATGCTATTCTGATTATAAGTACTTGGTTGAACGAGCTATACTGGCCCCTCACCATGAAGCTGTATCGGCTATCAATTCTCAAGTTTTGCTGGAATTTCCTGGTGAGCCAAGATGTTATCTTAGCAGTGACTCCATTGAAGTTGATCCCGGACAACCAAATATTATGGAGAGTGATTATTCTACAGAGTTTTTGAATTCTTTGAAGGTTGGCAACTTCCCTGATCATGAGTTGAAGTTGAAGATTGGATGTCCGGTTATTCTCCTCAGGAACTTGGATCAAAGTATTGGTTTGGTTAATGGAACAAGGCTGGTTGTAACAAAAATGGGTTCTTGGTTTATTGAGGTTCAAATTCTTACAGGTACCAGTATTGGCGAGCGTGTATTCTTACCTAGATTGAAGTTATCAGAACGGTACAAAAGTCTCCATTTTACATTGGTGCGTCGTCAATATCCTATTGCCCTATCATTTGCCATGACAATCAACAAAAGCCAAGGTCAAACCCTTCATCATGTAGGCCTGTATTTGCATAAACAAGTATTTTGTCATGGCCAGTTATACGTATTGTCGCGTGTCACTCGAAAGGCCGGGATTAAGATATATAGCTGCAACACTGATGGAGAGCATACACTCAGTATGCAAAATGTTATCTACAAAGAGATTCTAGATTGATGGAACTAATTGCTTTTTCCAACAATTTTTTCCATCTGTACTGTATTGGTGGAGTTCTCATCTTATATGGTTATAATTTCTGAAAATGAATGAAGTAGGTGACAGGGATAATGACATTGTTGATTTCTGATTCATATATATACAGGAAGTTGAGACACGTGTCAACAAAACATCATATAAAATTGACACCTTTTGTGACACCAAATTTACAAGGACATGCTAATTTTCTTTGCACTTATGTTTATTGTGTTTGAGTTTCTACGTGGCTATAACCATAACCTGAGTTCAAACACCAAACATTATATCTAATTTTTGGTTGCCTCTTTGCCTATCCTAGCTATGAGAATTTAGTTACATTTTATCTGTGAGATGGGTATAGGCAAAATGCCAACAAGTTCATAAATAGAGAATCAAACCTGAACACCTACGTGTCTAAAGAAACAGCTGGCCCACCCTACGAAGCATCAGCAAGCTACACGTTCTCCATATTGACAAAAGTGTTCTCTCAATGTTGGTGCATGTAGTAAACTGTTTAGTGGTAATAATTGATCCATATTGTTGTTTGTAAGTGTATAACATGCTGGACAGGCGACATATTATACATTCATCAGCACCCATTTCCTGCACTCTCTCACTTTTAAGCATCTGCATGGGAGTAATTCTTCAGAAGAGGGAAGTAAATTCAGAGCTGAAGTTAGATATCAGGGTATATGAAAATTGGTTGCAGACAGAGATGTAGGGGAGTTACCAGCTGGGTGGAATCTAAGAGCGATTTTAAGTGGACCTGCCAGCTCACATTAAGGGGTTCGTCATGATGCTGGAATCATACCCCAAAGATGGAGCTTCTTCCAAGTAGGAAATTTCAGTAATAAGTTCAGTGGGATCACTCCTAGCAGCCTAAAATGGCTAGATCATAACCTCTAATTACGTTGGAGCTGCAAATATACCAAGATTATGTGGGTACATGTCATCGCAACATTGGTGTCTTTCATATGGAAACAAAATGCTCAATGCACAAAATCACCACACAAGGGACAAAACCAGATGAATTTAGGGACACTAGCATTATGTAAAGAAATGTGCATAAATTTAGGCTTATGTGGCAAAATTTGAATCCTCGGCAACGTTGTCAAACCGGTTTATACCGTTGTGCTGGTTTAGCAAGTGGAATGATCTACTAGTGGTACAACCGATTTATGCCGGTTAATAAAATATGTAGAAATGTCAAAAATCATTAATGTCAAATGAATTTAATCCTATATAAATCATATTTGAAGACAATTTACGTACAATTCGAATTGATACTTAAATAAAATGTGATTTTTTCAATAAAATTACATGTACTTATATTTAAATTCACGAAAACAATATAATTTTACTTAAAAATTCGCAGATCGATCATGCCGGTCATACCGGTAGTGTCATGCCGGTTTCATGACCGGAACCGGTTTGAATCCTCAACAAGGTTGTCAAACCGGTTTATACCGTTGTGTCGGTTTAACAAGTGGAATGGTTATACCAGTGGTACAACCGGTTTATGTCGGTTAATAAAATATGTACAAAAGTAAAAAATCATTAATGTCAAATGAATTTAATCATATATAAATCATATTTGAAGACAATTTACGTACAATTCGTATTGATATTTATATAAAATGTGATATTTTCAATAAAATTACATGTACTTATATTTAAATTCACTAAAATGATATAGTTTAACTTATGAAGTTGGTGAATCTGTCATGCCGGTCATACCGGTAGTGTCATGCCAGTTTCATGACCAGAACCGGTTGAACCAGTTTCAACCGGTGCCATGCCGGCTGGCATGACAACCATGATCCTCCGTCACCCACACACAACAATCTTACCATACATTATACAAGGTACTAAAAATTTCTATTAAATCATAATATAATTCACTTATAAATTTAAAAAAAAAACAAAAACTTCTTGACCTTCTTAAGAATTAAGATACTTTCTGGTACAGGATGTTAGTGGGGTTATTCCCATGACCTCCACGTTCATCCACTCTTTCACTCATTTCCAGCACAAACCACATCTAATCGGAACACTATATAAAGGCAAGCGTGACCCTCAGAAGCTCTCACACTGTTGAAAAGCATTACCTAGATTTTATTTGTTTGAAAGCATCCATGGAGTTCCGCAGTCTATCCCAGCTCAACCTGCATGAAGACAACGCCGCTGTCCGCGTCAGGATCCTTCAATTATGGAGGACAATGAAGCCAGATGGCGTGCAGATTCACCAACTTCATATGTTGCTGCTAGACAACGAGGTATCATTGACTCAAGATTTACAAGTCTTAACGTTAGATGCTTTAGCGTCAAGCATACAGTATAAAACAGTGAACTGAAACGCCCTTTGTTTTGTAGGGGACAGAGATGCAGGGCTTAGTTAGCTCCGTTAATGTACCAGAGTTTCAGCCCATTCTTCAGGCCGGAAGGATTTACGTCTTCAGAAACTTTGTGGTTCGTTCCTATCATGGTCACTATAGGGTTTCGCCTTCTACCCGCCGAATCTGCTTTAGTGATGATACATTGGTTGAAGAAGTGGCGAATGCGCATGATATACCGACGTATAATTTCCGTTTTTTGGCTGCCGCGGATCTACCGCAAGCTGTCCACAACCATGCCTATATGTCTGGTAACGCTAATGCACACTCAACTTTGATTTTTTTGTTTTAGTTATTCAGTCCCAATAAGTCTGTCTCTCTGTGTTTGGTCAGATATAATCGGCGAGGTTGTAGCTGCCGGACCAGAACAAGCACTATTCGAGGATGTTGCTGTTCTAAGGCGAAAAACTGTTGACCTCAGATTGATAGAGTTAGTTTTGTTGTCTTTACGTTACGATTGAAATTGCATGTATTCCTGCATTTTGTTGGGTGCATTCACCATTGTGGTTATTTTTTACTTTAGGGGTGACATAGTGGAAGTCATCTTATGGGATGGTCTGATTGATCAATTCCAAGAATTGATGCCTCATCACCCGGGACCTGGAACCACAGTTGTGTTCACCTCTGTGGTAGTTCAGCATTTCAATGGTATTAGTCTTTCTTTTTGTTTTAAGCTTTTGTGACGTATTGTTTTAAAGCTACTCCTATTGCTGAACTGTTGTATGCGTTGACTCTAGGTCAACACTACTGTGTTGGATCAAATGCCACCAAACTCTACTGCAATTTGCACTATCCTCACCAACACCCTTTGCTGAATAAGTAAGTATCGAGTAGAACAGAAATAAGTGGAATTTGTAAACTGAACTTGCACTTATCATGTGACTAACGCATTCCTACTAAATAACAGTATAGAAAATGCTCTCCTGGCTATTGACTATACTTTGGAGGAAGCCCTAGGGGTGAGTATCATCTCTTCAATTTCTGAGCTGAACATGTACAAGACTGACATCAATAACCAGGTAATGTATTTCCACAATCGGCTGGACAGTAATCACCAATTCGGTTTATATATGTGCTTTGTTTTAACAACTAACAAAAGAGTAAATTTTCACCCAAACCATGGTTATTCCAATCTTTTTTCTTCATTGCATTGCAGGGCATTTACTTTATTGTTGATGCCCAAGTGAAAGATGTGAATATCTTCTGGTCCCCCTCGAGGCTCAAGTTTATGGTGCAGTTGAATATTCATAAAGGATCTGATGAAGTTGTTGTTATGTTTATGACAAGCAAGTTCCGCTGGATTGCAAGTCGTATTATTGAGGGAACAGATAGAGAATGGACCCAGAACTTCAGCATTCTCTTGGAATCTTTAAGGGGTCAATCATTCAAGTTGATGGTCGAACTAGGTGGTTTCAACCAGTTGACAAATGAATTTGATGTAGTCCTGCGCAAGTTGTTCTGGTAGATAATGTTTCGTCAAGGGATTAGTGGTTTATGGGGACGTGAATGTGTTCATATATGTTTCTTTCTTTATTAGCTGAACATTAGGACCAGCAAGTGTTAATTAGCTGGTCAGTCTATTTGCTATCATGTTTCTGCTTTCTAAGTACTGATCATGTTTCTTAAAATTCAGTTATGAAATATATTTCCTTAAATTTGGTTTCTTAAATTCAATTTTGTGCCTTTTCAATTGAAGGATTTTACCTACTTATAATCTAGAACACATCACTCTGTTAATAGACAGACTCCATCACTTAAATAAAACCAAGGGAGTTTGGTACTTACATAGCAGGGTCCAAGAAGTCAGTTGCTCCAAAGAGTTTGAGCTAGGATGCTTTGGAATCCTTCTCTCGCCATAGAGACATGTATATCTCCTAATTGTAAATGAGATTTGGAAATGCTGTTGTGCACTTAAACTTCATGTGGCTTTAGGTGTGTCGAAGAATTCCTGGTAATCATGAATCACAAGTCATTTCCTAAAGGTTCTTCCAATGAATCCAAGAAACAGAATGTTGTAAGCAACATAATTGAACTTACCTCATTCTATTTAATGACTGTCGGTTCGTTATTGGCAGCCTTCTCTGGACCCTCACTTTCAAACAAGAAAGAACCAGTCCCTTGCTTTCTACCGCGATCGTGAAACAAGTGCTCTTCTTCATCGATCATCCTACGAAATTTTTTTTAATAAAAACTCATTATGATATAATTACATAATAAGGAGCGAGTTTCAGATCACCTGTTTATCAAATCCAACCGAAGGGCAATAAGTCAAACTTAAAAAGTCAGGTAATTGAGGAGTGAATCAATTCATAAGTTATACAAATTTTGACTCCAAACCCCATTTATGAACAAGCTATAACGAAGGCAATATAGTGTAGTACAAGTTTACGAATTCCAATCTACATTGAGCTGACGTTGAGATCAAGGCTTCAGAACAAGAAACATGACATTTGTGCCATGGGTCGTATGGAAAAAAGGAGAATAAACCCCATACCAATTTGACAAAGAGTAAGAACGAGGAGATGGAGAGGGTTACTCTAACAATCGAAGGAGGACATAGATCGAATGACGAACGAAAGGGGACATCGATTTCAGGGGGTTACCTCCACTATCGGCGAAGGCACAACAGGAGGCGCCATTTTGTAGTTTTGCACTCGACTGTAAACCCCACCTTGACACCCAGCGGGATTCGTCTTTCAATTAATCGGGTGCCAACATTCTATTGGGGGATTGCGCTGAGGACGTAAGAATTGTGAAGGGACGAAGTTATGAATCGCGATCGAGAGCCGTCAAGTCTGGCGGGGAGGAGCAACAGAGGCGGAAATCAAGGAGAGGGACTTCCATTTTCGTATTCCGATCCCTTTGTCTGAAGGAAAATGTATGGACTTCAGTTTTTTATTGATAAAAGAGGGTAGATGGATACCATCGATGTTCATGGAGACGATGAAGTGAACGGAAAGAGGTAGACATCAGTGAAGAGGCATAAGATGAGCAGTCGAATGGAAACGATGGATGACGGATCTGTGATAGGAGGTTGTTTTAGACAATGTTGCCCAGGAGTCTGTATCCCATCCATCAAAGAATTGTCTGAAGATGACGGATACTCTGCGTTTTGGTGAGTTTCCCATAAACCATTCTTTGGACACAAAATTATATTTGGGGCTTCGCCTGATCAAGACAAAATATTTGGGCCTTTTGAGTTTTAAAGCCCATCAATATCTATCTTAATATTAGCCTACCTGAACCATTCCAATCCTTTCATTATTCCTTGGAAGGCAGCAGGCATCCTCTCCGCTTCTCTATTTCCCCAGTAAGGACGAACACAAAGGGGGTTTCTCCAAAGTACTTGAATCCGCCGACTAGAACGTGGGTAGCCTTTCCCTACGATTCGGAGATCATGGTGAGGGTTATAATAGATCTCTTTGAATACTATCTCATATCCGAACGTGGACATCATGGGACGGGAAGCACCGACGAAAAGGTAGCTCTCCACCTGTCAGGCGATTGCGTTCACTTCAAACGGTGAGTTGTTAACTCTAAACCTCAAATTACCCAGTTGTGTGAATATAAAGCTTACTTCGAGCTTCCCTCTGTCTATGAAGAAGGCACTCCCAGCAATGGATCAAAGTGTTCCGATTGCTCAACTCACCACGGAAGAAAATCGGACTTGGGTTTTGCAATGCAGAGTTTCAAGGAAATGGATAGCTATCAACCCGAATACTGATATTGTGATGAGTTTAGATATGTTGTTGCTGGATGCAAAGGTATTTACGACCTTCGGTACAAAGCTTTATGTATGACATGTTCCAACCTCAATTTTGTAACATTAGTTTGTGGATGTGGTCACAGGGAGATGCTATTTGGGTTCAAGTACCCCGAAACTTGATCAAGAGATTTGATTCAAAGATTAAAGAACAAGCCATCTATATCATTGCGAAGTTCAAAGTGAGTTAATTAACTGACAACAAGAAGTATCGTCCTGTTAAGAATCCATTGTGCATTGAGTTTCAATCAGGGACAACCATTCGCCCCATGGACAGTACACAGCCCATCCCTCGCCACATCTTCAGATTCATCGAGCATTCTGACATACCCAAGAACATCAACAACAGAATGGTTTTGCTTGGTAATTAATGTTTCTGTTTGTAGTAATTAATGTTTCCGTTTATAGTACAGGTGTTTTCAATGTTCAATTACTAACTTATGAGATACCCACCTCTATCCCATGATGTAGATGTTGTTGGTCTGGTGAAGGTATGTATGACTCCTATTACCACGACTAATCTGAGAGGGAGGTCTACTCGCAAGGAAATTAAGATCATGTTGCTTGAGTACTGCTCTAAACTTAAAAATTCCAACTTAAAAGTTTGCTTGCATCTTCTTTATTGTTATACTGACTAATGGTTAACAACAAAAATCTTTTAGGGGAGTTATGGTGACTTTTGTAATTTGGGGACGACTTATCACTCAACTAGATGAAGTCATCTGGCAGCCGGTACCGGGCCAATCATTTTGGTTATTTCTTCTGTGTTTGTTACAAAGTACAATGGTAAGTTCAACTGAACTATCTATTACAGTAGTAATAAGTGGATGCTTAACTTCGTAGTCCTCCAATTCGGTTTTATTAGGTGAGGTGAAATTATCATCATCAAGTGCGACCAAATTTTATGCAAGTTTAGATTTACCTGAAGTTGCAGCCTTCCAGCAAAGGTATTATTTTCCGAGTTTGTTTGTTCATACACATAACATAACAGAAGCATAATTCAAAGAAATACATATGCATTTACTAATTGTTCAGTTTTGGTGCAAGGAATCATGAATTAAGTTCTCCACGGTTCCTTGAACGAGAAGTTGATCCCCCACCAGTTTTCATAGAAGATTTGATGAGCCTACTTAGCAACTCTGCCAATAAGGTAATGTAGACCAGTGTTTCTATAAGTTTTTTGATCAAGGACAAGCATGTTATATCCATGCACAAGAATATTTATGCTGAATTATTATAAAGCAGACATGTTGATTTTAGTTGTTCGTTTGTCATCCAAGAATAAGGTGTTCACTATTAGCGGCAACGTTTGTGAAGTCATGCACAACTGGTGCTATGATGGTTGTGCGAAATGCTCCTCCAAATTGCATGCTGGAGTGGATCATTTCTACTGTGACAAGTGTAATGCACGCTCAATTCAATCAGTGAAAAGGTTCGTGTATGTTGTATGCTTCTTATGAATTCCTTACTACTTCATGTTATTGGTCATATTGAGAAAAATCTATTTAGTCAACGGTATAACATATTTACGATTATAATATCATCTACTTATCCATTGAAGGTTTCGGTTTGAGCTGTCTGTGATAGACTCATCTGCTGAAGCACTTTTTGTTGTGCTGGATCATGAAGCCGGTAATTTTTTTGATAAGACGGCTGAAGAACTTTACAAATCGAACGATCAACAACCTACTGGGGTTCCATCTGTTATTCAGAACTTTCAAGGGCTAGATGTCACATTACAAGTCAAACTCAATTCATACACTTTCAAAAATCCAGGACAAGGATTTAGTGTCGTGAAGATTGTTGAGCCTGAAGGGGTACATCAGCTACGCACTAAAACGTCTGAACCTGGTCAGGTATGTGCTTCCATTTATAAGCTTTCTTGCTTTTAATGAAACGATGGGAATGGATGTCGTAGTGATGCTTAATTTCCAGCTAATGGAATGCCATTTGCATGCTGAACTCTGAACTATTTTGATGATTGAAGAAGCAAGCCTATGAATAATGATTATTCATTTTCCTGCGGTTGTCTCTATTTGGGCTATGAGTGAAAGTCCCATTTTTTCTCAACTAAAGTTACAACCTGTGTTGTACCTTATGCTACTCATGTTTCTACGTGGTGGTTTGGCCTGTTGCATCAGTATAGAACATGATTACCTATGAACGTTGGACTCCCCAATTTGCTTGCTATGCATAATCATGCTTTTTTCGTATTGTTGTTAACTAAATATGAACTGAACCTTAACCACAAAATGTGCCTCCACCTTCTATCACAAATTTAATTAGCTGCATTTTGTCTCAGCACTCTAAGGAAGGAAATAAGTCTTCACCTTCACCCATCACTGTCGTGGGACAACAATCTACCGGAGAATCCATTATGGATACCACAATTGCAGCTGGGCATGTACAGGAAGGAGATGGTAGCCTTGATGGTGGTTTTTGTATGCCTCTGAAGAGGAAATTAAGTGAGGAGGAGTAGGTTTACTCAGTCATATGGATGGAATAGCTTATAGCTACTATTAATTTTCTTTATTTTATGTTTTATGTTGTGGATGACCCATCTTTGCCACATAAATATTTTAACTTTGTTTTACTCCAACTATGTTGAGTCTATTTTGAATTTTCAGTACTTTCTTCATGACAAATATATATTTGAAGTCTCATTATTGTCCATTCTATGCATGTGCATTGAGTTTCCTAGAATCTAAATCATCAATATGAATTCCTTTAAGATTGGCATGCTTTGTTTTCTATCCAAACTTGACACAAAGCTATTGAGAATGAGTTTTTCACACCATCTTTAAGTTAGCGTCGTCGTAGAAATATTCTTTTTCATTTATTACATCGCATTTCTTAGGTCAACATAAAAATAAGGATCGCATTTTAATTTTCTCCGGCCAACGGGCCGGGCAACAAGCTAGTTAGGTATATAATCGTCTTTTAAGACGAAAATGATTGATCGGCGGCGACGGTGGTGGTAGGGTTACCAGGGGCGGAGAGGCCATCTCTGTGGCGGAGCTCGGGTTCGTTGGTGAACCATGAGTACTGAAGCTTGTAGGCGTCCCAATTGGAGTGACGGAGGAGGATGTTGGCCTCATAATTGGAGAGACAGAGTGTAACAACCCGAGCTAGTTGGATGACGACGTGTAAAGGAGTGACGGATGTATAAATAGAAGAAACCTTCTGTAACTGGATATCTTTTGGCAAATGAATAAACAATAGATACTTTCTCTTCTTTCCTATTAGCGTTAGCTCTGTAGAACAACTCTGCACATTCCATTCTTTACCTCTTCCCTGTTCTTCCTCCATCCTTCCATTACTTCGCCAGATTCCACCAACGATCCTTACAAGTGGTATCAGAGCCTGTCATCTGGCAACAATGGCGTCTAATACATCGAGAATCATTGTTTTGGAAACTCAAATGGCGGCTATCAAGCAGCAGATGGACTCACGGCACCGGGATTTGAAGGCCGCCATTGCTGCTCTTGCGGATTCGACGAAGGCCTCCATCGATGCTCTTACTGATTCGTTGGAGCAACGGCGGGACGTTTCTAGGGTTCGTTCTCCATGGCACGCGTCTCCCAATCAGTTTGCCGATCCATAGCCGTTCATTCCGCCGCCGCGTCAATCGTTGATTCTGGATCCTCATGTGTGGGTTCCTTCTTCCACCGTCTCCGGGCAACTTGCCTCGATCGCCGACCACCAGGTTCCTTCTCCAACCTTCAATTTGGTTTGTCCCCTGTCTACATCAGCACCGAAACCCCTAATTCCTTCTGCTGTTTCTTCTCCGAGAATTCAAGACCCAAATCCCTCTTCTCCTGAACCACCGCCGTTTGCCTTGCCTTCTTTCCCACCATCTTTTGCTCTGTTGCCTTCTACTCCATCAGTTGTTGTATATCCAATTGATTCTTTTGCTACTCCTGTTGCTTCGTCAACCTCCAACCCTTCACATCCGTTTCCTCATAGTAGTGCAGCCATTAAGGAAATCAAGATTGAAACTCCCAAATCTTCCCTCCTACGCTGCTTTCGTCTTTTTTCCTGCCTTCTCCACCACAAACGATTTCTACTCTTAAAATCCATTCATTACCCAACTGGGACATCCACACTTCATTCACTGGTGATCCTAATGACATATGTGCACAGAAGATTGAATCTTCAGTTTCGCGTGGGGCTAGCAGCATTTCTGGCAGCTGTGATAATTTTGCTATTCGAGTTTTTCCTACAGTGTTCAGTTCTGGATTCCAGGACTGCCATATTCCATTGATGCACTCTAAGTTGAATTACGGGGTTCGAATTTGTTGTGGTTATGGTGGGAACTGTGTAGCTCCTACAAGGAGAGAAAAATACCCTTTGTTCATGGTTCCATTCGTGGGTTGCAATATGGCGATCTTCAACTCCAGTGTCCAGTATGGGTTTCAGATTTTTCCAACATATTATGGGGTTCACCTGAATTCTCATACGGGATGCACTTATGCTGATTTTAAGGGCCCTTACAAGGATTATGAAGAGCATGTGGATGGTGTTGAGCACGTCAAGAGGAAACAGAATTGTGGGTTGAGTGAGCGAGATAATGGTTTGTTTGTTGAAAGCAGTGAACCTGTGAAGGATTGGGTCAGCAGGGTACGGAGAGAGGGGGTACATTGTGCTGCAGGAGAAGGTTGAGCTAAAGTTAGTCAGCAGGGTAATGTTGCAAATAAGAATGCAGGGTCTATTTCAATTGTTGAAAATGAGCCAACTTTAGCAGCAACAAAGCTAGCTAAGGAAAGAGTGGATCATACTGATCTCACTTTCTTTGCATACTTCCTTTGGAACTATTCTACAGTAATTAAGTTCGTACAACCTCAAGAAAGACTACAATTCTCATATCAGTACTGGGTTGCGGGAGTTGCAACGTCATTTCTACAACGGCAGCATCGAGCAGCTTCCATTGAAGAAGAGGATCATGTTCTTGAAAATCTGACATGTGGGGCTCACTTTGTTGTAGTTAGCAGTAGGGATTGCCATGGGTTGAGCAGTGATTTTGGGCTGCAGCCAACGCTAGACAAGAGTTTTGTGATCTTGGAGGAACATGTTTGCAGAGCTTGCAGTTTGTGGCTGTTGTTGCCCTCCGGCGTTCTTTGGGCTTGCTGATCATCTTACTTCCACAGTAGGGACTATTACTTTTTTGGGTCTAGCTCAAGTTCTCACTATTTCAATTGGAGCATTGGCGGAGCGAGTATTACAGCAGCAGCACTAGGTCCAATTCTTCACTAATAACATCGTATGAGCTCAGATCAGACAGCAGCAATATGAGTCTTGAACACAGCTTGAGCACTGCATCCTACTTTTCCAGCTTGATTACAGCTTGAGGACAAGCTGTCTCTGAAGAGGGAGGGTTTGTAACAACCCGAGCTAGTTGGATGATGACGTGTAAAGGAGTGACGGATGTATAAATAGAAGAAACCTTCTGTACCTGGATATCTTTTGGCAAATGAATAAACAATAGATACTTTCTCTTCTTTCCTATTAGCGTTAGCTCTGTAGAACAACTCTGCACATTCCATTCTTTACCTCTTCCCTGTTCTTCCTCCATCCTTCCATTACTTCGCCAGATTCCACCAACGATCCTTACACAGAGCAAGGCTGATAGTTGGCTGATCTTGTCCTCTATCCGTCGCCGGATTTCGTATTCGTTAAATATCTGATATGGAGCCGGCCTAAGGATGTCGTCCTCTGCCAAGATAACGGTGGTATCATCATCTTCTACTTAGGCGTCCAGGTAATCATCGTCGGTGTCGTAGTGCACGCCAAAATCGTCATCGACGCTCATATTTGCTAGCGGCGGCAGTATAAACCTTGAAGAGAATTCTAGGATTTTAAGTTTTTGTTGGGTAGGGCAGAATGAGTTGGAAATTAGATTAAGCTGCCAGGGGATGAGTTAGCTTGGTTACTAAATTTCTAGTAGCCACCTTGGCTATATCAATATTCACCATCCATTTTTATCTTTTTCCTATTTTTTAATCTCACGATTATGATTGCTCAAGGATAATTTTGAAAACAAAAAATAAACCACACTGGATTATTCTATATATACACAAACCCTAATTCTACCCTCCTCCTTCCAACCAAACCCACGCGCCGGCAGGCGGCAGCCTCCCCCCTTCCCCACCGTCCCTCTCTTCCTCCTCCACCCCTCCCTCTTTCCTCCCCCTCCTCTCCCCTGCCCATCCCATCCCACCCCACCCCCTCCCCCCCGGCGACCCACACAGCCGGCGCAAGATTCATCCCGATTCCGGAGGCTGCCGATGAGAATGCGGAGGAGGAAGACGATTCCGAAGAATTCCAAGGATTCTTCGTCAATCCAACTCGTACCTTATGCGGTGGCATTACGAGTGAAAGCCCCTCCGCTGTTGCAAGCGAGCAGCAACTCTGCGGCAGCGATTCTGAACCCGTCCCATCGAGCGCCAATCGATTTGGTCACGGTTCTCGATGTGAGCGGGAGCATGACCGGCGGCAAGATGCTGATGCTGAAGCGCGCGATGCGTTTAGTCATCTCCTCACTCGGCTCGGCTGATCGGCTCTCGATCGTGGCCTTCTCATCGGTGACGAAGCGGCTGTTGCCTCTGAGAAGGATGACGACTCACGGTCAGCGAGCGGCTCGGCGCATCGTTGACCGGCTCGTCTGCGGTCAAGGGAGCAGCGTCGGGGAGGCTATGATGAAAGCGGCGAAAGTGCTCGAAGACCGGCTCGTCTCCGACCCTCTCGCCTTAATGGTATTGTTTTTGTTGCATTGGTATTGATTTTGTTGCATTGGTATTATTTTTGTTGCATTGGTATTTATTATCATGTAATGGTATTGATTAAATCTGCAATGGTATTGATTTTTAGTGAAATGGTATAGATTTATATTGGTATTTTTCGTGTAATGGTATAGATTTATTTCTGCAATGGTAGTTTTCGTGTATTGGTATAGATTTATTTCTGCAATGGTATTGATTTTTTCAAAGTGGTAGTATTTGTCTAATGGATTGGTACTATTTTTTTTTTTTTTTTTGCAGAAAGATTGAGAAAAATATGGAATGAAAATATGGCTGGAGATCACGAAAGTGAGAGAAAGAGAGAATTTTAATTAATAGATTTTTGTAACTACCTAAAATGTAATTTATTAAAAAATTAATTAATATAATTTATTTTTCCATACCCAATTTACCCTTAGCAGTCCAAGGGCGACCAGACATTATTTTTTTTGTTAATGGGTGTAAGAATGAGTTGGAAATTAGAAAAGTTTAAAATTTTATTTTTTATTAATTTGTTAATTGTCACGTCACTCATTTAACGGTCAACTATTAGAATTGACCGCCACATTAGCAAAAGTTAACGGAGACTAACGGTCGGTGACCAAACTTGGACTGTTAACCTAATTCAAGTGACTACGAATAAAATAAAGTAATTCTAGTGGCTAACATGAACTTTACTAGTAATTCAAGTGATCAAACTTGCAATTTAGCCCCCGTGTCTTTATTCAATCATTGCCGCCATTGGCCAATTATGAAGGGGTTAATAGACGGATGCAGGGGATTATAAAAACAAAAAGAAATCGACTACCGCCGACCTGACCCTTCTGGCCGCCATCTATCATTCCCCGACAGAGGAAAAGAACCCGAAAGTCAAATTTTCCATGCCCTTGACGTTTTGGGAAATTAAAGTTGTCAATGCAGCCTAACACGTTACCACCGACGGCTGCTAATTTTATCACCCATTGCAAATAACAACTTGAAGATCGAGTTGTGTGAGCAAGGAAGAGGAAAAGGAGATGCCTGGGGGAAGGAACGACGACGAAGTGCATGGGAGAAGGAACGAAGGCTGGGTGGATGGTGTCGCTGGTGAATCGGGGAGAATGGTGTAGGTGACGGCGGAGAGAGGTCAACACTGTTGCAGAAGGATTAAAGATTTTTGTTTTGTTGAATTCATTTTATTTAATGAAGGACAATTTAATATTTTTACATTTTAAATTAGGGTGATAATAATAAAACAAGTGCGACGTTGAGCCTTGCAATTATGTACTTGGTAGTTTGAGCCTTGCAATTATGTACTTGGTAGATTCGAACTATGGAATGTTTTCAGTTTTCTCACCAAAAAAGAATGACGGAATGTTGCATGAGGTTGGAGAAAACAGCTAACTGGCTTGTGAATGTGTGCCTTTGGTTTGAATTTTGAAATTTTTTTGAAAATATCACTAAATTGTATTTATATATGAAACTAGTGTCCAGAAAGAAAAAAATGAAACTAGTGTCCAGAAAAATTCAATCCAGAAAATAAAAGAGCGCGGCTCAGTGGTTTAAATTTAGTTGACAAACATGCCCTCAGCCCGCTTCTATAAATCGTGAAATGTCCTCGTTCTATCTACGCGAAAAAGCGAGGCGAAGAAAGAAGAGAGAGTATGCACTAGGCAGGGGCATACACGTAAATTCGGCGGTTTTGAGACCCACTAGTACAGGTGCCTGCTCTGCTCGTCCCTCTTCAGTCTTCACACTCCCAAAAAGAATTCGACTCTGCTCCCCCCAGCTCTTAGCGGAGATCGGAGAATTTTCCCCGGCGGCAACTCGAAGAAAGCCAAATCCAGGCCAACATGGTAAGGAATCTCCATCCTCGGAACGGAAGCTTGGCAGTTTCAGCCTTTACATTTTCAGATCTTCCGTTATTTTCTCCTTTCTTTTCCATCCGTTGCAAATGCGACGAAAGCGCGCTAGGGTTTCGGGTTTATGGGCCGGAAACTAGATAGAAGTAGAATGTCGTGATGGAATTCCCGAATCAAGAGTTACCAGTTACGTGTTTTCTGGCTTGGATTTCGAATCTGCTGGAGTGAGTTCGTGTTCATGGGCTATGGAAATGTCCGATCCATGTTTATTCAGTGTGGAAAGAGAAGTGAATCTGTTCAATTGAGCTTCTCCTGTATCTCTTAATGGATGCTGATCTAAGATTGAGGTTAAGGTGTTATGCCAAAACTGCCTTTCGTTCCTCTTGGCTTTCTCTTTGCATTGGATTCCTATGTGTGGTTTTCTCGGCCTGGAGGATGATTTCTGCAGTAGTATACTAATTTGCTGAAGTTTGATGGGAAATTGAGTGTGTTCGATAGCGCTGAGATAAGCTTAGGATAGGGAAAGTGGAATGCATACGGTCATACGGTAAATGCATAGCTCTGATAACAGGGAAGAAATGCTTCAAGAATGGCGATTCTAGGTCCATTGTTATGTGCAACTATAAGCCTGCCAAGCTATGAGATTGGTATCGGTCCATATATGTTACAGCGTAGAATTCTTAGCCGACCTATGTATCCATGGCTAGTAATATTAGCTGAAGAAAAGTGTCCTGTCATAACTTGATAACTCGGTTGTTTTTTTCTTGGTATTATGTGATGTGTGTGTTGTGCCATGAGACTCTGACTTCAGGTTGTAAGCTGTGGATACTCTCATTCGCATCACTTTGCTAGTGTTTAAATCAGTCGGTTATTCATTGTGCAATTGTTTGGCACTTTGTTACTAGTTCATGCAATAGCTTATTCCGTTGTATCTAAGCAAGCATTGTAATTATTTCATGGTAGGACGGACATGATGGTGATGATCCTAAACAGAGTACTGCCGATATGACAGCTTTTGTGAGTTTTCACTTACACCTCTTTAAGATAGTTTAACTCTTCAACGCAGTCATCACTTACCGAGTTTTGTTTTCTGTTGTCCTGCAGGTGCAAAATTTGCTTCAGCAGATGGTTTGTTTTGTCAATGCTTTTAATATCTCACAACTGATTGACAATATCAAAGCATTTACTCAGTCCCCCCCCCCCCCCCCCCCCCCCCCCCCCCCCTTTTTTTTGCAGCAATCCAGGTTCCAGACTATGTCTGACTCCATCATCACAAAGAATATCCTTCTCTAACTTCCATTTCTCATTCTTATTGTCTCAATCCAGAATAAATTATAATCGTGTATCTGCTTCGACTGTGCATGAAAATCTGAACGAAGTATGTTGGCCAGTCTTTTTTTCTTTCTATTTACACCCCTATTGGTCTTTCCTCTGGGTTCTTCCATATAGGAAAACCCATGCTCATTTCGTCAAGTTAGGAAGATATACACCATTCGGAAGTCCAGTTTATTGTCAAATTGTGGATATTGTTTCTTTGGTTATCCTTGACCGCAATGCACTCGATGATATGGGAAGCAGGATAGACGAGCTAGAGAGGAGCATCAATGACCTGAGAGCCGAGATGGGCGTGGAAGGGTCTCCATCTCCTTCGACCCCCAAGGCTAAGGACGAATCGGAGCCAGGTGCTGGTTCAGCCTGAGACAAAGTACCAAGTAAGAAGGACGTTGGAAACAAAACTGGTGTTCTGCAAATAGTGTTCTTATTTTTTTTTCCTGTTTGCTATTGGCCTGCAAGTTTTCCGGGGAATCTGTTGATGTGAGCACCCCATCTTCCATTTCTACCACCATTTTGCTTTCCCTCTTCTGATTAGGAAACCTATTGAATTAGAGTGTGATGTGAACACACCATGTCTAGGGTGTCTATGCTCGTTGTTTTGCCATATATGATGGCTCTAGTAACTCATTAATTCAGCGTGTGGTTCGATGTTGACGTCCCTCCCTCGTCCGATCAAATTGGTTGCTATATGAATCATGAACTGATGTGGTCCGGGTTCGAATATCGATTCATCGAACCGGGTCGCTGTCTCTATAGACAGCTAGCTATTAGCATACAGCCAACCTCCAACTCAGTACAGAAAAAGGTGTGGAAGGTGAAGTGATTGAGAAGCTTCTTATTTCGGTGAAATGGTGCTGGAAATCACCAAAATGGTGGCTGGCTTGGGCCACACACATGAACTCCTTTCCTGAAAGGCACTTGCCAGCTGATTGGTGATAACAGCATTGAATTTGAGACTTATTGTTACGGCCCCCGCCTCCATTAGAGTGGTCCAGTTGTTGTGTTGATGTGGGTTTAGTTTTAGGCGTCCTCTTCAAGCATTCAATTGCAAGTTAAAGAAAGATGCTTTGATTCTCAAACAAAGGACCATTACAACTCACACCCACTCAAAACTTAACTTTCTCTTAATGCATTTGCGACGCGAATTACGCCGAAATCATGTGTGGTTCAATACGAGTTTATATTGTTGGTTCGATCACGATAAATAAGAACAATTTAGCCCACTTGATCATAGAAAACATGAGACCTATATGTCTTAATGCAAAATACCTGTTTGGAGAATGACTCGATAGTGTAAGTTTATGACTGAATAATAACATCACGCAACATCTTGATCAACGACACTAATTTAACATCACTGATGTGATTCGACAATATAATATTACACAGCACGAAATTGAACTTCGGTTAACTCTCAATTTCATAACAAATCTCGCCGTGTGTTTTTATATATGAAAGATTCAACATTTCTCCTCACTCTCAATGTTTTGTATTACATCAGACACAAAATCAAACCAATTATAGTTATTAGTAAGTATATATTATAAATATATATCACTATGTGGAAAAAAGAAAAGAAAAAAGAAAGAAAGAGGGATAAATTCAGTAGCGGCAGCGAGTAATGTGGCTGCAGCCGCGGTGGTAGGGGTTGGCCTGAGCTCCGGCGTGGCAATTGTAGTACGACGCGCCGCGCCTCGAGCAAGGAACGCTGTTCCGCTTCAGCGCGCCGTAGCTAATGTACCTGCTCGCCGCCAGAATCCGGCGGGCTGACTCCGACTCCATCGCGAACTCCTCGCCGTCGCCGTTGTCGTCTCCAACACTGCCCGCCGCCATACACTCGGCGATGGATCCGTTGCATCCGGCGCCGGGGGAGTTGAGGGCCGGGAGGAAGTCGATGGCCTTCGATGTGGATATGGCGAGGTGCGCCGCCAGGATTGCGCAGATCAGGAGGATTCCGCTCCCCTGGAAGCTGCTGCTGCTTCTTCCCATTTCTTCTGAATTCTTTTTTCTTCGATCTTCTTCTCTCTTTCTTCGCCTCTCTCTGGTTTTCTGTTGTTTGGGTTCAATTTTGTGGAGTGTGTGTGGTGGCCGAGGATTCAGGAGGGAGTGAAATGTGGCCTGCGCGTTGGGGTTTTAAGCGAAGGCGAGAACGAAACTTGACATCGTTTTGACGAATAATAACAGGAATGCCACTTGCTTTTTAAGCTGATTTATCCTTTTTGAAGTCCTTTCACTGATTACTAAGGAGAGATCAAGCGATTGAAGATATACTAGAGAAAACTCATGAGTTGATGGGACCACGTCACATGTTTAACTCGAGCATTGTAAAATTGTATCGAAAGTTGTATATGAATGGTTAATGGTACAGACAGTATTTTGTACTGGACTTGCTCATATACCAACTTAGACTCTAATAGAAGGATTTTTTTCCTGTCGAACCACTGATATGATTGCGTTTCACATACACTAGTTCAATTGTCTCTATTACATAAAAAAAATTACCAACCAGGTTATTAGAAACTAGTTTGTGTCAAAATTACAATTATATTTAGTTAAGTAGTGACAATTATTATGTAACATTTATTTTATATAAGTTTATTTCATGTGTAACAATTATAGATAGTATGGTGTTTTGTAAGTTTTACATAATACTTGTACTTCTTCTATAACATCTTAAAAAATTTCATATAAAATTGTCAATGTTCTTATCAGTGTCCCAACACGTACATATGAATTTCAACGAACAGTCACATAGTCGGGATGCCAAATTTTGTTATATAGATCGTCAAAGAAAGATGAGATTCAATATGAAAAAAAAAATATGAAATCGCCTAGCATTACAAAATATCAAAAGTCCATATTGCATCTAATAGTCCGAAATATCAAAAGTTCATATAAAAGCACAAGTATCTCAAATTTTAACGAATTAAATTGGATTCTCCGCTATCATAATTCTCCATAATAAATCTAAGAAAAACATACGATAAATCCAAATACACCTTTTTTTAGAGATAATAGTTTAGTTCCTCCCTCTTCCTTGCCTTGCCTTGCCTATAATGATACGTCCAATCGACCAAACAAACAGGGTGTGTGAAAGGAATGTGGGAAAAGGGGAAATGAATGTTTATGCGCGCATTCATTTTTGCTTCGTTGGGAGACATCATAATCAACAAGGTAGGAATTTTGCTTAGGACGCGTTTGTTTTGTTTAATGGATTGCTTCTTTGTATAGACCAACACCATTTGGCCCCTTTTGCCAATCATAAGAGCTATCAATAATCGAGTATCGACAAAAATTACAACCATCAGAAAATGATCATTAGCTTGCTTGCTTGGCCGGTGAAGTTGATTGATTCCCACTAATTAATGATTGATTTCCACTAATTAATAGTGGGATTTGCTCCTTCCAACCGTTAGCATGGTGAAAGCATATTCGACGGCAAAAATTGGCACCATATACTATGTTAGGTTTTCGCCTGAAATTTATCCGGTTTTAAAAACTATCGTCGCGCCTATAATTATTGTTTGCTTTCTAATACGTTTCAACCATTGTAGTCGAATGATGTTTTCAAGCCGAAGAGGATGAATTCACGAGATAAAAAGTTTAGAACTGTATGTTACGGAGATCCGCGATCAAATTTGTCTAGTGGGAGGGAGACAACCGAGATGATATCAAGAGTTTCGAGTTGTCAACTGGGCTCTTGTCTCACACAGGTTAACCAGGCATTATCTACTGTTTTATTGGGTTGATTGAACATCATTGAGTCCGTTTAGCTTGTTTGAGGCTAATAACTGTACGAGATTTCCTTTGGGGCCGTGACTAAATATCATTTTTAATGAATTTTGAATAAACCAGTTGAATACAATTATTTTAAATATTATTTGTGCTCTATTTCTTAACAATGTGAAGTTAGCATCGATTTAGGAGAGGTATATACTATGGCGTTAATGATTGACCTCAAAGGCAGTTTGGTTTATTTGAAAGATTTAACAAAGTGGCCAAACGGTTTGCCGGCGGAGATGCATGTGAACAAGAGGCCAAGCTGGCGTTTTAATTGAACTGGGGGAAATAGACGGGCCGATTACATAAATGGCCCCCCAAATTTTGATCCATTGCAAATTGGCTACCGGAGTTCGATATGCAACAAATTTATGCTAGAATTCCAAATAACTAACATAATAGTCCTTCTCGTTTTCCTCTAGTAACCATGAGATTTTATGTTCAGGTTTGTATGTGCATCAACTAATAATCTTGCAAAATCAATTAAATTCTTATGACAGATATTCAACATTTAGTAAATGCTAACTACTATCTAAAAATATGATTTTCGCGATGTTAAAATAAAGAGAATAAAGAGGAAGGAGAATGAAGAGTCCGTCGATAATTGATTCACAGTGGATGAACAAGGAACACTATTGGATTGTGGTTGATTTTAATATGGTCGACCCTACACTAAACCATAATTATCATGATTATATTTCATCATCACTAATCCATAAAATTATACTAAAAAACAATAATAGGGTATAAAATCCAAAATTCCATGTCCTACCACCATGGTCCATGAAACCGTACCAGAGACTGTACCGGAAAAGTCAGTGGTAGGGTATTTTATGGACCGTAGTTTAACCGTTATACCGGTAAATACCGTCTACCGATTTAGCCTCCAATACTGGTATTTCGTGGTTAAATCGCCGGTACGATACGGTTTCATGGACACTGCCTACCATCCGATCCATCGATCTAAGGTGGTAAGACATGAATTTGATAGCCTCGGTATCGGGTGACACGGGTGACACGAGTGGATCAGGTTGAAATTTGTGTTTTGTCATTTTTGACTTCTTTCACCCACTATACCAAGCAAATTCCTCTCATTTATTTAACTTAGTAGGCCACGCCGCCACGCCAAGGTCCAAACCGCAGTACAGAAGCCCACAAAAGATGGGCCGGTCCATCCACGTTGAGCCCGGCCCATCCAACTCCCCTTTAGGGGTTTTTACTTGTTTTCTCAAATTACTGTTCTAAATTCACGGGTTAGTTTCGATCCTTCCCTGACTTCTCCTCCTCCCTCCGCCGGGCAAGAAAAACCAGCAATCCGATCTTCTCCCTGGGCTTTTGGTACGAATACTTACGCTTTAACCAGGAATCCGATCACTGTGTTTGGCTGTCGAAAAACCCGAAGCTCCCTTCAGTATTTGTCTTCGCTATTTTCTTCTCCAGTCGTTTTCGATTTGTTCGAAGCGTAATTCTAGTGAAGTAATTTCTCTACTGTTTCCCTGTTTTCTCAGGCGATTCCCATCCATACTCGCAAAGATGCAGAACGAAGAGGGCCAGAGCGTGGATCTCTACATTCCCCGGAAATGGTAATCTTTCGAACTCCTAATCCCCCCCCATGAAAATTTTGCCGGTTCGTTTAATTTCTAGGGTTTAGGATTTGTTCTGGGTTTCAATGGAGGTGTTGGTTGAGTTTTGAGTGTTTTTTTTTTTACTATGGCAGCTCGGCCACAAATATGTTGATTACTTCGAAAGACCATGCATCCGTCCAGCTCAACATCGGGCATTTGGACGAGCACGGGCTTTACACTGGCCATTTCACCACCTTTGCTCTCTGTGGCTTCGTTCGTGCTCAGGTGAACTTTTTTCCCTCTCTTCCTTTCATTATTCTTAGTAATGCTGCTTTCTGCTATGGTTTAAACTTGAGATCGAGTCGGACGATATCTTAAGTAAGGTGAGTTGGTAAATAATGAGGAGTAGAGTGTTTACTATGGATTTGAGAGAAGAAATGATATTGATAGGAAAAACCGCGATGAATAGTATCGCATGTGAAATCATGCTGGAGATTGAACTGGCGAAGCTAGCGGTTCAGCGAATGATACAAGTAGTAACAAAATTGTTAACAATTGCAAATTCTTCAATCTAAACCGAAAATTGTTAACAATTTGCTATCGTGATACACATCATACCAGTTTGGTCACTAATGCGCGGTTTTATGCGTACCTAGAATATCACAAACACTGGATTTGAAATAGTGCTTGTATGCTGTTGAAAGCATAAACTAACTAATATTAGCAATGGCTCTGCCTAGACTTCTTTTACTTATAATGTCAAGGGATAGAGACAAGGATATGTTAAATATCTCATAACGTGCATTATTGCGGTTGCATTTCATACTTACATTAAAGATACTTCCATTCCTCGTAGTATAGGCTGCTTGCTGTCTTGGTATGAAATGGACTTATTAAGAGAATCTCGAGGGCGGGACTTTTTTGTTGTTGTTGGATTCTTGAAGCTCTACCTGCCTGGATCTGTTGAGTACTCATTTGCATTGCATCAAATGCTTGCTGCTGCTGCTGTGACTGAGCAAAGTTTCAATCTATTTGGAACTAATTGACTAAGGCGTGGAGGGGTGTTTTCACTTCTGTTCTTTTGCAGGGTGATGGCGATAGTGCACTGGACCGGCTCTGGCAGAAGAAGAAAGCTGAGCTGAGGCAGTAGTGCAATTTAGACGCCTAGCTGGTTTGCTGAAGGGTCTATTGATTAGTATGGGTCTTTGAACAATAATGTCGAAGTACTTAGAATGTTGCTGAAGAGTCAATTTAGAACTTAGAATGTTGCTCTGAGTTATGAATTGCTATTGATTGCAGTCAGTTCGTTTAGCTAGTGGTGGTCTCAAATAATGTCAAAACTGAATGGTTAAAGGTCGTCCTAAAAATTACTAACCATCGTCCTAACTTAATATGTAATTTACCGAATTGCCCATTTTGAATTTCAAAATCAAACACAAAACAAACAACCCCTCCCCTTCCATAAATCTAAAAAAATATAAACCAAAATCCAACAAATTATCTTATGGACCGAACCATAAATCGTAGTAAAAGAATAGAAAATTATTGATATAAAACAAAAAAAATCCAAAAAAAATCCGAAACCCCTCAACGAAGCCAATTTTCGGTTGTACCATGGCTCAACCTAAGGCAATTTTTGGTTGTACCATGGACCAACCGAAAATTGCCTTAGGTTGCACCATGGTACAACCCTTCGGTTGAGCCATGGCTCAACCTAAGGCAATTTTCGGTTGGTCCATGGTACAACCGAAAATTGCCTTAGGTTGAGCCATGGTACAACCGAAAATTGGCTTCGGTTGAGGGGTTTTGGGTTTTTTTGAAAAAAAATCGGATTTTTACCTCATCGGAGTCGCTACTCATGATTCGGACGTATTCCCAACAATTACGACTCGAGAATGTCAACGATGAATGCGAGAGTGTGGGAAATTGAGTGTTTTTCCTTTTTTTTAGTTAAAGTGATATTTGTTTGCTAAAGATGACAAAAGGTTAAAAGTGTAACTTTATTATTTTTTAGGACGATCAATAGTAATTTTAAGTACGACAAAATTCCCTGTCAAAATACTTCGCTGGTGGAATTCAACAAGTAATAAGCACTTCTGTTTTGAGCACTGTATCCGGTCGTAATCCAACATACAACCAGCAAAGTTCCGAATGCACTTTGTGAGACTGTATTTGGTGCTCGCATCAATTGAGTTGCGGTTTGGATCAAACTAGTACGATTTTGTCACGATTGTCTCTCGATTTATCAATGCGTCCATCACTGTTTTTGTCCAAATGTAGCATTGCTGATCATTAGCGCCTCGTTAAGTGAGTTCAACCAATAAGAGCACGATAATGGTTGATATGTTAGGATAAGCTAGATTCATCAATGGTAACCTAGTCAACAAAAGTGACTTACTGGCCCAAAGACTATAAAGTGAAAGCCTGCCCTCTGAATTCACCTTAACTACCATTTCCGTTCCCAAACTTCCACACTGCAGCTATTTGAAGCTCTCATCAATGGCTTCCTCCTCGGTTCCAACAAAGCTGGAGTACTACAATGATATGCAGAAACTCGAATCCAAGGCCTACCTCTCCTTCTACAAGGTCTGGTTCCTTCTCCCACCTAGTAGTTGTCTTATATTTATCTTACCTCTGCATTTCGTTACACAGCCTCTGAAACATTTATATAGTCTGAATTAGATACAGTAATTGGTAGGTTGCATGATCTTTTCTATGATCATTGAAACGAAAGATTTGCTTGTGTAATGGATTTGGGGCCAAATTTCATGGTGCAGTCTTAACACCGGGTTAATTGTATGGTTGGTCACTGAGATTACAAAAAACGTTCATGTTTGGTCACTGGAAATATTTAAATCCAACCTTGGTCACTCAAATTAATTAAATGGTTCAAATTTGGTCACTCTCTGTCCAACTCAGTTAAATTTGTCTGATGTGGCAGTCAACCCTCAAAGTTGACTGTTAACTCGGTGACATGGCAATTAAAAAATAATAAATAAATTTAATTTGAGGGTTGACTGAGAGTGACCACCGTCATCCTCTACGCCCTCGTCTGCGCCGGCAGCGTCAACCCCAACTACTTCGACTTCCACCGCTACACCACCCTCGACCCTTACGTCGACAACCTCCTCAACATCCTCGACGCCCACCGCGTCGACCGCTGCGCCTACGTCGGCCACTCCGTCTCCGCCATGACCGGCCTCCTCGCCTCCATCCGCCGCCCCGAGCTCTTCTCCAAGCTCTTCCTCATCGGCGCCTCCCCCGGGTCCCCAATTTCAAAATCCCCCTTTAATTTTCAATGAAATCGAATCCAGATTTCAGAAATTTCTAATTGAGAGAGGTTTCGGTTTGTGGAGGATTTAGGTTTCTGAACGACAAGGACTACCACGGGGGCTACTAACAGAGCGAGATCGATAATAGAGAGGCGAGATGATCAACCTCCAGGTGATCCGAGTTGCTCAACAGCAACCAAAGTATGCAGCTCTGCTCCAGAAATGAAGAACAAGACGAAGAACAAGGAGCAGAGCAAAACGACTGCGTCTTGCTTCAAGTGCAGCCAGGAACGGTGGCGTTTTCCACCACCAACTTTTAGTTCCGATTTAACTGTAGATAGTACACGTGTATAACATTCATTGGTAGTTTCATTTGTTAGTTTTTGTTAGCCGTTAAACTACAGTAATTAGACTTTTAAACCTCTGTATATATATGGTTTTACATCAATGGAAAAGAGCTCAGTGAGCATTTCTCCCAGATCTGTTACTTCTTATCATGGTATCAGAGCCTGATTGCTCTCAACCACTCTAGGGTTTCGTCCCCATTCTTCTCATCTCTTTACCCTCAAATTTTCTGAAAACAAACTAAAGGAATCATGGCTGAAGGAGCAGATTCAACAGCTGGGAAATCTATCCAGAGCTCAGCAAGTTCATCCTACGAAGATCCTTACCTCAATCCCTACTATCTCCCGCCTCAAGATGGTGCGCTGTCCACCATAATCTCTGTGAAACTCGTCGATGGGAACTATCACACATGGAGTCAAGTGATGCTCGTTGCCTTAGCCACCAAGAACAAGGTAGCTTTCATCGATGGAACCATACCAGTACCCAAGGTAACAGAACCCTCTTATCAGTTATGGTTGCGCTGTAATGGTACTATTCGCTGCTGGATTTACAATTCCTTAGCTGAGGATATAGCGAATAGTGTCATGGGTTTGGAGAGTGCTCAGGCTGTTTGGGAAAATCTGAAGAACATGTTTAGCCAGGAGGACAATATTAGGGTTTATGATTTGAAGGGTCAATTGGCCAAATGTGTTCAAGGAGAACAGTCTATAAGTCAGTACTTCACCAACATTACTGTGTTGTGGGAGGAGTTGAAGAGATATCGTCCAATACCTTGCTGCCCTTGCAATACCCCATATGAAACTATGAAAAAGTATGAGGATAATGATTTTGTCATTAAGTTTATGCAAGGATTGAATGAAAGTTATCAATCTGCCAAGACCCAAGTGCTCATGAACTCAACGTTGCCATCAATTGATGTTGTTTTCAAGCAATTCTTGCAACTGGAAAGACAGATGAAGAGTGCTCCTAAGTCTAGTGGAGTTGATTCAGTTGCATTGGCAGTTGGTTCACCACAGAATGCCAAACACAATGACAGAGACTATAAGGATGGCAAGAAATTCTGTAGGTATTGTAAGAAGGATAATCACATCATTAGTGAATGCTACAGACTGAAAAACAAGAAAACAAGGGAATCTGGTGGCTCAAGCTTTGCTGGCTCAGTTGAAACAGGATCTGAATCTGACTCAGGGATTCTTGGAGCAGCATCTGTGCAACAGGATGCACAAAACAGAAACAATTCCATTGGCCTAGCCAGTCTTCAACTGAGCAATTATCAAATGGATAAATTGAGGATCCTGCTGCTTGGCTCACCACAAACATCTCCTTCTCCACCAACATCACCATCTGTCAGACATGTGGCAAATGCAGCAGTGACCACTCAGTCTCAAACTGGCCAGCATCAATCAGGAGCCACTCAATACCACCCTGTTTATCTTCCCTCGAGTTCAGGTACCACAGTCCTCTCAACTCTCTTATCTAGGACAGTGGAACCACCATGGGTTTTAGACACATGTGCTACAGATCACATAATTTGTGATCTGAAGTATTTCTTAAAATGCAAGTCATTACAGGGAGTCTTTGTCAATTTACCAAATGGTAACAAGGTCCAGGCCACACACATAGGCATAGTTAGACTTCCCTGTTGACTATTTCTTTCTCAAGTCCTATTTGTTCCAAGTTTCAGTTACAATCTTGTTTCTGTCAGTAAACTCACCAAAACCAACCCAATCTCACTTCTTTTTAAATCATCTTTCTGTGTCATCCAGGACCTTATTACACAGAGGAGGATTGGTTTAGCCCAAGTGGATAAAGGACTATACCTATTCAATGAGATCCAAACCATTTCTCAAGACTACCACTCATCCAATCCAAAGTGTTTTGCTGCTTCACAACTCAATTTTCAGCCTCAAGTTTTTGATCTCTGGCATGCCAGATTAGGTCATCCATACATTTCCAGATTAGAGACTATACACAAACAATGTCCAGATGTATTAGTTTCTAAGATTGTTCACTGTGATGTTTGTCATTTGTCAAAACAGAAAAGATCTCCCTTTCCAGTTAGCACATCAGTTCATTCCTCTTTGCTTGGTTTACTACATGTAGACATTTGGGGGCCTTTGAGCACCACTTCTTACAATGGTTTCAACTATTTCTTAACCATAGTTGATGATTTAAGTAGATGTGTGTGGACCTATTTATTGAAATCTAAGGATGAGTCCAGGGGTTTGTTACAGTCTTTCTGTGTCATGGTGAAAAACCAATTTAACAAATCCATTCAGATCATCAGAACAGACCAGGGAATGGAATTCCACATGGATGAGTTCTATAGAACTCATGGGATTGAACATCAAATGAGTGTGGTATACACTCCACAACAGAATGGCAGGGTTGAGAGGAAGCACCAACACCTGCTTAATGTTGCCAGAGCTCTCAAAGTTCAGTCTGGCCTTCCTCTAGCCTATTGGAGTGATTTTGTACTCCATGCTGCCTATTTAATCAACAGAATCCCTACACCAGTTCTAAACAATCTCAGTCCCTATGAGAAACTCTATGGTGTTCCACCAGACTATAGTAGCTTGAAAGTTTTTGGCTGCTTAGTCTATGCTTCCACAGCTGGTCCACATAGAACCAAATTCTCACCCAGAGCCAAGCAGTGTGTTTTCCTTGGCATACCTGATGGGATCAAGGGTTTCAAACTCCTTGACATTGACACCAAGAGGGTGTTTTGCTCCAGAGATGTGATCTTTCATGAAAACATCTTACCATATGCCAACCACAGTTCTTCCCCTTCTTCACTTCCATCACCTATTCCAACTACATCACCAACGTTTTCCTTCTTTCCCACACCTTCTTCTATTCCAAACCCTAATACATCTGATTCTTCTTCTTCTTCTTCAGATGTTCCAACTCCTGTGAATCCTCAGTCTGAAGGGGGCACACAGCCTCCATCTCCCTCTCCTAAATCACCAATTCCCTTTGTCATTCCCTCAAGTCCACCTTCATCCTCCCCAGATTTCTCTTTTTCACATCAAACTCATCCTGATGATTCAAAAAACACACCAAACACCCCTTCTCCTTCTCATACACCTTCACCATTTTCTCCTATTCCATTAAACAGTCCTGCTCACTCTCCATCCCATGTTCAGTTGAGGAGATTGACTAGGACTGTCAAACCACCCAACTGGCATGCAGATTACCATGTCACTCACCCCATTCATAGAGCCCTTTCATACACTCACCTATTACCAAAGCATCAACACTTCATAAACAGTCTGACCTCACACAAAGAACCATCATCTTATCAAGAAGCAATGCAGAACCCCCTTTGGGATAAGGCAGTTCAGGAAGAGTTGAAAGCCCTGATTGATAATGGGACATGGGAAATCAAGGATTTACCAGTTGGTAAGAAGGCAATAGGCTGCAAATGGGTTTTCAGGCTGAAACTTCATTCTGATGGATCAATTGAAAGATATAAGGCAAGACTGGTTGCCAAAGGGTATACTCAGGTTTATGGCATTGACTACTGTGACACTTTCTCACCAGTAGCTAAATTGAGTTCAGTTAAAACCCTACTTGCAGTTGCAGCATTGCAGAATTGGCACTTACATCAGATGGATGTAAGCAATGCCTTTTTGAATGGTGATTTGACAGAAGAGGTATACATGGAAATACCTGATGGTTTGGATTTGGGAACTGACTACAAAGGCAAAGTCTGCCACTTGAAGAAATCACTTTATGGGTTGAAACAGGCAAGCAGACAGTGGTATACAAAGCTCACTGAAAGCTTGCTGAAGCATGGATTTAAGCAAAGTTCCTCAGATTACTCTATTTTCACAGCTGAAATTTTTGGTGCACTAGTTGTGCTCATTGTGTATGTTGATGACATTCTGATTGGAAGTGTGAACTTGGATTCCATTACAGAGACCAAAAGGATCTTACAAGGAGAATTCAAAATGAAAGATTTGGGAGAACTGAAATACTTCCTTGGCCTGGAAGTGACAAGAGGAGTAAAGGGAATTACTGTTTCTCAGAGAAAATATTGCCTAGAACTTCTAACAGAATCAGGTTTTGAAAATTGCAAGCCAGCATCCACTCCAATTTATGTTAAGGAAGTGTTGTCTGCTACAGGGGGCATTCCTTTAGCTGATGTTGCAAGTTACAAACACTATGTAGGACAGTTGCAATACCTAACAACTATAAGACCAGATATAGCATTTGCTGTGCAGCAGTTGTGCACTTATCAGGACAATCCTACAAGTTTACACTTGAGAGCCTTGCATAGAGTGCTTAGATACCTCAAAGGGGCACCTGGACAAGGCCTTCTTTATTCTAAAGACACTAAACTCGAGTTGAAGGGATTCAGTGATTCTGACCGGGCTACATGTCCAGATACCAGAAAATCTATAACTGGATACTGTACTTTTCTTGGATCTGGAATTGTTACATGGAAGAGCAAAAAGCAGAAGACAGTATCCAGGTCCTCCTCTGAAGTAGAATACAGGGCCTTGGCTAGCTTGAGCTGTGAAGTTGAATGGTTAATCAGACTATTCAAAGATTTTGGAGTAGAACATCCTCAAGCAGTCAAGGTATTTTGTGACAATCAATCAGCAATTCACATTGCTGAAAATCCGGTGTTCCACGAGAGAACCAAACATATAGATGTGGATTGTCACGTGATAAGAGAGAGAGTTCAGTCTGGGTTGATTGCTCTACATCATGTATCAACTGATTCTCAACCTGCAGACATTTTCACCAAGAGCTTATCTGTGGATCGCTTTGCATCTTTGTTGTCCAAGCTGGGAGTATATGATATATACTCGCCAGCTTGTGGGAGGGTAATAGAGAGGCGAGATGATCAACCTCCAGGTGATCCGAGTTGCTCAACAGCAACCAAAGTATGCAGCTCTGCTCCAGAAATGAAGAACAAGACGAAGAACAATGAGCAGAGCAAAACGACTGCGTCTTGCTTCAAGTGCAGCCAGGAACGGTGGCATTTTCCACCAACAACTTTTAGTTCCGATTTAACTGTAGATAGTACACGTGTATAACATTCATTGGTAGTTTCATTTGTTAGTTTTTGTTAGCCGTTAAACTACAGTAATTAGACTTTTAAACCTCTGTATATATATGGTTTTACATCAATGGAAAAGAGCTCAGTGAGCATTTCCCCTAGATCTGTTACTTCTTATCAATCGAGGAGGTTTTCACGGCAATGGAGGCGAATTACGAGGCGTGGGTGCAGGGTGGTGTAGCATTTGTTTTATAAATTGTCCATCCACAGTTCGAAATTGGGAAAGTGAGGAGAAGCCAAAACCTAGGTATGGAAATGCAATATCAAACAGAACCCGGGTCGGATCCGGCAATTGGGCAACGGCCGAAGCCCAGTTGTCAGCCAGAAGAGTCCGGTAGCTACTGCCAATTTTGCCCCAACATACAGCAATTTATTAGTAATATAAATAGCAGGCAAGAACGAAAAATGGCGACAAGCCACGACAGAAGACCAATTCGGGAGGCAGTAACAAGGAAAACCAGAGGGAGAGAATGAGTGGGGTTACAGCTTTCCCGCAAATACTTAGCGCCTTTCTTCCTCAATCCAGCAGCTCCCTGCCCAAACCAGCCATCACCGACCCCTGTTCTGGTACAACCAGAGACTCTATCTATATTTTCTCACTTCATTTTCTTCCTTAGATGTTCAATTTTCGTCTGGGTTTCCTTTAAGTTTTGTGAATTCTGAATCGGGTAGACTGGAGAATTTTGGGTTGTTTTGTTTGTGCAATTTGATATGCAGAGGAGAATGAGAGCAAGAGTGTACTGGATGCCTTCTTCTTGGGGAAGGCTCTAGCGGAAGTGCTGAACGAGCGGGTTGAATCCGCCGTCGGCGAGATTATGAGTACTATTGGCGGTCGACGCGGTGGGCGTCGAGGATGTTGAGGAGGTCGTCGACGTAAGGGTCGAGGGTGGTGTAGCGGTGGAAGTCGAAGTAGTCGCGGTTGACGCTGCCGGCGCAGACAAGGTCGTAGAGGATGACGGTGGTCACTCTCAGTCAACCCTCAAATTTATTTTATTTATTATTTTTTAATTGCCACGTCATCGAGTTAACGGTCAACTTTGAGGGTTGACTGCCTCATCAGACAAATTTAACGGAGTTGGACGGAGAGTGACCAAATTTGAACCATTTAACTAATTTGAGTGACCAAGGTTGGATTTAAATGTTTCTAATGACCAAACATGAACGTTTTTTGTAATCTCAGTGACCAACCATACAATTAACCCACCAAAATTCATGTATTTCAAATTCAATTAACAGACAGATTTGAAAATCATCCAAAACCAAACTTCTATCTTCTTACAACAGTAAAATAGTAAAAAGTTGATATTTGTTTTAACAGTAGTTGGATCTGTGATTAAATGCATTCAGCTAGACATTTGTTGGATGCTTGTCTGCCAAATGTGGGATAGCTCCATCCAGGGAAAGCTTACCAATTACCTGATGGGTAATGAAAACTAAATTGCTTAAAGAGTTAAAGCTCCATCCTTCCCTTTTCAAAGCTGCTGTCAAATACCCTGCTCACCCCAAATTTGGCATGCAATATAGCAAGTAAGACTAACTTCAACCCATAAAGTTAAATTTGGCTCCTCAAATAGCCAAATATGGCTTTTTAGCTCCCCAAACCTCATTTTCACTCCAACCCTACACAATGCTAAATTTAGCTTCCTACCTCCTTTTTTCAATTTATTACAATCAAGCATACTTATTTGACCTCTAATTTTCATATTTCACTTTAATTTTCTATAGTTAGTTATTACTTTTGAAAACAAAAATTTTGATGTAATATTTTTTAGGGTAAATACAATTTAATATCCAAACCTTTCATTTTAAACAATATAATAGCCAAACATTTTCGAAAACAATCTAATATCCAAATCGTCAACTTTCCGTTCGTTTGACCATTAGTTGACACTTCAAAAAAGTTCGAAGTACGACGCTTCATCAATATCCATCGATATCTTCTCTGAAAAACCACCAACATATCGTGGTTCCAAACCCGAGAAGTCCATGACTCCACCATGATGGTATAGAATATCTGAATATTCAGTCATCTGCAATGCCAAAACAAGAAAACAAAGTTGTATTGTGACAATTTCCCCTAAACAAAGCGTTTTTGAAGTGTCAACCAACAGTCAAACGGACGGAAAGTTGACGATTTGGATATTAGATTGTTTTCGAAAAGGTTTGGCTATTATATTGTTTAAAATGAAAGGTTTGGATATTAAATTGTATTTACCCTATTTTTTAATTCGGAGACAAAAAAAAGTTTTGGAAAATTAGTCATTATTTTGTTACCGTTAACTTCGGGACCAATGAAAAAATATCAATTAAACATATAACATTTCATATCTTCTTTCAAACAATTAAAAAAACAACATACACAATCAACCAATGACAAAAGACCACACAAAAAAGAAAAAAGAAAAACAAAACAATCAACCAATGAGAAAATCCCACAAAAAAACAAAAAACAAAAAATAAAAGAGGACCCACCGCGGGTCCACCATATCCTCTAGCCAAATTTGGCTTTTCCACCTTTTTGGAAGCTAAATTTGGTTCTCAATTCACCAATACCCATTTTTAGCTCCCAATAATAATGTGGGTTGGAGCACAAAAAAAGAGCTAAAAATGGGTAAATGACTTTTTAGCTCTAGGGTTGGAGTTAGTCTAAGCAGCAAAGTTCTCCCTTTACTTTACGACCGACTACAACAGCTTGCGACTCTAACAGAATAGAAAGAAACGGTAAGCTCTCTGCTCTATTTGCAAGAAATGCTATACCTATTGAAGTTTAGAACACTTCTTTCATCTTAGACTCGTTAGGCTCTCCGACTTCACTCATTGGTTCCGCGTCCACCAGTAGGCTTAGTGATAACTAATTAGAGTTAACATGAAATGGATCACGGAAGAAGACGCATCTGATGAATGAATGATTCGATCTCCTCCCCAAGCCACTACATGTTCCTGCTGCCACACTTTCTATTTCCGATGGAAGAAAGAGGTCATACTCTGCATCAGAGACCAATCAGACACAGAAGAGGCTCCTTCTTCAAACGTCATTGAACTCTCTCTGGAAGTTCTGCTAAGAAAGTTGCTTTGAAGCAAGATCAGGTACCCTTATTGAGTTGAATGTAAAGGCACAGTTGAACATAATGAACTGCAGACAAAGCAGGAGATAGAGATTGAAGCTAATGCATTGACATCTAAACTAAAGGAGGCAAAGTGAGCTGTCTTTCTCTTCTGTGTTGGGGACTTGGAGTGAGAGTCTGCAATTTGTTAGCATGAACAATGTTTGACATTATCTGCCGGGCAGAAATCCTCATATTGTGAAGCTAGGAGACAACCCTGGATACCCTTGTGGAGGTACCCATGTTTCTGGTATCTCAGATATCTCAAGCTTGAAGGTACAGAAAGAACACTCTCCTCTAAAAACGCTATAGCAGATTCTGTGTTTTCTCCAGCTGACGATGCTAGTCTGATCTTTGTAAACACATGCACATGGGAAGTCTCAAACACCTAGTTGGAGAATAATACTAATGGCTTTACTTTATGTCTTGGAATATGCTGTGAAACAATTTAAGACTGGTGTTCAGAAAATACTGTGAGCACTTTTATGATATGAAGATCTGACAGTGGAATTAATGGTTATGCACAATTAATATGGTTGACAGTTCATGATGATGTGATGAGTGTTAAAGAACCAGTTGGTTTCAATAACTCGAGTTTTTAGAATATATTTAATATGCATCATATACCACTTCATAACACAACCTTCACCAAAGAAAATTGAACTAAAAAGGGTTTGAAGTTTGCACAAATTAGAATACTACGTGATTAACAAATAGGGATCATCATATTGGAACAGACAGTGGCAGATCTAGGGATGGGCCAACCCGGGCCACGACCAGCCCTCCTATGAATCCAAAGTTAGTATAGTGTTATAAAATTTTCGATTTAGGTATTCAGCCCAATGTTATTTAGTATTCAATCCATTTTTTTTTGAATGGGAACTGTATTAATTAATTAGAATGCAAAGTTGGAGTTTCCTCCCATGTCCTCCCTAAGAAGGGGTACAAGAAATTGAGGTGGGTTATCCACCCATATCTCCTCACTCTCAATCACACTCAACATGGGCCATCAGATGGGCTGGTCCATTAGACTTTCGGCCCACAAAGTTCCACTGAACATGGTTCAGGGTTTGGGCTACGGCCCGCAGTTCAGCACAGATCAAGCCGCTCTCAGTCTCCCTGTCTTCTTCCCTTCGAAGTTGTTGAATTATTCCTTGGCAATCCGATTCCATTTCCATTTCCAGTATCTCAAATCTTCTAGCCAAATCCAGACCAAATCCGATCGCCATGGCCTCTGCTTCCTCAGGGTTCCATTGGGTTCTGGATTGTCGAACTCCAGTGAACAAAAACCTCCCTTCTCCGTCTCTGATTACTGCACCCCACCCCGTTCCTCGGTCCGATATACAAGCTGCATCAACATTTATCTTCACCGGAGCCGACTGTGGTGGCTTCCATCCCTGTACCTCGTTCCTTGCCGTCGATTGAGGGCTCGACTGTTTCTCTAGGTAATCCTTCAGCCAATTGCTCGCCCTGGGCAAAATTTCCCACTCTTCTAACTTCTTTTTATTCTACAAATGGCAGTTGCGTTGGTCCCAGATGTGCCAAAGCGCCACAAGGAATTCGCCCAACATTTCGTCAGATTCCGACTCTTGGAGCTCACAGTACCATTCTTCTGAGGTAAGATCTTCCCCCCTTGCTATGTATGGATCCATAGGGCTAGTTATCCAAACCCTTCGAACCCAGTCGCATTCTCGAAAGATATGGTTTTGCGTTTCTCTGAGGCCACAGAAGGGGCATTGTTCACTTCCTTTCTGCATTCGATCATATATCCTAGCACCCGTAGGGATTATATTCCTTAGCCATCGCCAAGCAAAGATCCGCACTTTAGGAGGGACCCTTAGGCTCCAGAACCTTTTCCAATTTACTGGCAAGTAGACTTCCCCCAATTCTTCTTCATTTCTGCTTTCCCATAGTCTGTATGCTGATTTCACTGTGTATTTCCCCGTCTTTTCCACTCCCCAAATTAACTTATCTTCAGTAGGTTGCCTGGGGATGGGAATCTTCTGTATGTTTATGCGATCCCTAGGATTGAAATGCCTCTGGAGCACATCTGTGCGCCAGCTCCTCCCTTCCAAATCAATTAGTTCAGCTACTGAGGTCGAAACATCCCAGTTTGCGACTGGGGATGTTACTTTCTGAGTTGTGCTCGATGGCACCCATTTATCCAACCAGATGTCAATTTTGGTGCCATTACCAACTCTCCATCTCATTCCCCGTTTCACCAACTCCTTCGCTGCCAGTAAACCCCTCCAGATCCAGCTCGGGTTTCTTCCAATTTCTGCTTCCAGAGGATTTCGATCCTCATAATACTTTGCCTTTAGGACCCTTGCTACTAGGGTATCAGGGTTCTGAATGACACGCCAAAGCTGCTTACCAAGCAAGGCTAGATTGAAACTTTGAAGGTTTTTAAAACCCATTCCTCCCATTTTCTTTGGTTTGCAAAGTTCCTTCCAATTTATCCAGTGTGTCCTTCCTTCCTCCTCCTGCTGTCCCCACCAAAATTGTGCCACTGCTCGTTTTGCTTCTTTGAGGATACTAGGTGGAATCTGGAACACTGACATAGCATATGTCATCTGTGCCTGTGCCACAGCCTTGATCAAAACTTCTTTCCCTGCTACTGATAGTAGCTTGCCTTTCCATGTTTTAACCTTTGCTCTAACTCGGTCAACCAAGTAGCCAAAAGCCTGTTTCTTTGACCGACCTAGTACTGTTGGGAGGCCTAGGTATTTTTGGTGGTATGCCACTGCTTTCATGTTAAGCAACTCTGCTAGTTCCCTCCTTTTCTCCTGTCTCACATTAGGGCTGAACGATAGTTCAGATTTATGAAGATTTACCTGCTGCCCCGATTCAGCTTCATACAAGTTCAAGATAGCTTTAACCTTTTCACATTCTGCCTTAGTAGCCTTTAGGAAGAGGAAGCTATCATCAGCAAAGAGTAGATGAGTAATCTGTGGTGCTTGTCTCTTCACTCTTATTCCTTCAATATGCTTGTCTCTTTCTGCTTTAGTTATTAGAGCTGATAAACCTTCCACCACAAACAGAAATAGATATGGGGATATAGGGTCCCCCTGTCTTAATCCCCTGCTAGGATAGAAACTCTCAGTCTGATGTCCATTCACCAAAGTAGAGAAAGAAACAGACGTGACACATGTCATTATCATCTGAACCCATTGTTGATGAAAACCCAGCTTCAACATGATTGCCTCCAAAAAACCCCACTCAACCTTGTCATAGGCTTTAGTAATATCCAGCTTCGCTTCCATGAAACCTTTATTCCCAGTTTTCTTAGCATTCATAGAGTGAAAACACTCGAATGCTATTATAACATTGTCAGTGATGAGCCTTCCTGGGACAAAGGCACTTTGATTTTGTACTATTACCTGATTAAGCACCCCTTTAAGCCGATTAGCTAGTACTTTTGAGAGAATTTTGTATAGTACTTTGCATAGGCTTATAGGGCGGAAATCCACGGGGGTTTGAGGATTTTTCTTCTTTTGGATTAGGGCTATTAGTGTGTGGTTCAGTTCCTGAGGGAAACTACCTGCTTCCAAATAACTCTGCAGCTCTGTAGTAATAGTTTCACCCAGAATGTCCCAGTTCTTTTGGAAGAAAAGAGCAGGCATTCCATCTGCTCCGGGGGGCTTTAAGAGGCCCCATCACCTTTAATGCCTCCCATATTTCCTCCCTAGTAAAAGATTTCAATAATCATGGCTGCTGTAACCTTTTGTGGAACAGCTTCAATCACTGCACCTGATCCGGTTCTTGAGTCAGAGGTGTATAACTTCTTGTAGAAATTAACAATACACCTCG